TTGATACACTCCCTGATAGCGCTCGTGAAGTTGGAATCCAAAACCGGGTACTTGCAGGGTCCGCCAAGAGCGTCATAGTCAAGCCTCTCAGTCTCTGAAATCCACGCTAACGCGTAGTCAGAGTCAAAACTGAAAGCATTCCTGACCCTTTCCTTTATCTCGGAAAGCCACTCCCGCAGCTTATCAGCTGTCGGCTCAGCAGGCAGCACGATCGTGTTGCACTTATGATGGAACCGATCCTTATCGACAACGGTGGAAATCAGAGCCCCTATCGGGGTACATGAGGTAATCCTGCAACTTTCACACAGCCTAGCAGGCAAAGGACAGCAAACCTCACACGCCCTCATTCCACAACCAACGCAAGGAACAAGAGGGAAACCAGGCTCAGGGATCCTGCTACACTTAGTGCACTTGTCCCGTCCATCATCTCCCCTCAAGGCTTCAGGAAGAAGACCGCCATCTCCCTGCCTAACGGCTCCATTAACGCTGTAGCCAAGGCTAAGACCTGGCCCAAGGTTACTACCACTCGCGATACTCGATGGGTAACCTGCGGCAGCGTTGGGCTGACTAACGCCAGCACCAACCCCTTGGTGGCTAACGCCACCTCCGTAGGCAGGACCATAGAAGCTGGAGCCACATTGATTGTTCCCAATCTTGTGAGAGTCAACGGCAGCACCACTGAAAGCCGGCGCACCACCCCCTCCAGGGTATCCCCCGGGAGGTGCTCCACCGTCTCCAGTCGGGCCACCAGGTGGTCCAGGGGGCCCTTGTCCTTCACCAGGAGGCCCAGGCCCAGGAGGTGGACGCGGACTTGATCCATGACCGCTGCCTCCACCACGACCTGATGGTCCCCCGTGACCACCACCATCCCCGGGAGGGGGAGGCGGTGCCCCACGGTTAGCGCGTTCATGTGCCGCATGACAGCGCGAGCATCGCTCAAAACAATCTTCCCCACGATACGTATGCTCATTGCAAATGTTCTTGTCACAGTCGTGACAGGAATACATGGATACCTCCAGAGCATTCCTTCGACATGCCCAGCATTTCATTTTCAAGAACTGACAGTTGCAACAGTCCCCGTCATCACCCCTGCACAATTCGCAGAAGTCACGCTCACACGTGACACAAACGAAACTTGCACATGGATGCTCTCGTCTGTAGGGGTTGTCTCGAGCACACATCCTTGAGAGATCAGGTCCATTGCCACCTGGCTCACCGCTTGCTGTTGGTCCAGCAGCCTGCCTGCGATCAGGCGGAGCCCCCAGGGTCCCTCGGCTACCGCCAGGACTCGGGGCATTGTCTCCGACCCTATCGTTCCGGTCGTTCCTAGGTGGGTGGTTCAAATCCCTAGAGGCGTTTCCGCTATCGCGGACCGGCCTATCGTTCCTCGATTGTCGAGCCCTAACCTCAGACACCCTATCGGGGACCGCAGCAACTCTCGGGCTCCTGTTCCTGGCCTCACCCCTATCCGGTGAGATCGAAACATTTGCTCTATTTGCTCTGGCGCGAGCCAGTGATTCTTCCCTCGTCCGCCTCGGTGGAGAGTGCGACCTGTCCTGCATCTGCAGAGCTCTTCTGCTCCGGCTATCCGCCCTATCCCTAACGGGAGAAACTGGGCGCCTAGCCGCACGAGGAGCCGCGTCAACCCTACCAGGCGCATTCGGCAGCACATGATCAGTTAGGCTAACGCCTCCACCCGGCCTATTCGGTGGGACAGAGTCTCGTGCATTTCCATCTCCAGGAGTGGGCGTCGGAGACCTGATCCTGTGCCCCTGTCCGGCGAAAGCGTGGTATCCCCCGTTAGGCCTTCCCCCGTGCCCACGAGGATGGTCATGAGCAAGTTGGACCAAGCCAGCAGCATCTTCGATACTCCCTTCGAGATCGGCAAACTGAGACATAACTCGAGTGTTCATCTCGTTCAGAGTTCGGATGTTGTTCTCGGTAGCCCCAAGCCTTCGCATACACGCATCTAACATGTTACGATAGTAGACGAGCTCCCGTCTAACGACGGCCTGCATCTCATCCGTGGTCGAAGGTAGATCAACCAATCTTGTCCTTATCTCCTCCATAGCCTGCTGGAGTCTCTGCGTGTTCGCATTGAACACTACAATTTGGCCATTCACAGCCCTAACATCCTCGACGACGGTGTCATAATTCCGAGCTTGGCGACGGACTCTGTTCGCGAGATCTTGAATCTTCCGATTGATCTCCTCGACTGCCCCGCGCCAATCCTGAGGTGATTCCAGATCCCTAGGCCTATCGGCCAGAAGAGATCCCCCGTCACTCCGGGACTCCAGCATTCGGTCCGCAAAGGACCTATACTCAGCACGGAGCTCGTCAATGGCCGAAGTGGCCCATTCCCCATGCCGATCGCTCTCACCTTGGAGTCTATCGACTCTTGCGACCAAGTCCCGAAAGCTTGCGTCATCTCCACTGCTAGCAGCCCTATCGCGCCCTGATGCAGCGGGAGCACCCGAGGATGAGAGCAGCCTAACGGCCTTCTCAACCGAATGGAGCTGTTTCTCGAAATTCCCGATCTCAGTGTAGATCTCATCCTGAAAGGCACCTTGGCTCTTGAACATAGCATACTGCTTGTCCTCAACGAGCTTTCTAAGTTGACTCATACCGCCTTCGAGATTCCTAACGGATTCCCGAACCTCGTCGGATAACGAGTTGATCCTCTGATCCACAACCTCACTTTGCTCATCGATAGCCTGCCTGACAATGGCCCTGCTATCGGGAATGACCTCACCGGCAAACCGTTGAACAATCATTCGCATACGATCAGCATCCGCTTGGGTCGCAACCTCAGTAGCTAGACGGCCGACCTTGTCCTTCATGAGCCGATTCTCATTTTGCCATTCCTTTTGCATGGAACTCACCTGACCGTTCAGTAACCTGATCTGATTAGCAAAAACATTGAGAGTGTTTGCAACGGAACCGGATGCCTCGCCTCGTTCAAACAGCTCCTGGATATGCAGGTCAAATACTTCCTTGACCCTAGCATCTCCAGATTCAGCAGAAGAATGGGATCTCAGAGCTGGAGGAGTCGATATCTCGATCCTCTCAGGAACCCTTTCAACTCTGTTACGTCCCCTGGGGTCGGAAACAGGAGCATCAGCGATCCTGGGCGGCCTGATTGGACTGATACCCCTTCCCCGGCTATCGCCGGATCTGGGATTGACATTCGACCCATGAGATTCAGGAGTGGAATGAATATGAACATCAGCAGGATCAAACATGTCTTCATCCTGCGGCGTTGAACCTATCGGTCCAGGGCTAGCCCTCCTCGCCTTCGACCTATCGGTCCCTCCGGCTACGGATGACGGCCTCTTCGCAGAGGCACTTCGTTCCCTGCTTGCTGATCCCCATTGGGGAGTGAATTCATTGCTAGACCTTAGTGGCTCGAGGTCGCTGAGATCTCGCTCTAATGGGCTAGCGATCGGCGAACGATCCTCGATTCCAAGCGCACTAGCAAGTCTTCCGTCCCTCGCGCCTGCCTCAATCACATCGGCGGCTCGCTGAGTAATCCTGGATGAACCAGTACCCCGGTTCATATCCCCGACTCTCTGATGCAGCGGTCCTCCAAACTGGATGTTGGGAAAAGGGGGAACGTTTGGGAAGGGATCAATGACGGGAGGACCTACCGGTCCTCTTCCGTCATGGATGGCCTCCAAACCCCTAAGGGTGCCCCGACTGTCCCTGATCCGCTCTCTTGCACTCCGAGTATCCGTGTCCACACGAAGGTCCCTAGCAGCTCCACGAGAGAGACTCCTAGCCTTCGCAGCAGCACGGCTCCTTGCATTCCGATACGACAAACTTTCTTCCTCTTCACGACCATCCGCAAATGCGGCATAATCTTCATCATCATTGAACTCAAAATTGGTCATCGAAACCGGGTTGGGCCTATTAGTATCAGACTCTTGCTTCACGCTACTGCCCCAACCTGCGGTCGACGCCAGCAGGGCATCGTATCCGATGCCCGCAAACGCCCTCTCCTCTTGCTCATCAAACTGACCTGGATTTTGAGAACCTGTTGATCGACCCGAGATATCTCTCGGAGCCAAAACCATGCTTCCCGGACCTAACGGTCTGTCCTCAACCTGATCCGAGGCTTGCGTTTCACCTGGAAAAAGAGACCTAGGGGGTCGATTAGGCAGAGCCTCCTGATCGTCCGTGTGAGGACGAGCCATGTTCATCGCCATGCTGATGAAGTCCAAATGACCTTGTCCGAAACCTGATTCGGAGCCGCTCCTACCGGAGCGAGCTCCTCGTCCCTGTTCATCATCGGTGGCCTGACGGAAAATGCGGTCGTCTCCATCGTCAGTGTACCTGCCACGGCTTCTGGGTGTGTCCCTACCGGGATCATCACCCTGCGGTCCTGACCTGCTGAACCTGTCTCGAATTCCTCGTAGTCATAGTCCGGTAGGTCCTCACTTGAGCGGAGGCCACCTAGGATGGCCTCCTCGTCCACGACGCTCCTGTGCGAACGTGGGGTCGACGTCATTGAGCTTGTAGTTGATGGTCTCAAGCGCGTAGGAAAGTCCTACGGCTGATAACCTGTGATTCGGGCACGAGCCTGTGCCCAGGCAATGGGTAAGTTGGGGTAAACAAGCCACAAAAGAAAGGTTCCCCAAAAGCAAACCAATCCCCGGTCCCAAAGATCAGGGTTTCCCACACACCAGAGAACAACAACCAAAGGAAAACAAACCAAACAAGAAAAGGGTTAACCCGCAACCTTGGTCGACAACAGGCCGCACGACTGGTCCCTACCAACCTGGCGGCGGCCCGAGGTCTCTTTCTCCCCCGAGATGCCGTCGGTCGACGCAGGGGTTCGGCGACGCCCATTCGAGGCGCGACGGAACCCAAAATCTTGAGCCAAACACCACAGGTCAGTCACTACCGCGACATCCCTGGTGATGAAATAAACCATGGCTAATCACACAGACAAACACAATTTGCTTCAAACGGTGCTGGCAGCAGTTGGCATGCCGAGATTCGGATGCTATCTTGGCCTTCTCTTCTGCTTCCTCTCCTTCTTCTGCTTCCTCTGCATCCTGTGCAACACATGACACTGGAAACCCTGCCAATTCACCTTCGACCACGTCAACTCATAGAACTCACACGGCACAGGGTTGGCATCCTTTGCTGTGGAAAACACCTGGAAACTAATAACGTGTACAGTTGGGCCCATGACGCTGAGCAAGGTTCCCTACATTTCCACCTACATATCACTTCCAAATGCGGAACAATAGGGAATTTCTGCTGGCGCTTGGCAAAATGGGCAGCTCGATTGGCAAAGATGGTCCATGGCCACGTTTCGTGGCGATGCACCCGTTGCTTTGCTGCGGCAGACACTTGCCTCACAAAGAGGAGTTTCAATTCAGCCAGTGGTGACTTCGCAAGTTCTGCGACGCGGCTAATGATTAAATACATTTTCAACCCATCTAATCATCCTTGTGTGCCAATATTCTTGCCTGAAGCCCGCCATGTTTGCCATAGTTCACGGCATGTGCTGCCTTGCCATGATCTTCTTTGGATTATTTGCGTTCTGGGTCTTTGCAGTGAATTTGGGCCTGCTCCAGAGCAGTTTGGAGTTTCGTGCATCCATGACGAATCAAAGGGCACTGTAAAAGAAACTTAGAAAGGGGAAGTGCCCTTTGGTGCCCTTCCTTCTGTGGAGTACTTGGGCAACTAACCGATTCTTGAACAAAGTCAGACACAATCGTGGTCAAAGTTGCACATATTAAAGATGCATGATGGCTACACAAATCAATGCACATATCTATATATCTAAGCACAACTACGACTTATGCATATGCATAGAACATGGCGATGACTCAAAAAAGTGGTACCAAAACGGCACCCTGGTAAATGGAATCAAAAACTAAAACCCGTGTAACACCAGCTCTTTAAAAATTGAGCCATACCCACATGGCGATGACTCAAAAGGGGTCTCTGAAAACAAACGCCGCGTGGCTTGGGCCCGAGCCGAATCGGCGGCGGCTTGCTTCTCGCTTTCGCTCTCAGCCTGAGAGACATGTGCGCGGCCGGCAGTCGGGTAGGTGGGGGCGTCTTTGTTTGAAGGTACCTCTTTGTTGATGTTGGGGGGGGGGGGGTACCCTAAAAAGACAGACCTAAATATGGCAAGTAGGGAACGCGGATTGAAACGCAATGTAGTCCACCCTGCCTTCAACACTAGGTACCCTGGGCTGTTCAACAATCAATGTCTTGTCTTGGTTAAGACTCTGACCATCGGGAGAGCACTACCAAAGGAGCCCCTTGTCTAGAAAGCGACGGAAGCAAGCATTGCCAGATAGTCAAGCACTTCTTGCCTGGGTGCTACTGTGGATGGACGAAATCCTGCACCGCCTAAGAAGCCCCTGGAATGATGATTCCCCTGTAAAGACCAACAAACAATGGTTTCCCATGGTTCTTAACTGGTGCGAACGGAGTTCGTCCATCCACAGTACGGAGGTCTGGAAAACGTGCCTCCTTTCAGTGTCCCGTACCGGAAAATACCTGCGCAAAGCTCGGCTTGCAGCTCGCAAGCTCCCGCCTCCACCTCCATCTCCTCGTCCGGATCTGGCAAAAGGCGCGGGCCAAGTGTTGGTAAGGACCCCATTTCAGCCTAGTCATCCTTAAGGGGTTTGGATGGCTTGAAACTTAGGGCATGGTTTCCCATGTATCCTGGAATCCAAGCCAAACCAATCAAGGGCAACCTGACCATTGGACCTTATGAAGCTCCAAATGGATATTCTCATTCGGGATCAGCTCCTCCAGTGGCTGATTTGTTTCCCCTCCAATGCTACACCAGAAAGAAGTCCCTAATTTTTCAAATGTCTGGCAAGAGAACGTGCAGAAGAAAACGCATCCAGGACAAATCTACTGTTGAGGTCCTGCACTTGTGTTGATGCTACGCCGTGTGCGTGCCAAATCGACAGGAAGCCTTCCGATCTTCGGCTACACTTAAGCAAAGCTATCCGGATGTTTCACATGAGATCCCCCGCAGTTTTCCGGCCGCCCCACGAATTCAGCTTGTTGGAACTATTCCCAATTGACCTCAATCGGGGGCTTTGAACGGACCTTGTGGTAAGCTAGCTTTTTGTCTGATGGGACCAAACTCGGACCAGCAAAGTCGGACCCTGAAATTAACCCCAATCTTGGGGTTGATGACTTGGGAGGTTCCCATACTTCTTACTTCCTGGGTCCAAGGCTGGCCCATTTGAGTCTGCCCCTCACAAAAACGCGAAAGCTGTATGCGCGGTTTGCAGGCTGTCGTCACACCAAGTGCCGTGAAACCAGACAGACAGTTCAAGGGCCCAGCGTTCAAGGGTTAGCCAAACCACATGTTTCTACACCAAAAGGCCAACAGGTCTGTGGTTGACATATTTCATTCATGAATTCACCAGCCAAAAGGGATGTGAAAAGAACCTTCAGGGAGGAAACGGTCGCACACCCAACCCATTTGTGAGATCGCACAACCCTGGAAAAAGGCGAACCCTTGCTGAATTGCGAATCTTTGGCGGGGAACCCATCAACCAAAAAGGGGAACAAAACACTCTCGCACGCGCCTGGCTCAACCTCCATCTCCTGCAATTCCCAGTGGTAGGCTGGTTCCATTTGTGATTGCCCCAAGCTACCAAGGGGTGCTTGATTCCCCCAAAAACAATTAAAACAACCTCGGCCGAAGTCGCCTTTGGGGCAAGCAACGGAACCTGATCACAAAAGCCATTTTCAAGAGGCAGCCTGACACATGTTGAACACCCTTTCAGGTCACCCCTTGAAAATAGCCCGTATGGTCACTTGTCTGGGAAAGACTTTGCACAAACTGGGTATGTGATGGTGGCGCCCCAAAAAGCCATGCCAAAAGTAATAGATAGATTGCAGAGCCTCCAAATGTGCGTGCTTTTGTTATGTTTGTGGAATCAAATGTAGTAGGCAGAGATTGCTCCTTTGTGGCCGACATCAAGCTGGCTGTTTTTTTTGCAGTCCCAGCTATCATGGAACTGCACAAATCAGTGGAGTTCCATGCCTGGAAAAAGGGAATTTCCAAAACCTAACATCCTGCTGGCGCATGAGCAGAATCTCGTCTCTCAATGTAGGCATCGGACAACTTCAAACTGCTGGCTTTTTGCTATTTCCAGTTGTGTCACCCTGCAATCTGGCACCTTGCCCCCCTCCCCCCACATCATGGATTTGTTTACATCCTACCGAGTTGGAAGTTGTTACCCGAAACGCGGGTCTGTCATGGTGCAGCTGCCAAAGAGCAACAGCGTTGCTGGACCCAATTGATGATTTGGATTGGTAGCTTTGTGATTAGGGGAGAGTTTGCATGTATTGTCAACAGCAAACAGGCAGGAGTTCATATCTATTCAAATCCCAAATCATCAATCCAAACCCCGACTAAGAGGTACATGAAAATCCTGGAAGCAGGCATCCGTTCTTAGGCAAGCCACGAGCCATGCAGGGTTCCTGAGAAGTGTCCTCACGTCTTACCGTGAAGAGAAGGCTCAATCAACATTGACCCAAAAGGTGATGGCAAAACCCTACAGGAGAAAGAAGGATCTGGCTACAAGGTTCATAGGGGCAGTTGGCAGGACATAGGCTTGTCTCCAATTGGACATGCACCCCCCGTGACGGCGCCCGTTTTGCCTTTGGATTCCCTTGAATACCCCGAAACGGTGCGAGCCACAAAACACAACTACCCAAAACTGCCCCCCTGCCCTTGTCCCACGTTGGCCAGCCCATTTCAAACAGGAGCAACAGGGGTCTAATACGAAGTCGATGAGAACTTCAGGTAGTGTGTTTGTTTTGTGGTTGTTCATTGTTTGTGAGGAGTGCGGGCTGCTTCAAGGCGCAACCAAAGGGACGATCGTCCATGTGCAGAGTCTTCAGATACACCCACCTCGATACTTTTCCAACTGGGAATGCCCTCCCGGAAAGGTGTGCGCTGAGGAGAATGTGTTTGGAGGCCGTGTCCGGCAATCATTGTCAAGTTGATACCATATCTGTGTCCTCAAGCAGACCGGATGGGATTTGTCGTGGTATGGACACAATGCCATTCTAAGAGGTGTTTTGGAATCAAGCATTCAACTATACAATACTTGCGTGACTCCCAAATGGGTACCAAGGTGCTGATTCCCCAACTGAAGTGGGAAACTTGGTGGTCCATCCTTCTTGTCCTCCCCAAACCAACGACAGGGGCCACAGGGGGTGGTCCCTAAACCAACACGACTACCAAGAACTCACGTGAACCAAACAAAACACACACACACACACACTCACACGCATCCAAATGCCACAGCAACACAGCCGCCATCTCCAAGACTCCTCAGCCTCAGGCGAAGCTTCCTTAGGCGATGCTTCTTTGGCAGCTTTGGGAGCCTCCTTCTTCGACTCCTTCTTTTCTTTCTTCTCCTTCTTATCCTTCGGCTCCTTCGCTTCCTTCTCTTTTGAGGTGTCCTTCGCTTTTTCCTTTTTCGGAGTCTCCTTCTTGGAAGGCTCCTGAGGACTTGGAGCCTTAAGGTGGAACTTGCATATGGGAAACTTTGCGGAAGGCTGGCAAACAGGGGATGCGCATACCCCCCAGTGCTCGTCTACGAAGGACTCCTTCTCCTTCTCCTTCTCCTTCTCGCTCTTCTTCTCCTCTTTCTTCGCGTCCTTCTTTGGAGCTTTGGCCTCTACTTTTGGCTCCTGACTTGCAAGGCTCCGAGCTGTGCCATGTCAATTCCAGTTGGCAAGCCGCTGTAGATATCCCTTGATCTTCACATTTCCAGGTCACACAATTCCCAAGGGAAGGTACATCTTTCCCCGATCGGTGAGCAAATCTGCAAGTGCGAAGGGCTCCATCGATGGGACTGTCAGGCACTTTTTTGGGCGTGCCAGTAGGAAACCAAAGCGAGCCCATTAGATTTACAGCCACATCCCTTCTTCTCCGAAAAAAGCTTTCGGCAACCGGTCGTTTAAATCCCTGAATTGGCCTGGCCGGGTGATGTCTTGTTTTTCAACTTGTGGCTTTCATGACTACATGTTCCTCCTGGTCACCAGCCACAATGGCAACTGGATTCACAGTGACATTCTGGTGAGGCGCTTGGAGGTGATGACAAAAAACACCTCTGGCAGTTTATAGGGCTCGATGGATGGATGTTTCAGACACTGGCGAGACACGATCTTTGAACCTCATCTTCCACGTTCCTTTGTTTCAACCACCACTTGGAGTCTTTTTTATCCGAAGCCGAAAAGAACCTGCGAGCTACAGCCATGTCTCTTCCCCCCCGAAATTTGCTGTGCTCCTCTGCCTTGGCTTTGCCATCCTCCTGAAAGATCATGTTTCACCCAATGCCTATGGTTTCCTTTTGGCCCCCCTTTAGCAAGGAAAGTCTACCACGTTGAGAACCCCCCTCCGACAAAAAGAAAGAAACCACAAGGGGTCCTCACAGATGTAGTTTTACAGCTCCAATGCTTGCAAGACACTGTCCCCACGCCCGCTCTCTAAAAAGTGTTTGCCTTTTGATGGCGCTCAGTTGAAGCGCGCCTCGGCCTCTTTGTCGGAGGGCTTCACCTCAGGCCCCTGGACCCCCGAAAAAACGGACGCAGAAAACCCGTTTTGCGTGCACAGGGAAACAGAAAAAGTGTTTAACCAGCATAAAACGGGGGTTACAAAGGGTCATTATAATAAAAGCCAATGAAGCGGTAAGGGGTACATTGGGGCCACGTTCCCCAGGGATATGTTCCTACTTCCCTTGAAAATATTCAGAGTTCGACGACCAAGCCAAGTCCACTGCGCTTGAGGACAAAGCATGCACGGTGCTACCCCACAAACATGAACCGAGCCAGGGCGCATGGACAATGTGCAGGCGTACATATGGTGTGTCTGCGTACCTACGTGCGTACGTGCGTGCCTGCCTGCCTGCGTGCGTTGCTGTGTGTGCGTGCGCGCGCCTGAGGTGCGTGTGTTTGTTTGTGTGTGTGTGTGTGCGCATGTGTGAAAAGAAGCTGATGTGCTAGCTGGACAAATACGTATAAAACAGCGAGTGATACACAACAAGCACACTCAGTGAAGTGCAGTGTGGTCAGCAGGAAGAGGAATGAGATCTAGAGCGAGCTTTAGAAAGAGATGTAACTTGCGCGCCAATCCATTCCAATCTCTTTCCTCATCTCGCTTCGTGCGAGATGTTGATAGGAAAGAGATCGCCCAACCCATACCAACCAAGAAGAGAGAAACGGCTGGTGAGATAAAGGGTTGAGTGAGAGGAAGGGGATGATCTCTTAACCATTCCTCGTCTACCCGCCACCTGAAAGAGATTTTAGAATGGTGGCATACCTTTCCTTTCCTAACCGTTTCCCTACCAACATAAATAAATAAACGCTGGGAAACGATAAAGGGACAGATATGAGTGAGAGCTGTGAATGGGATGGCTCTCCGAATATCTTACTTTCATTGCCAACAGCGCCTCTCTTGGCTAGGCTGCAGTGCCTTCCCCGCCGGATACACAGGGTGAAACAAAATAAGAAGGTGCCGCCGATACACCACGGTGAAACAAAATAAGAAGGTGCGATCTACTTCACCCCGCGGTGAGGGCCATAAGCCCCCTTCCATTTGTGAGACAAATTTGGCATAAAGCGCCACGTCTTTGACAACTTGTCAACTATGATGTTGACCCACACGAAGTGATATCCAGATATCTATTATAATATATCAGCTATATCGGGGCCCTAAAATACACGTATTCAAGTCTTCTCACAAGCATCTGGTCACAAAATATGATAAGTACGATAATGCTAGTCTCTTTTTCTGATTCACGTGCAAACACGCGAGATAAAGAAAACAACAAAGCACATGTGGCAAGGCCACCCGCAGTCTAACACTCAGCTATGTTGACAAACTATCCGATCACATGTAACACGCATGGTGGCAAACACACACACAAAACAAACACACCAGCAAACAAACAACCAAACAATGCAAGCAGCTTTAGAAAGCAGCCAACCAACCAACCAACCAACCGACCAAACAAACAACCAAACAAACAAACAAAGAATCAAACAAACCCAAGCAACCAAGCAACCAAGCAACCAAGCAACCAAGCAACCAAGCAACCAAGCAACCAAGCAACCAAGCAACCAACCAACCAATCAACCGCAACAAGCAAACACACAAACAAAGAATCAATCAACAAACAAACAAACAAATCAACAAACAAACAAACAAACAAACAAACAAACATACAAACAAACAAACAAACAAACAAACAAACAAAAAAGAAACAAACAGACAAACAGCCAGGTCAAACCGCTACTGTGCTCCTTTGCGATTCAAGCGCCACATGTCCTCAACACACTGCGCTGGCCAATGAACTCAGCAAATGCTCTCCAAAAGACGCCAAACACACTTTCCACGCACTCCTTCGTTTCGGAAAAAAATGTCTCTCACCTCACCGTGGTGAAAGACATGGGTGAAGCTGGTCATGGCCGGAAATCATCCAGTGACGCCAGCGGGCCAGCCTTGACTTTGTGATTATTACACAGGCTTTCCCTTGAGCCATGGTCAAATCCACAAAAAGCAGCGCGTGTCCAGGCTCGTCCTGAGAAAATCGGGAAGACCTCCGGGAGCCCCTGCGAAAGGAGTAGGCTCCCCAGTGTCCACCTCCAGTAAAGGCAGGGCGGCCAGCTCGGTCGCCTCCTGTTTTGGCGGGCGCGAGCGTTTGTGGCATGAGAAACTGGAGCGGGTGTGTTAGTTTGTGAGGGTACCGCAGTTTGTTGCTTCTTTACAACTTTTGGTTTGGAAGGAACCCCAAAAAGGAACACCCACTTAATTTGGGGGTCCTTTAACGGAAGCCGAGCCACCCAGAAGGTTCTGTTGATTCGATTGGGTCATTGGGACTTTGCCCCTTGAAGCCACTCGAAAGCAACAGCCCCCCTTCTGGCCGATGTTTATGCGGCACCGAATGTCACAGACCTCCCACCAAAAACGGGCAACCTGAGTGTCGTCTCTGGATGCTGCTCAAAATTGAGGACCCCTTTTAAGAAAAATGAAACCACCTACTGTACCTGGAGGGGCCCCCAATTTTTGAGAAACACACACACACATATATTGTATATATTATACACATAGTCTCCCTCCTTCTGAATTGTGCGGTTTTGCGCTCATTGCATGTACGTAAGCAAATGTACCCTGACCTCTGGGCAAGGCAGGCTGATCTCTGGCCGCGGGATCCCAAGGTGACTCATTCCCATGGCTACTTTGTCACTTTGGAGGGGACTGTTGGCCACGGAAAGTGGCCTACCAACCCTTCCCCTACAAAGAGCATCTAACTTATTTCAAAACAACCAAAAACAAACAGAAGCTGCAAATAGCTACAGCCTAGAACCTGCAAAGGTCTAGACTTGTGAAACTTCTCAACCAAGCGGCCTGACAAAAGGAGTCCCTCGGCCAAAGCCCGATTTTCCACCGCCCTGAATTGCACTCTGTTAGAATCAAAAAGTAACCGCCGAGTCCGACAGAAATCTGATTTCCAGGAAGAACCGCCCTTGTGAATTGTGTGACCAATCTATGACCTCAGCCAGACTTGAACCTCCTGCAACAAGTTTCACACACAATTGGACCGTAAAACCGAGGTGAAATGGAAAGTGAATCAAAACCGAGACGAAACACGCCAGACGTATATCAGCTTCCCCACAAATTGATACAAATTGGTGATTCGCAGCGCGCTGGTTTGGTTCCGGGGTGGTTTCAGAGTCCCCCTAGGAGAACCAGAAATTCCTGTATCCAAATCCAAACTTCACCCGGCTCCAAGCCACCGATTAAGGGTCACTTGACTAACTTCAAACCAATCACAAGCCATGGGAACTTTCTGGGAGTCCAACCTGTTGAGTATGTCTTCTAAGACTCCCTTGGCTCACAGGCTCCTCGGAGGACAGGCTGGGAGCTTTCCAGCCACCTGGCACGAGTTGACGAGTCGGGGCGACTGCGACTAGACTAGGCGAAGGAAGGCAACCTCCTTCACTTCCTCAGCAAATTGGGCAAACAAACGTTTAGAATTGCTTGCTTGCCCTTATTTTTTCCTAACACAAAAATTATGAACACAACCACTCAAAAAATGAGCCACGCAATGAAGCAAAGATACACAGACACAGACAGAAACACAGAAACACGCATCTGCACATGGATGTCTTCCCCCTGTTCCACTTTGGGCCCTCACCTTTTGGCTCCTCCTCGAAGAAGTAGAGCGCAAAGGTGGACCGCAGCTTGTCCGGCGCCTCCCCAACCTGAACGTGGGCGCTTTTTGAGGGCCGCCGAGGCGACCCCTCAAAACCACCCAGGGTTTTACACCCATCTGCAGAACTGAGTATTAATTGGCCGTGGGTCAAAATCCAAATCGTAATCTCAGTGAACATCCCAATCCAACCACGAAAATAGGTTCTAAAATGGGTAGTGAATTCACCTACCTGAAAATGGTACCATTGGTGTTGAATCTTCAAAGCCGGGGACGAAAGTAAATCAATGATCAATCTTCACTTTGGGTTTACTTCACACCCATGATCTGCAGAACTGACTAGTATCAATCTTCAAGCCGGCGACACAAAACAAAAGCTAACCAATACTCAGTTGCCCAAAGGACCCAGAAATAAAGGGTCAGCTTTTTGGGACCGCTACTACAAAATGAAAACATTGGAACACCAAAAGGTCAAAAGGTCGGGCTCCAGGCAACTGAGAATATCTAGGGTCTCTGCTCAAATAAGCAGGGGTGGTTTGGGGCAGCTTTGAGGGAGCGTTCAAAACGAGGGTTCCGGGAGGTGCTGGGGTCTGTTGGGGATACCACCTGGGAGTTCCTCTAGCCGGATCACGGATCCAATCCGTCTCAGGCCTTGGGCTTTATCCTGCAGGGCAGCGCAAAAACAGCGCCGCTCTCCACTTTGGTCTCAATCTCCTTGCAACCCGAAAGGAGATCGATCCACTTGAGGGAAGAACCTATCCGCGACCAAAAAAGGTGCTTGGAGTTCCTGCGTGGAATCCTAGGGGCTGCTAAAAGGCTGCTGAGAATCATTCCGGTAAATGAGGGGCCCTAAAGCCCACGGCGCATTTGCGTGTGGCTTAAAAATAGGGGACCTGTTGGTTTCTCTTCAAACCCCAAAACAGGGGGCCCAAAAACAAAAAACACACACACACACAACTGACATCTTTGTTGAACAGCTTTCTTTCTCATGCCAAAGTGCAAGCCTGACAAAAACAATCTGGACAGCACTTTGTGTCTGACGCATCTACGTGTTTGTTTCTTTTGCTGATTGTGTTATTCTGCTTGAGGGATTGTTGAAGCAGCACCAAAGGAAAAACCACCATATATCAGGCATTCCACATGTTGGGAGTCACCCGAAAATATCAACATCCTTTCGGCCAACATACGCAAAACCTGAGATCGTTGCCTGGTGCTGGAAAACCTCCTAAAGTGGCTCATATTCTCATTGGCAGCGAAATGGCCCCGAGCATTGCTTGGAAGCAAGCTGATCCTTGGCTTCCCGTTATAGGTAGCCCTTTTCTATTTCGCGTGTCGCAAGCTTTGCGGCGTTTGCCCTCTGCCCAAACATTTCAACCTTTTGCTAGCTAGGGGGAAGCATCCGAAGGCGGACGGTTATTTCGTATGCAGATTGAGAATTTGAAAGACTGATACGACAAAATCAAGCCGCTGTCTTGCCACGAACAACCATAAAAAAGGAAAATCAATCGACCCTTGATTTGAAGCATACATAGCGTGGCCTGTTTGAATTGTTGAATCTCAAAACAAAAAGCAAAAATAAGCTCGCCAGGGAGGAGCGAAACACCTGTAAACTAGAGGGCACTACAGAGACCGGAAACCTGACGACGCATCGCCCAATCGCGCGTGGTCCTTCCCTAATCTTGCCCAGCCTTTGCTGCCTTTCACCTGGCAAGCGATTAGGGCATTTGAGTTGAAATTCACTCAAACACACACACATGTTGTTTGTATTTGTATTGGGCTCATTTTCCCTTGGCTTCCCATTTGAAGACAGGGATCTGATCTTTTTCTCCAGCGGGGCTTTGCCACGAAGCACCGGGCCATAGGACCACGCCATGATCCCTGTGCTCTTGCAATGCGCGGCCAACCTGAAAAACAAAAAAAACTGTTTGACACAGCACAGAAGCAAAGCAGTGAGTTTTGCAAAACACATCATGTCCAGCGCCACAAAGCCATGGGAATGCCAAAGAACCAGTTGGGAAGGGCCCCCCTTCCCAAATTACTTGGGTGGGGATGGGGGTGCTTTGCCTCTTACCTCACGGAGAATGCATAAGTTGGACGCCATACGAGCAACGCACTTACTTGCAAATGTGCACGCGACAGGTCACGAGAAAACGGCGGAGCGGGGGCGGGGGGGGGGTCCCCCTGTTTTTTTTGTGGGAAGGTTCCCCATTCTTGTCCTCTCCAAACAACATTGTACACATATATTTAGTAATAGTGTCAGTGACTTATCAAGAAAGCAACATATTTTGAGCTGGCCGAGATAACATTCCAAACCAGACAAAGGAAAGAACAAACGTCAAGCGATCATCCATTGATCAGGAAACGGATCCTTCATACTAATGTCCTGTCACCCGTTGCAGCTAGAGGTGCCAACAAACCAAGAGCAATGAAAGGGCAACCTCAGGGTATCCCCAAAACATGCAGTATGAGGATCTAGATGACTTGCTGTGATCCACGATCCTAAAAAGTGCCCCACAACCCTATTCTACTTACTCAGGCCCTTGCATTACTCCTTTTCTACGCGCAGCCAGATGCTTAATTTTGTTGTTTCTCTCTGGGGGGGATACCTAAAGTTGTCCCTGCAATCAGTCAATACTGGAAGAAGACGCCAGCTCATCTCAAACGGAACACTCCCGTACTCGTCCAAGACCGCCCGGGGACTGGCGTCTGAACAGTCTGGCGAAGAGAATGGAACCAGCTTTTTGAAAAAGGGTCCCTTCAGACCATTCCGCCCAATCCCAGAAATCACCCAATCACTCAACCAAAATCAATGTGTTTTAAAACAAACATACGAATCGAAGATAGCAACCAAACAAACGCGAATAAAAAATCACACACACACACCCGCACACACCCAACCCGACCGAACGACCGACCCACCGACCAACTAAGCAGCCAAGACAAGCCACACCAAACAAAGCAAACAACACTCCAACGAAAGCAAACAAAGAATACCAAACAATCCACATAAAGCAAACAAAGCCCAACACAACACAAAGAAACCAAACAACACCAGGGATTGCCAAGTCCAACAAACAAACAAACAAACAAACAAACAAACAAACAAACAAATAAACAATCAAATGAAAAAACAAACAACAATAAGTACATAAAGACATAGACAATCGAATACAGAAAGAACGACATAAACAAAGAAACAAACGACTCCAGCAGAAAGTCAGACACCGCAACTTGAAAATCCAACTTTGAAGCGACCTTGGCCGCTGAGCCGTTGGAGCTGAGATCCTTCACCGTGACGCTGGGCGCGATGCCTGCGGCTGCAACCCGCTGTGGGAGAGTCGAAAGAGGGAAATTTGGAGCCGAAAATTCGGAGCCCATGTTAATTCCGGAGCCGACAATTCTGGCGCTGGTGGGGAACCACACATGTTGCCTGCAAGTTCATGGTTAAGGATCCAAGAAAATAGGGGTAATCATGGGCTCCAAAACATGATATCCCCGAGACGGATTGGATTGGTGAACTAGCCTTAACCACCAAACCACCAATCGGACAGGGGTCGCTGGAATTCCAGAGGTCACTGGATTTCTCCTACAGTTGATCGATCTACGGGTTTCAGTTGATACGATCGCCACTTTTGGAGGTTCCAAAAAGGGACAAGGAGGGAACTCTGCAAAAGTATGGGCTTCTTTAGAATGTCAACACAACCCTTCTCGCCAGGGCAAATTATTGGATTCCCGCAGTCCTTCCACTAGTCAGCTGACCTGATTGAGCTTGTCAGATCAGTGGTCTGTGAATTTTCATGCAGTTTAATGTTTCTGCGATATTTGCAGCCCTTGGATATCTTGTCTAGTTCAACACAAAGCAATTCTTGGCCCTTTGTTTGAAGCCATCGCCTGTGCTGTTTGATTTATCACGACGACCCCTTTTTCCCCCGCCCGAGATGTCATAAGTTCAGGTGCAAGGCTCTCTGGTCGCTGTGGACGCCTGTAATACAAACAGCCCTGCACAGAGAAACTCTGTTGGGTTTGGGCTTTCTGAACTTTTATGTCAATGCAAGGGAGCATTCACACTGATTTATGGTGGGGACCGTCCCCTGGTTCCAATGACCCCGGTTTGGATATTGCCCCACGCTAATTTGGACATATCTGTTCGCCTCCTTCGGTTCCAACAATCACTTGGAGCGAGCATCAGCGAGTGGGTGTGTCGCATTGATGGAGAAGCAAAGCTGGCATCCTTTTTGGGTTGCTTCAAAGGGAAACGTAACAGAAAAGCGAGGCCAATTTGGGCTTCCCTGCTTTGAGATCCCAAAATGAAAGGTTACTGCAACCTTGACTAAAACTGCATTCGGAGAAGCCAACCCAGCTGTTCGGTTGACTCAATTTTAAGGGAAACCCTCAGAACCACTCCGAAGCCTAGCTGGGCAAAGACCGAGCTTTCAGCTGGTAAGAAACATTTTCAGGGCGCTGGAGCTGGTTCAAGGCTTTGAGGGAAGACTTGTGGGCTGCGATTGGAAGCTGTGACTTGGAATGGGGGAACGGAGATAGGTGAGACTGGGGCGTTTTGAGGGAACCCTTTCGGCGTGTTGAAGAAAGAAACCAAAGCCCATTGATGTCGAGCCTGCATGAACCTACTTGGTGGATTACTGGGGGGAGTTCCGTGATGGATTCCCTCTAAAACGGGGAACCCCCCAACATATTGCTTATTTGGGCATGCGCTAAGAAAGGCTAATAGGGGGACCCAAAAGGTGATGTTCCTCTTGGTTTCCATTTTCACCGAAATGAAAGCGTACCCTGTAAAAAACACACACACACACTTGATCCTGGGCTCCCATGAGGATTCACAATTATCTTAGAAACTCCAACTCTTTTGCGCCTTGGCTGACGCTGCCCCGGTTCAGCGTCACGGTCATGTGATTCCATGAAACGTTCGGGTTCCTCGGGCAAACTGACCGGCGCGAACCGAAATTGGATTTGGGGATGGGCGGGATTCAGGGTCCGTTTAGGGACTGTTCACAATTGTATAAGGCTCCGTCTAGGTTTGTGTGAGGGCCCGTTTAGGTTTGACACACCCCGCCTACTTATCAAGCAACACCAAACAGCCAATGAAGCTTCTACTTCTTGAAACGAGAGCTGCAGCTCTATGCAACCAGCCCCCGAAATATCGTCCAGCAAGTGTTGAATGTTTGCTCAGAATCGTGGGTGATTCCAGGGTGCAAAACCCAACATGTTGGAATCTGCAGCTGTCGTTCAAGCTTTGATATCATATGAGCCGCGGTCAAAGCTCCTTGCAAGGCCTATGGTTATGGCTCCCTCAACAGAAATCATTTTAATGGTTGAGCATCCTTACTACCAGATAGATGACCATCCCTGCTAACCCCAAGAAGGACAAAGTGTTTTACCATTGCACATATGCTTCCTGGTGGACTGCACGCACGCGCGAATCTGAAAAGTGGAAACACTTTTATATAGATGGGTTTTACAAGCAAAGGAAACCAACGATTTGCGTTGTCTCAAATACGGGCAATCATGTGTGTCTCAAAAAACGGAGAATCTACCAAGTGGGTGGTTTGCATTTGGCTTCCCTTCCAAGCAATCCCGAAATAACGCACCTTCAAAACCGCACGCCCGCGTCCCCTTGGGAGACATTTCGTTTCACGCCCCACCCAAGTGACAAATGTTCATCAAACGTGGCCCACAGCGACCAACAGAAACTCCTTGCGCGCACACATCAGGCGCTTGCCAACTCGAATGGGCAATTTGCGGGAAAGTGGCCGGCCAGTCGCGCTTGGTTGGGACAAGGGCCTTTTAGCCGGGTGACAAAAAGGGGTGTGGTGTGGGGAAAACTATGGCACACAATCATTTCTGTTGGTTTCCAAATTTGACCAGCCTCTTGTGGTGTCCTTGCAGACAATAGAAATTGTGCGCCAAGCACAATTTCAGCAGCAAAAAGACCCTTGCAAGTCTAGTCTTCCGCCGTTCCAGAGGACATTTCCTGGTTCCTTAAGAACCTCAGACTCCTCAATAAGTCAAATCTCCAGATTGCTGATCTGACCCGCATTGTGCGGTCATTGTAAAAAAGATCGGGGCGGGGGGGAGGTTTGGGGGGGGGGGTGTTGATTGAATTGTACATGATTGACCCTTGCTGTAGGAATGCCTTGTATCATACTTTGTACTGCATGTGAATGTCACAGCTTGATATCTTTGCTTGTGCGTTCCGCTCTGGCTTAATCCACAGTCTCACAAAAAATAGCTGCGCAGCCATAAAAGAGACATCAGTCTCCGCACCTCGTCATTCTAACTGCTTGGGAATATATCTGTATCCTTTGAGCCCTATTTACACTACAGGGGGGAGATGGTACCGTTCTTGTTCATTGAGAACACATCTCATGAGTTCTGTGCAATCGTGGTGACTCTACGGAACGGCATTGTTTGCTGACTGATTAAAAGGCTCGTCTTCTTGCAGCTTTTTACATGTTGGGACTAACATCGGTGTGGTCCATGATCATTCCTTCCAAAGACACAATCACAATTGGGTGGATGTGGCCCATTTTAATTCCTGCCAAAAACAAAATCATTTGTTTGACTCAAATCACAATTGAATTAACCACATCCACCAATCTTGGTCCCGACGCATGGCAAACAACACTTGATTCTCAGTATATTGTTTCAGGAAAGCATCACAAACAAAAACAACAATGCCCTTGCCAAAGGTATCAAGCATTCTCGAAGGCAGTCGTCTAGCACATGCACCGCTTGTACCGGATTACCCTTTTTGGGATTGGCCTTGATTGGAAACAAAAAACAAGAAACTCGTCATTGTGGAGGTACCCCTGCTCTGACAAAATGGGTGTGTGTTTTTTAGGGGACCGCCCCAAAATGGCTTCGGTTTTCCTGTTTGGCTTCCCTTTAACACCAACCCAAAAAAGGTATCTGAAAAAAGACAGACCCACATACGTGTAAGTCCAGGTTTACTTTGACTGGACTCCCAATCCTCTGCAAATTTCCGCAACATGAGTTTGAAGCGGGCGAACCCCCCGACAACAGCATGCAAGGAACCAAACCACCAAGGTGGCTTCTGGTTGAAGGGAAACCCATCCAAAAAGGAAGCAGTGATGGGGAAAATATCATAAACACATAGTACAAGTAGGTATATAAGCACAGTGTAGCAAGCATGAAACTGAACGCATTGATTGGGAACATCTCATGAAACAATATTACTAAACCATAGGTATTAAAAACAATGTAGGTAAACGCAATGCAATGAAACAAACAATGCAACGATCAAATTCACACTAATCTCATGAAAATGCAAGTTTACAACAAAGATAAGCTCTGTGAAACAAAACATGCGTAAACGATCAAACCACCACTCAAACTCAAGGACTCGGGCTGACGGACGATGACAATTTCTCCAAGTGCCCCGACCCGAATAGCACGTCGCTCCGGGGGTTACGTCCCACACGGATCACCTGGCGAATTGGCGATCCTGTCCCGTGTGAAAAAGCGGACTGCGGGTGAAGGTCCACCAATTCCACTTTGGTGTGTCGTTTCCTTTGTTAGGACACCCCAAAACGGTGGTTGTCCTTTTGGTTTCCCCTTTGGAAAGAACAACATGATACCCTCAAAAAAAGAAACGCGCATTTGTGTCTTGAAAGAATGGATGGAACGAATGAGGATTTCCAGGGGTCACTTCCTGACCTAATCCCACTCTGCTGAGGGATCATATCGGGTTTCATCTCTTCTCAAACAAAACAATTGTGTTGATCGCCCTTAAGAACCCGAATGGGTTCTATCTCGCCAACCCAAAAAGAAGCTCCAGTTTGTTTGGTGATTCCAGAGTCCAGTGGCGTGAATGTGGACCCGCATGCTTTGTGAAAAAGATCGCAACCCGAGAAGGCAAGCAATTTGTTATGCCCGGACACTCCATGTAGTGCATGTTGCATTGTGGAGGATGCAATACATCAATAAATGTGTATTCTGTGTAGTATATATATATATGCATACACCTCTTTGTTGTACCCCCCATGGACGCATGTTTTGGTCAACAAACCAACCAACCAACCAAACAAATCAATCCAACCAACCTACCAACCAAACCAAACCAAACCCAATCAAACCAAACCAAACCAAAGCAACAATCAATCAACAAACACAACGTATCAAACAGGCAAGCAAACAAACAATCAAGCAAGCAAGCAAGCAAGCAAACAAACACACAATTAAACAAGCCAGCAAGCAGAAAACAACGACAAGGCAACAAACCGGCAAACCACCAACACACCAAAACAGCAAAAACATGAAACAATCAAGACAGCAAGCAAACACACACACACAAACAGAAGACATAACAATCCAAAAGAACAAACTAACACACACACACACAACAATCCAAACAAAGCACACAAACAAGCACACACACAACAAGCAAGCAAGCAAGCAAGCAAGCAAGCAAGCAAGCAAGCAAGCAAGCAAGCAAGCAAGCAAGCAAGCAAGCAAGCAAGCAGGTAGGCAGGCAAGCAAGCAAGCAAGCAAGCAAGCAAGCAAGCAAGCAAGCAAGCAAGCAAGCACACAAGCAACCAGCCAGACAGGCAGGCAGGCAGGCAGGCAGGAAGGCAGGCAGGCAGGCAGGCAGGCAGGCAGGAAGGCAGGCAGGCAAGCAGGCAGGCAGGCAAGCAAGCAAGCAAGCAAGCAAGCAGCCACACATACAAATAAACAAAGACACACCCAAACAAACAAAGACACAAGCAAAGCAAGCAAGCAAGCAAACAAACAACAAACAAAGGAAACCGGTTCCTATGCGCTGCGACCGCCCAGGCCTTGTTCTTCCGATTGGGCTTCAGGACTAACTTTTTCACGGATTCACCTTCTTCACCTCCGCTACCCACCACCACTGTTGCCTCAGCATGGCATGGAATCTCCGATCCCTATCTAGGGCTTCCTAAAGTCTTGACACGTTGCTGTCCAGTTTCTGTTCAACTTGTTCTTTGTATCGGCGCGTTCAGCTTGCACCAAAAGACACTGGAACTGTGTGTAGGTACCATCCTGAAGCTCATTGGCTAGAACCTATTCATCGGGACACACATTTTGGTTAGTATCTCTCAAAGGTGAAGTTGGGTTTTAGCCCAGGCGAAGGGGAAAGGATCTGGATCTGTCCTCTTACATCGGGTCGACCATATCTAAAACTGACTATCTGGCTTTCATTTGTCAACCTGCTCTCTGGGGAACCTTCACCCTGTACAGAATCATTTGCGTCACCCCTTGGCAAATGAAGAGCAAGATTGATGTTAGGTTCAGATGAAAACCCAAGGCCGAGCAAAGCAGGACGTGTGTGTGCGTGTACAACCAACAGCCTTGCTCATTCAACCGATGCTCCCGTCTCATTTCGGGATCTCTTTCACAAAGGTACTGACAAATACAAACCGAGGAAGCAAAACACTGAAAAGTAAGCCGAAGCAAGTACCCAGCGGCGTGACCCAATCCGTTGGGATGCCAATTTGGGGATCCCCAGGAACTGGTTGAAGCTATAGCTTCGCGAAAGCAACGCTGGGTTTTGTATTGCAAACTCCTCACATCAAGCTGGAAATTTCAGATCTTCCCAACTCTTGAAGTAGAACATGTGTGTGCTGGCGAGCCTGGTTATAAAGGAAGGCGAAAAGAAGGCCAACCATGTTATAGCAAACCAAGCAGCAAAGCACTAACGCCCAGTAAGGGGACAGAGCTCTTCATCAGCAGTCAGCCCGACTCGATTGTCTCTGGCCACGTCCGCAACATCCCACCGCCAGCCCAAAGCAAGTTAGACTCTCAATCGGGTAAACCTGGTGAGGGCGAACTCTGTTTTTCCAGCATAGTAGGGGGAACCGTTCGTTCTGTCCAACACTCAATGTGTTTATGTGAACCTCCGTTCTTCACACATGGCCCGGCTTCAGTCAGCAGGTAAGGGGCCAGCAGTCCTAGTCGTCTAAGCCCGGTCCTCTCATATATGATCTATGTTTCATATATGCCTTTGTTTTGCCGTAAAGGACAGGAACATGCGGGAATTGAACTTTGTCCCCGTGGTTTTTGTGCGACGATTCGCAAGTCCCCCCTGTCCGGACCAAATGGAGAATAGAGCACGGGACAGTTTGACCAAACCTGCTCATTGGTTGAACTCCAAGGTTATGGGAACCTTCTGGCAAGATTTGCTTTTATCACGTGCCAGAAAAGCCTTGACTTGGTGCTAGAATGACGAAGGTGTCCACTCTCTGAGTAAAGTTTGAAGTACGGGGGAAGTGGGCTCGCTTGGGAGAATCAGCCGTGGCCTAAAGGAAAACACTGGGTGGGGAGGTTGCTCTGGGCTTGGCATTCCATGGTGCAAGCTCGAATCACCCCCTCCTGCCGTGAATGCATGTTCCCGGAACAAGTGACTCAAGGACTACGGAATAAACTAGGGAGCGAAAGCCCGCTACCCTTCCTCCCACAAACATAGCACCTGTGGGAGGGTACCTTGAAGATCAGGTTCCTCTTAAAGGAACCCCCTGTCAGGTGGATTGTGAGTGAGAGGGAGATCAAATTTGCTTGAGAACTCGAAGTCAACCTCCACTGGTCTGCACCCCTTCCTTACCAACTTGTCGCCTTCAATCGAGCCAAAACCAGTTAAAATCACCAGGGTGTGTGTTCTTGAAACCGACCCCCCCCCCCCCCCAGCAAAAAGAAAAGCATTGGATTACTCAGCATGTCCTTGGACATTGCAAGCCAACTTCCTGTAGGGGCGGACCCGCGGTTCGATGTTAGCCGGGAGGGTAGACACCATGGCTCAAATAGATTGATCGATGAGGGTTGCCAATATGGTTTGCTAGCGTGGTTCCAATCTCATGATGGCTTGCGCACAATGTAGCAAGTGCTCTTTGTGGCAGGCAGCTTGCTACTTAAATAGGAGAACAGGCAACTCGCCCAGACGATGCACAGCACAACAGTATGTTGGTTTCTTACCAAGATGTACAATTGTGTTGGGAGACATACCGTATACCAAGAGACCCTCAAGAACACACCAAGTGTACAACTTAACCGTAGACTACCTGGAACATGTTCAATTGCTCATACAGACTCCTGGCTACTAGTAGCATGGAACCCAGAAGCCCATTGTGTGAGAAATCTCCTTTGCGGACACCCTTCTTCGGTTCCACGTTGACCTGTCGGAAAGTTACTATGTTCGATAGAAAACATCCCTTCGCCCACGGCCTTTATTCGGAATGGTGCTCTTGGTTGTCTGACTCCTGAGTGGATTCGTCAGACATAGATTCTTTACAGGTTTACGAACATAGTCTTTCCAAGTGAAAGCCCCGCGGGAAAAAGCCTTAAAAGGCAACAATCCAAAACGTCGGGCGTTCAGTTACGTCGGGCCTGGAAGCCTGACAAGTGACAAGGGAAAGGGGACCAACCCAAAGACCCACCCCAATCGCTTAGGTAGCACGGCGGCGGTTTCCTTATTGAGGTGCACTTGTTTGCTCCAAGCTCTGGGTCTCTAAAGGGAGGAAAGCACTCGCCGTTCATGGTGTTTGATAAAATGCCGACGCCCATCGCTCATCAAGAGCGGGATGTCATGAGAATTGCCATTCCTTTTGCGATACCGGGAAATCGGTCCCGACTAAGTTTCCCCATTCGCAGAGGTTCCTATCACGGGGGCCGCCCCCTATCTTCTCCATATTCAGCGCGCCCAGGGCAACATCGGATTTCCTGCCAGGCAGCCGTAAATCCTCCTTCCGCCATTGCCTGAGCGAAACCGGAGCACTTGCCATCCGGTCCCCTAGTTTCCCATCGACGATCCCCGCATGTGGGATACGTCATGGAAACCCAGAAGCTACAAACGCTTCCTTGGGCATGGACCTCCACTTTTGTGGGGGGGGGAAAGAGCAGCCGCCAGATTACAGTAAGCTGCCAGAATGAACAATTCGGGCTCAAACATCAGGGCTGGGTGTGGAAACCAAACCTCTACAAAGGCCCTGATTTCCCGTCATATCCATAGGTCCACAAAACATCAGGCACATCGCCGATCGGCAAAGGGTCCGACAGGTATCTTGATTCAAATCAAACGGGTTCTGAAGCTGGAAAGTTACAACCTTACTTCCATTTGCTTCGGTCCCCTGGAAAAAAGTAGTGATAGGGTTCCCTTTCAAACCAACAGGGAAAAAAACAATATATATATATATAACAAAACCAAACATACTCTTCAGCGAATGGAAGCTTAGCACCTCTTCAACTCCGCCACATGGCATGCCATGCCCACTCCATTCTCAAGGTGAACGACTCAAGCAGGTCGCCGAGGACATGATCAAAACACAGCTTACGCTCTCGGCAGATACTAGTATTGTTCCCCCCATGCTAAACTTGGGACCCTGCCCTGCGTAAGTCCCCTATGGGCCACTCCAAGGGAAAATTGGCGAGGCAACTCTTCAGTTGCTCATCGAAGACGGATCAAAGCACGCGAGAGGTAGCTGTGCCGTCAGGTAGCTTCGCTGCGTCAATTCTTCAGCCTGCATGCAAAACGTTTGTGCAAAGAAATACCCCCTTAGCGCCCAACGCGTCTTTATTTGACTGACCTGCGCAGCTGATTGGCCAGAAAGCCCTTGAGCTTATGTGGACTTCATTATGATGAAAAACAAAAAAGGTCAAGCGCTTCAAGTTTTGCCATCCGAATAGGTAAGTTTCACATGTCAAAGCGTCCATCCCTGGCCCAGAAAGAGCTTGTAAGACACCTCAACATGAATGGATTGCGAACATGCTTCAGTGCCTCTGCGGGTTTTGCCAAGAAAGGGACAACCCCCTCCCCAAATTGCATTTCAATTTTGGCAAACCAGGACACCCATACCATTTTTAGGGCCCCTCCCCCACATGTGACACATTTTCATTCGGAAAACAAATCTAAAAGCAAAACACAGAGCTCGGGGCTGGGAGATGGTTGGATTTGAGTGCCTTGCTGTTTCACAGGGTTCCGTGTTTCATAGACATTGGAACATTTGAAGGCGATCACAAACAGGTCACAATCTAGTACACAGCAGGATTTCCTTGTTTGGACACAAGTTGTAGGAAAATATCAGAACCCCTCAAAACAGCGTTCTAGAGCCTGTTGGTTTCCGAAACAGAAGAGGGCCGCCCGAACCCGCCCCGGACCAAAGTTGGATCTTTAGCCTTTGACCCTGCATCCTCAGGTCTGCGCCTCAACAGGCCCGCCGGGCTATCGCCGACGCTAACGGACCATGAGAGTGGCAACTTCCCGAGCTGGGTGTGGGTTGGAGTCAGTTGGATCCATGGGAATCCGCAAAAAAAAGCATTGCTCAGGCGTTGTGAAGCGCTTGGTTTCATCTCAACATGTGCAAACAAAATAGCGGTCTCAGGTAGAGTTGTCTCTGCCGGGATGACGCTTGCAGCGATCGCATGCGGTTTTCGATGTCATGTTCGTGCCTCCGCGAGGCTTCCTTACTTCAGCCAAATGCGACACGGCCAGGAAGCAAACTGGTTGAGCAGGTGACCAGTGCGTTTCTAATCCATTGGCATGTGGCTCTTCCCGAATTCATTGAAACGGGCGTTTGTCAGTCATAGTGGCCAGAAAAAAATGATAGACAAAATACCTCGGGCTGGTAACCTCTTCAAACCAGCATTAATGTCACCTTGGACCGTTCCGTACAATGTCGGGGTAGTACTGTAATTGCCATTCCCAAACCTTCCAACAAAGATCCCGACCTCTCCAAAGGAGAGTCCAAAGATGAGGGCAGAACATTCGGTGCAGCGGGCGCCGGTGACACAGGAGCTGTGCTCGTCCACTCGTGAAGTTGTGATTATCGAAGGGGGGTCCCCCGAACGCCCCCCAGAAATCATTTCTTTGGCGTCCTTTAAGGAAACCCCCCTCCGGTTAGTTCCCAAAACCTGGAAGGTGGGCATCCTATGGCACGAGCAAGTAATGAATGTGCCCGAAGAGCTTCCGCAAATGTTCCCGCAATCGGCCTGAGAGTTGTCGTACCAGGTAAATGAGACCCCTTACCCTAAGCATCATTGGACTCTCCATTTTCCAAGATTCTTAGGGTAGTGGCAAAAACCGAAGCCATCACCACTCCTCGTGCCAACATCTCGTCCGGACAGTCTTTGGGCTAGATCCGGACCGTCGCATTGTCGAGGCAAGGGCATCTTGTGGTCGCCAATCGATTCAACAAGAGTCATTTTGGTCTCTGACCCTCTCACAATAAATGTGAAACCGTTTCTCAGTGAAACCGCTTAAGTATGTGCGAGAGTTTGGATCTCCAAAAGGTTCAATGATAACTCGTTCAAGAAGAAGTGCAAGCCCTTGGCGGCTTCACCGAAACTGGCATTTCATTGCAGGCTCGCAGCTTTGCTGACTGGACGGCTTCCATAAACTTCCCTGAATAAGAACCTCCGATGTGGGCGGAGAGCCGGACATGAGGGACAGCTCCCAGAGCACCCTTTGGGTGTTTCAACACCACCCTCAGCCAGGTGTCAATGTTTGTTGCTCTTTGGCGTGATGTTTATGCGGGACATGTAAGAAGCCTCGTGGATTTATGCTGAACCCGCTTATGTGGCTCAATGTCGAGGCTTTCCAGCCACTAGCAAAAAACCTTTTGGTATAGCTCTGGGTCAAAACCAAGGGCATCGATTTTTGGGGGTAGGTGCTCCACCCATTTTAGTCTATTTTAGTGGGGATTGGGATGTTCACTGGGGTACGATTTGGATTCTGACCCATGGCCATATTTGATACAGGCTTTGCCCATGGCCGGGTTTTCCGTTGCTCTAATGCTCTAATGGCTCTGGCAGCACGGGCCAAAAGACAGCTTGTTTGCACATTTCCCGCAACCACTGCACCTGTGGCGCTTTCCCTCGACCCAAGTGGCAAGGACAACCTTTCAGGGTGGGGTTCCTTCCTTCCGCTTGACTCGCTCCCCCCGAAATCGAAAAAATGCGCGCTGGATCCGTTTTACGGCGAGCCGAGCGCGCGCGCGGTGAGGCGTGGCCCTGCGTGGCGCTGCAACGCCCACGACCTGGCGATTGGCCGGGGGGGAGGCCTGGAGAGTGAAGCATCCCCGACCCTGGGGACGGTCTCCCAAGGGTTGGCCACGAATTATCCATCTCAGCGTGGCCGCTTTCTGGTGTGTTTGTCACAGATGGTTAAAGATGCTGCCATGGCAAGCAACAATCTCGTGGAGAAGCTGTTGTAGTGAACTACCTTGGCTACTCCGAGAAATGAAGGAATCACAAGTCCCTTCAATCACGAGTTGTAGACCTTGGACTCGCAAGAGCTTGCTGGTACTGCCTTCCCGCAGTCAACCTGTTTCAAGGAAGCCAAATCAAGGCAAGGTCTCTATGCGGGGGTCATCTTAGGCTCCTGCGCTTATTCTGGCAAACGCACCCTTCTCATAGAGGCCTTGAAGGCCCGTGATACATACAAGGGTTCCGTGTTGTTTGGCATGGTCTCCCGCACCAATGCCCTTCAGAACGAACTAAGCTGGAGCCTGTGTCAACGAAGACATTGGCGGTCTTGACTGAGGCAGCTCGCTTGGCTTCTTTGGCGAGGTTCGCGCCTTTCTTGGGTGTTTCGCCATCTATCTGAGAGCGGCCAAGGCCGCAAAGCGCGGTCAAAGGCTCGTCGTCCTCCACCTCCTCGCCGCAGCCTCCAGCTGCAACGTGGCCTCATTGCACTCCATATCGCATCGCATCTTGATAATCCAACATGAAGCAACCAGAAGTGCAGCTGCCGCCGAAAAATATGGCTCAAGTGTGAAGGGACTCAAACGTCCGTGTAAAGTGTTTTACTGGCCCAGTCTTCAGCAACCCACGGGCAAAACCACCTGAGTCGTGGCTTGTGTTCCCTGGAAACTTTGCGTTGACGCATCAAACCCTTCAGGGAGCTTGCGGGTGTGAAGAGCAACTTCCGCCAGGATTGTTTCTAGCGAGTTTGTATAAGTGCTTCCGCGGGCCTTCTGCAGGCAAGTTGCTTCTGGAAAATGAGAAAGGTAGCTTCCGCGAGGGAATTCGTCTGCACGATTTGCTAGTAAACGCGCTTGGCAACAACATTCAAACGAATTCAAGCTACTATGCTCAAATCAACAACGTCCCTTCTGCGAGCTTCCGCGAAAAAAGACCTTCCGCATACCTTCCGCGAACCTTCAGCGGCTGCAATCCGGCGCCACCTTGTTTGTTGAAATTTCAACATCTATACACGTTTGCTTGAGCCATTTTGGGGTCATCCCTCGGGAGCTGTTTTTGCACATCACCCTCTTCCCTAGTCAAGTTCAAGGCGGCACACTGTTTGGCGCGCCCTTTCGTCGCCTACAGCCGCATTCTCAGCGCCCCGTTGCTCATGCTAACACGAAGATGATCATTCCCCACTTCACCCCACCCCCGCACGCCACCCCAACAGCGAAACAAGCCAACAAGCGCGACGATTTCTAGTTCAACCCGTCTTGTCAATCTTCGGGTTGACACGGACTGCAAAAAAATGAGGGGTGATTGGCCCAAAATGCGTTTTATTGGGGACCCCCTCTTTGGTTCTCTTCTGTTCTCAAATAAGATCCCCCCCTGTCCAGGGGCTCCCTAATAAGCTATGGATTTTGGAGAAGTGTTTTTTACAATTGGGCGGACCCACATTACGCGGGGGAACGGATTCATCTCGAATGGATGTTCACATGCACCTATTGCACATTGCCCAGCGCCCATTCTACTGACCATCCCAGTTCATGGTCAGGCAAGTTCACATCTACTGATTCAGAGTCCTGACGAGAGGCGATCAATGGTGGCCATTCAGGGCTATTAAGAAAACATTAAGGGCCATGACTGACCTTCGCATGCCTCCCCTTGCTGCGGCTCTGAGTCAGTATTGACTTTGTGAGCCTTGAAATGTCAGTTCAAGGTCCCTTGGTACCTCTGAGGATGTATTTGCCGGACCAAGTGGAGAACAATGTACATCCTCAAAAGCTACTTTAGACTCTTCGGGAAAGAGACCTCAGACGTGGGCGTGTGAGTAAATCGTATTACCGACACCAGGCTAATCAACCTGGCGGATTACTTTCGCACAAATAAGTTCATCCGGACCTCCTCTAAATTGCGACGTCGCCCTGCGAATCAAGTGGCTGATTAATCAGCTCCCGGGGTCGTTTGACCACCGGCTAGACTTCAACCGAAGAGCATTTTTTTTGTCCCACAAAGGGACACCCCTGGGTTGAAGTCCAGGGAAGTCGACCAATGGAACCTTTCCAGGTGTTGATTCCCCATTCTTTTCAACCATCGTTCTTTTCAAAAAGCCGGATCTGCTTCCCTGGGATTTTGGATGGTTTCCTGAAAAGATCCAGATCCCTGGAAAGGTATCCCTAGGACCTTGCATCACTCATCAAGTCTGGTCAAAACATGGCGGCGCAGCAGGACCTTCACCTCGTGCTCTCTCAAGCGCCCAGTATACCTGTGCAGGGATTCTTCGGCACGAGCGGCTCTCGGTGATGTCCAATATCGGCGGGGAGGTTCTCAAGGGAGACCAAAAGTAAACAGCACTGATTTAGTGGTACCCCATTTTTGGGAAGCACATATACATAATATATATATATATGTATATATGCATGTATGCTATATCCACACGAGAGTCAGGGTAGTTGATGGTAAAGAGGTAAACATGTGAGATGATATGTTGTGATCAGCTCACAATCCTGGAGCAAAAACAAATCTACATGACAAATCAACTACCTGGCCAGAATGAACAATTGTAGATAAATAAAAACGGAGGCCATTTTCTAAAGGTTTTTTCGTTTCTTTTAAGGATGATTTTTTTTGTTTTCAGGGTGGGTGGCTTTCGGCTTTTTGGCTTTTGTGGCTTTTACGTGGGTTTTTGTGGCTTTTGTGGCTTTTCATTTCGCATCCTCTGCATTCACGCTTCCTCTCTGTTTGTCTTTGGGGGTTCAGCCGACTTTTGTGGCTTTGGCATTTCGCATCCTCTGCATTGCCAGTTTCGCTGCGGGCTTTGTGGCTTTTGGCGGCTTTCTGGCTTTGGCTTGTTTTTGGCCTTGGCTTCCTGCATCCTCAGCATCGCCAGTTCCTCTCTGGTGCGCTCCGCCACCCCCCTTTCGATTAAAATGCACGACCATCACGCGACAGCTACTTTTTGATTCTTTGCCCCTAATTGAATCATCACTTTTTTGATCCTCATGGGGGGGGCTGCCGCCCCACACACACAAACAGCACACACACACACACACAACAGCAAACAAAAACAAGGGAGCACAATAAAACACAACCAGGCCAAACGCATAAAGATATACAAGAAAGAAAGCAAACAAGCAAGCAAGCAGGCAGGCATGCGGGCAGGTAGGCAAGAAAGCGCCTTTGGCGCCTCCACAGCCGTGCATGCACGGTGGGCATGGTCAACTCCTTGCTCGTGCTGGGACAGCTTCTTCAGCCAGATCACCTGGGCTGCTGGAACTTGAAAACGTGTCTTCCTTGACCCCTGATTGGCACTTATTTGCAACACAGCAGGTTTCTGAGGATCATGCAATACCCCTGAAGCATGGCCGAGCATCCTGCGGCAATACGAGCAAAGCTGTCAGATGGCACGCAGGCATGCAGCAAGCCCTTGATCCACGTGCTGGCCACAAGCTGTATGTTAGCCCGCGCGCAACAGCGGTTTGTCCAACATGCCGCACGCCTCCGCAGTACATGCCATGGCCAGGTCAACGAGGCTCTCCGACACCACTTCCGGAAGGTTTGCCTGAGAACGCATCCAACTGCTTGGGGATGCTGGAGGAGAAGTGCCTCGCGGTCCAACCCGGGTTGAATACTCGTGATACGCGTCACGGGCCTCGGGGTCGATTTGGCAGGCTGCCACGAGATAGTTGCGGCGGTCCATGCCGGGCAATCCTCAGGTTCAAGTCACAAGCCTGGAGCAGGACCGCGCAAAACAGCAATCCCGTATGACTTCTGAAAAATGACCAAGAAGTTCAAGCCAACTACCACTCAAGCACGGGTTGAACAAGTCCAAACTAATGTTCATACCCAGACAGAACCTTTTTTGTGCAGGTAAAATGTCGCTTTTTAAATTAGGATGATGAAGTGGGTTGAACATAAACTGGGTCGGTGTTCTTGCCTTCCAGCCAAAACTTTTGCAGTCGCCAAACACTTGTCAACTTTTGAGAATAGTTGCCCTGGATTGGTGATTCTAAGAGAGTTTGAAGAGAGGTTTCTCCGCCACCGAGCTAGTCTTTAGCTTCATCTCCATGCAAGCTTAACTTATGTCTCCCCCCCGCTGCTTTGTAGACTTTTTGGCCCTGATTGAACCACTTTTTCGATCATCGGGGGGGGGGCTGCCGCCCCACCCCAACCCCCCCGCTGCTTTGTAGACTTTTTGGCCCTGATTGAATCGCTTTTTCGATCATCAGGGGGGGGGGCTGCCGCCCCCGCTTCTTCACTTTTTCAGTCATCATGGGGGGGGCTGCCGCCCCCCCCCGACCCTCCCGCTACGTTTTAGTTGTTTTACAGGGATTGCACCCGTATTTGAATCCTCTCTTTTACCATCATGAGGGGCCCCCTCTTTTTAACATGCATACATAAATGCCTACCTACCTTGCCGGAGAGGAACTGATGATGCTGAATTTCGTGAGAAAATGCTATAAATACAACATTTTACCAGCCAGGACGGAAAACAACAAGAAACAAAACAAAAACAAATCCTAAATTCAATCTCGACCCAATAAAAACACAACAAACTAATCAGCTTTCAATAATGAAATACATACTCATGGCATTGCCTGACGTCGGATAGGCAAAAGCAAATGCAAAAGCAAATCAAAAACAGCAAGTAATTCCCCCAGAAGGAAAAGGGGAGAACACCAAACAAGTCTTTCTGTGGGACAAAAAACACAATTTGGCAGCCCGTGCGGGCGTGAGAAAAACGACCACATGATCCCGAGCCCTGTCAATACAAAACCAATAAACTAATACAAACCAATACTAGACCAATAATAACTAACACGAGGTCAATACAACTGAGGCCCCAAACAGCCAATCGACGTTCTTTCTGACGCCCCTGCTAGAGCAGCCGCCCGAGCAAATCTTCAAGGGGTACCGAAAGCCTCGAGAAGTTGATGCATGCTGGCCAGCAAATCGAGAAAACCTCTGGGCCATAAAGAGAGGAATACTAGACAAAACCACTCGGCCAGCTCAAATGAATAGTACAACAATCAAAGCCGGTACTACAAGCAGTACTCACTGGGAGATTTGAGTAGGCCCAACTCGCACCATTTGCTTTTAGGTGTTTCCCCTATACTATTCAGTACCCAACATTAAATATAACAAATACCTAGACGTATCATAAAACTTTCTAAACGTAACATACCCAAAGTATTACATCAACACTATGTATGCAGTCCTATATAATATATACTGTACGCATATGAGCGATCAATATGTAATTATATAGTAGATGATTCTACAAGCCTTTCACTGTTCAGCAACATCTGAATTGTTGAAATATCCCGCTTCTGACACGTGCTATCTCGCTTTACACAAAAAATATGTGCTGGCGAGGCCCTTCAAAGTATCATGTGCGGTCACTTTCTTGACTGTGGACGAAGAGCTCAGCGACTACTTTTAGACATGATTATTTCTTCCTGAGTGGATTGGCCACACAAAGGCCAAACTTCTTATGTACTACCAAAAGGGTCTTCCCAAAACGTTCAAAGTCCTTGAACTTGGGCGGTGAGGACTTGGAAGCAAGCTTCAACCTTCACCATCAATGAGACTTGGAGACCCGCTGTGAACTTGAATGCAGTGGCTCAGCTGGCTGCAAAACCGATTTACGTCGGACTGTCAAACATAAGTCACAGGGTTCGCGGGTTGGTTTAGGGCTAGTTCAGGGTCTATTTAGGGTTGGGTTAGGGATTGTATGGGGTAAGTTTGGAGCGGGTTTAGATCAGGCTCTTGGAGGGTTTTGAGTTTGTGTGGGGACGGGTTTACGGTTGGTTCAGGGTTGGCGCAGGGTATAGCTGGTGATGCTGGCGGGGTGTTAGTGGAAAGCCAGCGCCGGCGCAAAAGCCCACTGCCACGAAAACCCACCAACAGCCTTTCAAAAGCCAAAGGCCAGCCCCACAAAAAGAAAAGAAAAGCAAAAAACACACAACACCAAGACCAAAAACAAACAAAAAAACACCCCCCGGTGCTGGGCCACCCTCTCGGTTCAGATCCCCGAGCTCCCAGTTGGCAGCCATAAGCCTTCGAACAACGTCCAACTCCGTTTTGGGACGCCCAAGGTTGCGGTGTCAAAATGCAAGTGACCAGCGATCCCTCCGATTTCATAGCCACTTCCATTTGCTTAAGCCCCCTGGAAAAAAAGAGACATATTTCCAGTAGTCATAGATTCCCTTTAACACCAACAGGGGAACATAAAAATAATTCTTAAGCACATGGAAGGCCATGCTGCTTGGATTTTGTGCTAGGCCTCGGTTTCGAGAGTCAGGGAGCCTTCGGTTAAAAGGGGGCGCAATCCACTAAAAGAGAGGAATCCCTGGAAGACAACCCAAAAAATGGGGTTCAGCCTGTCCGTATTCGTGAAAGGAAGGGCAGTCTTTGTCAACTTCAACAACACATCCCCTCGAAAATGGGACCACCCCTTTATTTGTCAACCATCAGTGTATCAATCAACTGGCTTCCCATCAAATTTTCTTGAGCCATCCAAAAGGCCGAACCTTGCGCGTCGGGAGTGGGACCGGCCCAAAAAGGAGCTCCAGGGTTATACATCTCCCGACCCCGTTTAGGTTTATACTCCCATTGATGCAACAGAAACAGCCAAGCAGGGTCGCTCTCCACAGTGGGAGGGGGGTGGCCATTCTTTCCTCTTTCCCTGAACCCTCGAATTGGGTCCAGTTTTGCGATCGGAAACGAGCTCTCCTGTTTGGTGCTTGAAGTTTGAAGGGAAATCCTTCAAGAAATAAGCCCGGCAGCTGGGCCTTCAAATTACAAGCGGCGGCGCAGCTGATTTGACAGGTGCAAAACAACTTGGATCATGTCATACATTGACACATACAACGGGTTCTTTTTTCGGCTCAGCTGGTATTGCCAACAGCAACCTTGGAACCCTGTGCGAACCCTAGCCCGGAGCCACTCCAAGCTCGAGCTTATCTGGGCCTATCTACCCATAGCTTTCAGCTGTTGCGGGCAAAAGGATAAAAGAGCTCTCCATTTTTGGTGGTTGATTTTAGAGAAAAACCTCCCTCAGTTTGCTCAGTTGTCCAAAGCCGACCTTTTTGATCATTTGGTTCTTCCAAGTTGGTCCATAGGCAAGGTTCTAAAAGGTCAACCTTTATGTCTACTTCGATGCTGTTGACCCCTCTACAACATGCTTAGCGTTCTTGAGTCCAATGGAAAATCCACTGTTTCCCCAAAAGCTAAAGTCCAAAGATCCAACCAAATAGCCAAACAGCCTAGATCCTTTGGGCAAGTGAGTCAAAAGGAAAAAAAGGAAAACATATTTCTGCTTCGTTTGGTGGTTGAAGTTTGAAGCGAACCCCCCCCAAACTGAATTTGTTGGAGGTTGAATTTTCAAGGGACACCTCCGAAGAAAAAACATGGGAACAACATGGAACAACTGAAGCCGTTTGAATTTTAAAGGGACACCTCCGAAAAAAGGAAGCCTTCCCCCAGCCCTTCTTCTGCCTCTCCGCATACTCCGCCAGCTTCCGCCAGGTGGAGGGGCGTGCGGTTTTGGACGCGAAGGCCCAGGCGAAGCCGCACACGTCCTCCTACGAGACACCGTTGTGCAACCCAGCTAAAAGGATCATAACCTATCTGAAATGTATCCGTAGGTATCCAAAAGTGTTTCATCCAATACATGTTGATTACTTGTTGTTGTGTAAAGCCCAAATGTATCCAAATGCAATATAAACCTATCTGAAAAAAAACAAAAACTGAAGCTAATTGCTCACTTCTGATCGAGTGGATTGTCCAAAAAGTCTACACACACACGTCGTTTGCCACGAAATGTGTGTTCGCAAAAAGAATGAAGTCCACGAACTCAGGGAGTGTATCTACCATGTGCTTTTGGAATGGTGTTGAGTACAATCGTAGACATTCCACCAAACAGAACCTTCTCTCGAAAGGAAATCTGCACACCACCCTATGAGCTTTACAAGGGACAGTTTCCATGTCCTGGAGTCGTGAGAGGGCACCTTTCGCTGTTTGGCGATGTGTTTGCCTCGTTGGCAAGTGCGACTTAAACCTAAACCTGGGATTCAACCCTCGTATACCATCATTTGAATCAAAGCAAACCATGTCTCTGATATTGGTATGAATTTTGATTGGGGGGCCCTTGGACATCAACATTCGGTGGAGGGTTCATGTCCAAGCATTTGGGAAGGTGTTCCAACCAATAAAGAAATCCCCGCATCAAACCTAGACCCACGAGACGGCAAATGGTTGTACATTTCAGTCACGGGCTGTGCCTTAAGGTTGCCATTGGCGCGGTTGAAGGACATGTTACGCAAAACCGCTCCGGGGCCCCATGCGGAGGGGCCGGTCTGTTCCATTCTCTGGGCCCCAGGCAGGGTTTATGCTCCACTCCATAGCTTGACTGGGATGAACGACATCCACAGGCACCAGTTGCCATGGATGAAACCCTATGAATACTGGGACAACAAAACCTAACTGGGTTCAGGAATTTGTCCATCCACTGTATCAACGCCCCAAAACAAACATCGGACCCTTAAACATCCGTACCAACCCATCTGCAGAACCGAAAGGAAGCAAACCACAGGATGCTCTTGACGAGCCACAAACAACCATCCTTGCCCAGGGATATGATAAGTCATGAGTACGTGTGAGCGTAGGGGAAAACCCGAAGATGGTGGCTTTCCACTCCTCGAAAGGCCTCTGGCCCATATGAGTGCCTACCAAACTCATGGACCCCGTTTTGGTCAGAATGTAAAGGGAAGCCAAAGGGACACCATCCATTCTAGGGACCCCTTCGAGACCCCTGTGCGTATGTGTTTCGTTGAGGGTTCCCTTTTTTGTGGATTTCAAGGACAACGCAGACTTCTTTTGGGTTCCCGAACAAAAAGACACACCCACACAGCGGTTCAACAGGGAGGTCGCCGCCGCTCGCTTCAAGCCGAGCGGCCGTCTCCAGCATCTCGATGTTCGACCTGCCGGAACCCGAATTGTCCGACGAGAATCTGGGTGCTACCCTGCCCCCAGTGGGAAAGAAGGTGGCGGATCCCCTCCAAAGACAGAGAGAAACGCAAGCACACTGCAGATCTGGGCTGAGTTCCAGTAAGCCCCTTTTTGGGTGCAGTCTTTGAGGGTCCCAATGGAGTTGGTAGCTGTTTTCTGAGCGGAATCCTTTCGTTGTCTAAGCCCTGAATGGCCATGCCCCTTAAATGCCATTCACTGGAAGGGGAGGACATGGGATAAGACCAGCATGTATCGAAATTGAAAGCCAGTTTTCAACTTTGAGAGTGGACTCCGGCTTTTCCTAGATGATTCGGAGCCTGCAAGTCCACAGTTCCAGCCCCCCGAACCACCAAGGAAGCACTTTGACCAACGTCGGCTTTGACATACGAGGTCCCAGCACGCAGAGCTCTTCCAGGGTTGCGAAGGCTCCAGGAGCCTGGCAGCAAGAAAACCACGAAGAGACGAAGAGGCCCACAAACAGCAAAACGACAAGCCTTGAAGCAAAGCCAAACGAAGAACAAAGCCAAAGGCCGAAGCAATGACTGTTTTTGGATGGGCATGATGCACTGACTGGAAGGGTACAACATAAAATCAACGCGAGGCCAAGGCCGAGATGAGATCAACACAAGGTGAACACAGGGCTGGATAATGTAAAACGGATGCAGAAGGCTGAAATATGACCAACAGAAAGCAAACGCGGGGGACGTTGAAAGGAACATAGTCCACTTAGGTTATGTCTTAGTGGGCCCGTTTTATGTCCAGGTCCAAGTGCTTCCAGCGACACGAGGCTCCACTTGTGGCGGTCTGAGCATGAAGGTCGGGATGCCAGCTGAAAATAGGTTCTGTTTCCGGGCGATGCTGCGAGCAAGCACTAAAGGAAGCCCGGGTTTGGCCAGAGAGTCACAATGGTCTGGAGCACATTCAAGGGAGACCCTTCCTTAATGGAAAGTTGTCTTGCAAAAGGCGCATGCGCACAAAGATGATTCGCGGAGAGCTTCCAGTGAGTATGAGCTGAGCGACTGACAAATACATTGGTTGTAGTTGTTGGGCGTGCTTCGCACACATCTCCCTTGTCATGGCTTCAGCTCCAAAGAGGGTACACACTTGATGTGGACAGCTTCTGAACGTCAATCTGTCCTCGTCAAGTTGAACACATCTATGTCGGCTCAACCAATGTTGAGCTTGGATGGGTCTGCCGCTGATTTCAAGTGTGCTAATTGTCCATGGAGTCCCAACCGATTGCAAGATGGCCTTTTAGCAATCTTGGATATACTGGTGCACGGAAAACTCCCTTTCTCTCGTTTGCTACTTGTTCTGTGCGGATGTTCGCTAATGCTCTGCTGTTCGGCCCCAGACCTCCTTGGTACCGAAGACCAACCTTGGTCCCCGATCTCTTTTGGACACATCGGGCTCCCCAAGGGTCCCCTGCCTCGGCTTAAGATGGAAGCTCCCAAAAGGCCACTGCAAATGGAGCCAAGTCTTCCAAGCTTCCAAGTTTTGGAGCATACATGCAACAAACAACCAGCATCCACACCCTAGAGTATCACAAGAAACATGCACACCTCCAAACAAAAAGGCATGCAACACTTCAAACTAGCGACAAACCTCAACTCACATCCTGAGTGGATTGGCCAAACAAAGTCCCAATTGTAATTTGCCACATGGTCCAAACCCAAAAAGTGACTAACGTCCGAAGCGGAACTCAGGAAGTGAGAAACGACCCCCAGTGACACCACCGGAACCCGCTGAGCTGCCTCCACCTTGGCCGCAGCCAAGGCCCAGGCGAGCTCGGCGGCCAAGGGGCAGCTGAGCCGACGCAGGGCCTCGGAGTCGCCCACGGCGGGTTGCCATCGAACCACTGCGGGCGCGTCTTTTTTTGGGGGGGCCCCAGAAAGTAGAAATTGGTGGCTTGCCCTTCTGGCTCCCTGCTTCCCTGTAAAATCACTTAAAAACCGGGGGGGTGGGGGGGTGGGGGGTGGAACCCTCCAAAGAAAGAAATACTCATTTGGGGTCTACATGGCAGGCCTTCGGAATGGCGAATTGCGAGGTTGCCTGGTATCACAGTGGGAACCAAACCTCATTCCCACAACTTTGATTTGGACCCATGTGAGTCATAATCAAAACCCGGCACAAAAATGGTGCACCCAGAACCATGTAAAGAACTAAGAAGGCGGCCGCAGCTATTTATGGTTGGAATCGTCCCTTACTAACCTTCATCTACCGGGTTTTGATTGTAGCTCATGTGTGCAATGCCCGAAGCCCATTGACTTTTGGCTCGGCTACCAGCCTGGCTATGGCTGAAATAAGCAGAACCACATACCAAACGTGGCCAGTGGGGGGTTTGGGCGTTGCTCATGTGTTCCCATGTTTCTATTGAACCATTGTCCAATTGCACTAGTAGGAGAACCCTACAATAGGGTGCTTCCCCTTTGGTTTAAACCACTCCACACCCCTTAAACCCACTAGAGTCAACTTCACCCACTGGCTGGTGGTTCGATTGGATGTTTTTCATTTGAACGCATTTTTCTTTGTTGTGGAAGTTATCTTTAATGGGGGCCCCATCAAACAAGCAGGGAAGCGTTCTGGTGCCAATGAACAACTGAGGTTTGAAACATTCCAGATGCGCCATGGTCATGGTCATGGCCCCTACAGAAGACACCTCTTGCTCAGTGCCTCGCAGTGTAAGCCATCGGCAACAAGAAAGCATTCATGGAAAAGCCGATCAACAAAAATGCCAACGGTTTAGCTACCGTACATCCCTTTGCCTAACAGCTCGTCACAGTGTCATGTCTTTTCTTGCAACACTGATCCTGCCTTTCGCCCCGCAGTCCACCCCCAATCCTGCAAGCCACCCATTCGGCCTTCAAGCCCTTTTGCTGGAACCCCCACGGAAAACTGACATCCTTTTCTTTGGCTGACTTTCAATTTCATTTGGACCTTTGGATACCTTTGGGAAAAAGCAGGGACTGGGAAAGGAAGGATCCAGGGGTCAGATTCTTGCGGTGTCATCCCCGAGTCTTCCCGGCTAAAACTTTCCACATCCCTGCCTCCTCCTGCCTTCTCCGATTGAAACATGGATTGAAATCAGCGGATGACATATCCCTAGTGGTCTGCCTTCTGGTTGTTCAAATTCAACCCTATATGATGTAGGGACCCCTCAAAAAAGGACAGGTGCCGACTCCGGCCTCACTGGCCATGCCAACCAAAGAAGCTCTTACGTGTTTCCGTTTCTTGCCTTCGAATCAAAGCCACAGCCCAAACAAAGGTAAGGTAAGCAAAACAATTGGTGAATTCCACTAGCCGGTCCCTGGTGGCACAGGGCGCCTATGTGCTTCTCCGACAACACCCTACAAAAATAAGCTCAGGCGATATCCCCAACAGCATGTGGAGCTTTTCTTAGTGGTCTCACCACCTCGCAGCTCTTGCAGAACCTCGTGGAACCCTGGTGGAACCCTGGTGGAACCCTGGTGGAGCCCTGGTGGAACCCTCGTGGAACCTTACCTCAGGGCCGCCCCGGACCACCCCGGAGCCTATCTGGGCTGAGACCCCAAAGCTTTCAGCTGCTGGGGAAAAAAAGCCCAGCCAAAAATGGGCTGCGAGGCATCACACATCATCAAACCACCCGAGTTTCAACAGTCAGAATCCATATGCGAGAGTGCCTTTCGGTGGACACTGGGGAAGCTTCGCCTCGTCCACGTTCGCACGAAAGCTAGGTCTCCACCATGCGCCATTCCCAGGTCCCGACGCTGTTGGCCAGGAATTGTTTTGGCGCGAATGGGGTAGAACATGGGTCCCTGAAAACTCCTAGGGAAGCTTTGGTCGTTCAAAAGCTCGGAGCAACCCTAGGCCATTGTTCAAACAGCCTTCTTTTGGTTTCCGTAGGGCCCTAGGGATAACTGGAGTCTGGCTCTGCAAACAAATGTCCAATGGCCATAACCCCGGAGTGCTTGTCTTCCAAAGGTGAAAGATTCCAATCCTCGGACTTCGCGATTTACAAAAACCCGCACATTCCAATGCTTCCACTGTTGGAGAACTACATTCCACGAAACTCCGGGAACTTTTGAGGCACATTGTGGGGGCGTCCCTTGTAAATGGACGAAGCCCTTCACCAGCTAGGTAGTTTATCCCAGCAGGTGTCTGGCGAGGATTTTGAACATACCTATTTCGCCGATCCCGTAGTTTGCTGGCTTCAAGACATGCTGCAGCGTTCCAGCTGTACTTCCCCTGCGGATTGAAACGTCAGCGTTTGGGTGAATTCGAATTGAGCTTTTAACTGGGGTGATGTTCAAGGACAAATAATCGAGCACCCTGTGTGGATGGCCCTAAATACTCCGACAAATTGGACAAATGCCTGAATTCCTGGCCCCTTGGGGGAACTCCCTTTCGCCAAAAACGGAACCCCCACATCCGAGGTGCGCCCCGCTGGTCCAGCTGCCCCGCCAACTCTTCGAAGAGCTGACGCTGCTCTTCCGCCATCTCCGCCACGCTGAACGCCTAGTTCGACCCATCACGCGATTCCGACCACGCGACAGGGGTGTGGGACGAGGGATCCTCAAAAGAGATCTCAAATGAGGCTAAACAGTGAACTCTGTAACTGCCAGGTGGGCATGCCCTTTGACCCCCCGCAAACGGGGAAATAAAGGGCCTTCCATCGGGACAACTTGAAATTGCCATTGGACCCATGGTGTGGCAGGGGTCCATATGATTTCACTTCTTGGATGGTGTAAACATCACCTGTTTTGTTGGGGGGCGGTCACTTTTCTCTGGTGGCCTGACGCGTCCAGCAGAAGCAAGACAACGTGTGCACACATATTATAGACAGCACACGAAAGCCATGCCAAGAACAGCAAGGAGATGGCCATCACTTAATGCAGCCACCAGCAAATGGGAAGCCCAATACCCCGTCCCAAAACCAGCTGACACCGGGTTTCTCGTATTTAACCTACGTGCAGAACATGGGCATGAGAGGCCAAAGAAGACCAACCTGTTGCATGCAACCCTACAAGTAAGACCATAAGTCCTTGAACCAAAATCTGTTGGGGAAACAAAGGAAGGCCGAGAGATCCTGCGGTAGCTCCAACTTGAGCTCGCTTCCGAAGCTGCCTGCAAATTGGTTCTGACTGAATCCCTTCCAGGCCACTCAGCCCCCGGGTCAACGGGAAACATGCACTGTCTGTGTCCTGGATTGAGAGACCCAATGGGCAGTCTCATTTGGGGTTCCTGCGAACAAAAGCAAGCAAACAAGCAACCACACACACAAACAACCAATCAATTAAACAAGCAAACAAGCTAACAAACGAAACAAAGCAAAACAAAACAAACAAACTATCAAACAATCAAACAAACAAACAAACAACCAAACACACAAGCAAGCAAACAAGAGCAAACAAGAGCAAACAAGAGCAAACAAGCAAACAAGCGCTAGCAATGCAAACAAAGCTCTAGCAAACAAATGCAAACAAATGCAAACAAATGCAAACAAATGTAAACAAATGCAAACAAATGCAAACAAATGCAAATGCAACTCTCAAACCCCCGATCCTCGGCTTAGCCCCCGGCCCAGCAGAAGGAGGCGGCGTCGTGCGCCGAGAACTCCGCGAGCTGCGCCGCGGCGCGGCGCGCCATGGCGCGGAAGAGCTCGGCGTCGCGGAAGTCGGCGCGCGCCAGGGCCCAGGCGATGCCTCGGCAAAACCACCAAATGCTCGGGGACACGTCCATTTCCATTCTTTCCAGGGATCCTTCTTTCCAGAAAACTATCAGAACCCCCGGGGAAACAGCTGGCTTTTTGAAAAGAACGATGGTTGGAAAGAATGGGGAATGAACCCCTCGAAAAATGGGGAGCCATCCCACCCTACTCGCCTGAAAGCAAACATGGAACCCTAGAAAAAAAATGGCAGCTGTCTTGTGGCCTAAGCTCGCGACAGGATTTTCGAAGGTACAAAAGGAAGCAACCCAGTTTCCGGGGGGTCCGATTTCTGCTTCTTGGCCAGACTTTGACCCTCCAAAAGTGAACTATTGGTAGGAGTGGAAACCCAAGAGGCAGAGGAGGAGAAGGTGACTTAAATCTGGCAATGGCAACCTTGATTTTTCCTTTGGGTGGTTTCAATTTGAGTTCCCTTGGTACAGGGTCACTGGATTTCTCCTTCAAATCTTGTTCAATGTACTGGTGGTTTCCATTCAAGCGACCGTGGAGGTTCCAAAAAGGGAGAAAACCGTGTCCAAACACATCCAGCCACATCCAACCACAAGCCCTGGTAATTTGTGAGAAGTCCCTTGTTCCGCTCACTTCTGGAGTGGATTGGTCAAAGGTCATGTTTTGGTTACCACGAAAATGGTCTTGCCAACAAGTATAACGTCCAGGAACTCATGGAGTGCGGGGACGAAAGAAACCTCATTGAGGGTATCCTTTCAACTTTCTGTGGCACAAACCAGCGAGCCCGGCAGCTGGCGCAAGTATTAGGTCACTTGCGAGCCTCTTGTTTGGCACCAGAAACCAGTGACCTGCTGACTTAAGTAGACAGACACTAAGCCGTTTGGGCTGACACAGACCAAAGATTGCTAACTCAAGAGGTAAGACTGCCATGGCAACCAAGACCAACCCCTCAGGGCGGTTCAACAATATGATTGGAGGCCAACTTCTGGGGACGTGGACCTCGTAACGCTTGGATGGCTTGGGATGGATGCAGGGCTTGCAGTTGTTGTCGTGCCTAAAAAGATTCAAGAGGACATCTCACAATAGCTGGTCACTGCAGGCCTTTTACGGAGCCTTAGTATCCTGCTTCCTCAGAACCCCGAAATCAAACGGGATCGGAGGGTGGGGCATGGATCAAGAGTTTTGACAGGCGGAGATATCTGCCGGATGTGTTCCTGGCAAGTTATAAGTCAACTTGAAAAAAGGGATCGTGTCAATCGTGCACTCGAACGGGTCAATGTGCAGCCCCCAACTCAAAGAAGTTGCCAAAGGTGACATAAAACCTTCACAGACCACAGACAAGAACTATTTAAATGACGACATCCTCTTGAACAGCCTGGATTTGCAATCCTGAATCTGCGATAGCAAACCCGTTCTGCCATTCTGCGCACATGCGTTGACATGTCCCCACCTACCATTGACTGAATCCGGATCCATCGCTGGAAGCAGAGTGCACAAGCAATACCTCAGAGGTCTACCCGCGCCCCAAAAAAAGAACCTACATGTCCCAACCTTCAGATTGTCCAAATCTCTTGAAGGCCGAAAGTTGAGGAATTCCCACCCCGGTGTTTGATTGCTTACTTGCAAGAAGCAATCCCTGCCACTGGTTTGATTGCTTACTTGCAAGAAGCAATCCCTGCCACTGATTTGATTGCTTACTTGCAAGAAGCAATCCCTGCCACTTGTTTGTGTGGTTGTGGAAAACAAACAACTTTCTGTGATGCTTTTCCCGTCACTATCACGTTATCACTTGATTTCGAGGAAATGTTTCGCACAAAGGTGCAACCTGATTCACAACCATGTTTCACAGACCTCCAGTGCCTGTCCGGATGTGAAAGCAAGAACACCCTTTTCGGGTCGGTTGACGTTAAATAACAAAAACGTTGTAGCAAGGACACCTTTGGGGTCTGAGCCACACACCATTATGTGGCCCACAAAAACTGCCATAGAACCTCGGCCGCGCCCTTCCGAATCCTTCAATTTACAGGGAAAACCAAAAGAAACCAACCACTCTTTTTGGGACAAGTTTGGTAGAGCTCCAAGAAGAAACCAACCATTGCGGGACGCAGGGGCAGGAGCGAACGTGTTTCCAACCGCAACCATACATGGAGACCAGCCCCTTCCCTACCCAAAGCGCGCCTGCCAAACTCCTGGGCGGAAGCTCCGGCAACGCCCGCCGTGTCTCGGAGGCTACCTGTGCACGGGACTTTCCGGAGAACTTGCTTTAAGGGAAGCCAAATAAAACGGGACAACAAGAGAAAAGCAGGGGAAATCATTTTTACGAGATTGAGGCGGGGTTGGAGGGAAACCTGAGGCAACAAGCGCGCAGTTTCTCGGATTCGCATTTTTGAGACACAAACAGATTGCGTTGTTGAACAGGACATAAATCCACTAGTATTGCCTGTTGCTCATTCGGACATGCCTCACAACTTCGACCGTACACGCACTTTGATGTCGTTGGCTTCCCTTACCATTTACCAATGGTGCCAGTGCCCTCCGCCCATGAAAGTTGAACTGAACATGTCTAGCGCTTGGATTTGTTTTTGTTGACCTTGACTTGCAGCCATCTTGGGCTCACAAGCTCACAGGCTCAAACCGAATGAAATGCTTCACACTGACGCCAGCGAGGTTCAATACCCTGAAAGGCATGTGCGAGCCGGTGCCCAAAGCCGAGTCAAGCACCAGAGCTGCGCGCAAGCCCCCGGCAACACAAAGATTAAGCCAACAGCACGAGTCATAGCTGTGGATGGTCTAAATCCTGTACAACCTAAAGAAACCCTGGAATGATGATTTAAATACCAATAAACAATGGCTTGTGGTGGCTTCCAAGTGGTGCAAAATGAATTTCATTCATCCACAGTAGCTGCAGTGGCAAATAGAGTTGGGCCGCTTTCTGCGATAGCCTTCAGGAATCTTGTTTCGAGTGGCAAAACATGGTCATAGGCATTGGAACCAAACGTTCGCAGGCCAAATAAGATCCCACTCAATCTATCTGAGCATAAAACGGTGTAACAATCATACAAAGCACCTATGTCTGGCAAGCCCAAAGGTGTTCATCACCTGTTCAACCACAGCATAGGTGTGGCTCCAAAAATAGGAATCGGCTCAGAACGGACCATGAAAGAAGCAGAGGTATGGCCTGCGAGTTGCACCCTAAAAAAATAGTGTCTTTCAGATTGCGCTCCATATGGGTGTTTTTTTTGAGGGTACCTTTTTTGACGTTGTTAAAGGGAAACCAAAAGGACATCACCCAGCTGGTTTCAGGCAAGACTGGCTTTCTCATTACCTCGCCAAAAAGTGCAACTCATCTTAAAATGCAACAACCCCAGGAGGAAACAAATCGGGACGGTCAACGCAGTCAATTCGCTTTTTCCTGTGCTTCCTCAATGACATTTGGGCTCAAGAACCCCGGAAATCGCATGTTGTGGATAGGTCGTGACGTGAGCAATGCAAGCACCTGCAGAATAATGTGTTTGGATATTTGTGCGCTAGCACACGTGGAGGCTTTTGGGCTGGTGGTCATTGCATTCCATTCTAACGATTGCGTCTCTGTGTGTGCGTGTGTGTTTGTGTTTGTGTGCATGCGTGGATAGTTCGATGATGAAGCAGTTGTATCATACAGGCAGATCGATTGTTTTGGCACACCAAGTGTCGGATGCAAAATGATGCGTCGCCATTTCTGGGGGTTCGCCTAGAGACAAACCCAGATTTCAACACATATGAAAGATCAACAAGAGGTCCCAATCACTTGAAAGCAGACGAACTTGTGGTTGGTCAACCCCTTGCGCGCCTTGACTGGTGAGAACCGGGACGAGTTGCAACCATCGTGAAGCCCGGTCAATGGGAGCATGGTTTACATGAGTCACAATCGCACCCGGTTTTAGAAACATGGTCTACCCGAGACCGAGTACATCATTCAAAGGGCGAATATCCGTGTCCATTCACGGATGGAATTGTCACTAACCTTAGCCTTAAAGTAAGCGGGCGGTAATTGTGATTCACATCAACCCGTCCTTCTTGACAGAGTTGTGGTGGCTTTCTCCACACAAATTCAAGCAACAACGCTAACCCCTGACTAGTGCTGGGAGCACTGAATTCCCCTTTCAAAAGTTGCAATTTACGGGTCGTTTCCCTTGAAAACTGCCACTTGTGGAGATAACAAAAAGGGAAAGGGGGCCAACCCTGTAACAAAAGCCTTCATAACAAAGTCAAAATACAGAGGAGCTTGGTCTATGAATCAGGGGGTCGAGGAAGATGGTGCCGAAATGCGCATCTTGCTGACTCAGCCACAAAATGTCTGGGAAGTTGTCCCTCGCTATTTAAAACTTCAGAGCCTTAAACAAGTCCCTCCAAAGTTGGCCTTCGGTTGGCTTTTGACCCAGACTTGCCGCAAACATTCCCCCATATTCCCCCAAAGCTGGGATTAGGCTACTCCCCAAACCCTAGTATAGTACAAACTTGTCCACTAGTTTGCTGCCTAACCAGCAAGCGCTCCGATGTCGCCTCGGCCATGAGCTCGTCGCTGGCCCAGCCGCTGCTGGCGAAGGCCCACGCCGTCATCGACACGTCCACGAAGCGCGCCCCGCCTTTCAGCGTCGCCAGCGCCGGCGCCGCCTGAAGCTGCGAGCGCAGAGAGGGCTGCTCACGCGAGCAAGCCGGTCCGCCTCCCCAACAAAAAGGGGGATGCAGCAAAACATGGGGGCACGAAAATAGGTTGATCAGGCACGCTGTGGATTTACATGGTGTGTATGTGTGTGTGTGTCCAGTGTGCTGTGTAGGAAATGGTCGGAAAGATTTTGCGGTTTGAATTAAAGTAGCAGCTTCAACATCGGGACATACCAGCCATTCCCAGCTTTGAATTTGAGATTGAATTTGGCAACCCTGTCGTAGACACCATTTACTTGAGATAGTTGAATCCATCAAACATTTGGAGGATGCTCAAACCATAAAACATTATATTATAGCCAAAATTGCGTGTCTCCAGATATGCCATGAACATTTGTTTTACGTAACACAGAAGTGCGCAAACCCCTTTGGACAAACAGCACGGACTTTCTCTTGGAAGTGGAGCCCGTGCACTACCCTCTTGTTTGGTGGCGGGAAAGTTTAGAAACGGTTGAATCATGTACAGGATCATCACCCCCCCCCCCTCCCCAAACTGGGAAGAAACGTGGGCCCCGTGGGCCATACATTCATTATGGAGAGATAAACAACGAAAGAACCATTCTTTGGGATATGCCTCCCCTTTCATGCAGTAGTGAGGGGCCCGGGGGTGGTTAAAAGTTGAGCCAGGTTGCATTGTTTCTCGTACTTTTCTTCAACCCCAAGCCTATAGAATTGAATCCTGTTTCAGCGAGCCCCGCTCTTTCTGGCAAAAATGGTTTCTTATTTCCCAGCAGGGGCTTCCTGTGGAACCCTGAAAAGCCGGCGGGGCTCTCATGGGCAACATGTGACGCGACTTGTCAAGCAGGGCACCATGGCTCGCCAGAACTGCTGAGCCGGCTCCTCTTCCACGAAGCGCAGCCTGGGAATCGAGCAAAGTCGTCAACATGTCAAATGCTGTTGGTGTTTTCCACAAAGCAAAAAAAACAATACCTCACTTCCTGTGTGGATTGGCCAAAAACGGCTCGTTTGTTGTTGTTTACTACTGAAATGGGTTTCCCAAAAAGTTTCAAGTCCATGAACTCAGGGAGTGAGATCCCTTTCCAACAAATGGAAGACAGGGTCTGCAGCTTTCAACACGCTCCTGTCAGCTGGAAGCTGATCCTGGGATAACACCAAGCATCTCTAGCAGCATCGGCCAACTCAAAAGTGGAAGGAGTTCCTCCTTACCCCAGGGTTCCCTGGCATCCAACCCACTTGTAGGGAAATTCACCGACATTTGCTGCGAAACCTCTCTGGAATCTGCCCAGAACCTGAAAAGTCTAACCTGCTCCGGCGAGAGATTGAAATGTCGCTCGCAGAGTGGCCCCATTCTGGGAACCACGCCACACGAACCCCACTTTTGGCTTTCAAATCAACACATCTTGACGCAAAAAGGGGCTAAATCATTGCCCTTATCATTCCTGACGACCACCCCATTGTAACTGGGTTGTTCAAAAGGGTGAGGGGCCGGCTCTTGAACAACTAAGTCAAACAAAAGCATGCAAGGTGAAAAGGACAACTAGGCAATGCACTTATACCTAAAATATAGGGGGGTTCGTAATGATGGCATCTGAGTTTCTCGATGGCACATCCAGCCGATTTTTGAAGGTTGTGTGTGTGAAGACTAAAGTAGTATTCGGGAGGCCTAAAAATATTAGGGGACATAAAAATCAAACACTTTCCTATGTGCCGCCACTAGCCTCAACTGCCTGGAAAGCTTGCGGCAATCTTGAATTCGGGTGTAGTTGCAGGGTGTGAAATGAATGAACGCAGCGGGTGGGGCCCTTGTTGCAATTGCATCCCTTTGTTTCCACCAACAGTTGCATCGCTTTGTTTCCACCCACAGTGTTGATTGACAAACTAGGCAAATATGTCGAGCTCCGCGCGCGACCCAAGAATCACCGGCCCTGTCTGCTTTCACCCAGAAGACAAGTTTTGACAAGGGACCGGGCTCATGTGCCATCTTTGCGTTAGCAAAAAAGTTCAAATATGTGGCGGGGAAATTTTGCTATGATGGCATAATTTGGTCATTTCAAAGATGCCATCAATACCGCAATACGAACCCCCTTATAAATAAACACACGTTTTGTTCGATGCTTGAAATTAAAAGGCAACTTTTTTTTGGTTGGTAGCTTCTGATGGGAAGACCACCACTGGAGGAAACACAGGACACCCTGAATTTCCCAGAAAGAAGGGGACGACTGGAGGTCCTGGTTCTGAACGGCCTCAATTCCATTGTTTGGAGGGAAGACTCTAGGCTTCAGTCTTGGTACCTGAAGCAAGACGTGAACCCGCGCTTGTTCCCCCTGGGAAAATCCACCGTCCCTGGGTTCAAGGCTGGGGATTCCCGAAATGTTGCAAGTGCACAACATCCAGCCAGCACCTCGTGAATCACGCCAAATCGGCGGAAATCAGAATGCTCCCCTACTCAGGGAATCGACTGTGGGGCAGAGACTTGACCCCGGATCAAAACAGTCCGTTTTAGCTGGAACCTGTCCCCCTGAAGTGATGCACCCACAAGTGTCCCCAGACACCCGAGCCAACCAACCGACAGACCGACCAACTATCAGCCAACCAACAGACCAAGTAGGGCAACCATCCAAGCCCAGCCAAACCAAACCAAGCCGTTTCATCAACCAGGCTCGATTGCTTTCTGCTCCCCTGCTAAAAGGTTACATTAGTTGGCAAAAAGTTAAAGTCCCAACATCCAAGCAAAATGCACCAAAGCAGGGGTTCAAAAAACACAAATCCACATTTCCCCGTCTTCCGCCCAATCGGCTGGCCGAGGTGTTTGTTTGGTCGCCCGATCGAGCGAGGCGCTTGGCGAAGGCCCAGGTCGCTTTGGCCACGTCCGTGGCGCCGAAGGATTTCGCCTTGCGGCAGCTCTGCAGCGCCAGCTGCGTCAGCAGCCTGGCGTTCGAAGCGGCCGAAGAGACCCGCCCCGACCTCCGAAATGTGCGTTTCAGACGCCTGGAAGGAATAACTATAAAAATCCGATGGTGATAGATTCCCCGGTAACACCGAAGATAAAACAAACAACGTAGTATTTAGCAAATGCAAGCTGGAATTCGGGGCCTTCACGCTTTGGATTGGCCAGACAGTAGTGCTGACTTCAGCGGTTTGCGTCTAAGCATATTGTACCTGTTAAAAGTCCAAGTGGCTGGAAGTGCTGACCAAGACACCTAAAAGGGTCGTGACCCCTTCTATAATCTCGGGTCATACCAGATTCTCGGCTTTGGGTGGTCCGTTTCTTGCCAGGTTTGCAAGTCAGAGGAAACACCTCCTTTCCTCTCCGCTTCCCAAGCTGTACAACTCGAACCAAAAAGGGAAACACTTTCCTTCCAATCGAAATGCACTTGACTTGTTTGCATCTTTGGATTGATGCTTCAAGACTTTCTGCCATTTCTTCCATGTCCCCCCGCCCCGGGTTTCGTCTCGACCCTTCCCCCCCCCGCTTGGCACGCTCGCTGGCTTCCCCTGACCGCCTGGGGTCGCCGAAGCCCAACTTGGCGGCCGAGTAGGCGGTCATGGACAAGCCCCGGGGCTCTAATTGGTCCAAGGCCGCCATCAATCGCTCCACCAAGGCCAGCAGCCCGAAGCCCAATGCCACCTCCCCTAACAAGCAAGCGAAGTGCCAACATGAAACATTAGATATTGGTTCAACATATGTTATTGCGTGCCTTTTAATTAGAGAATGTTATACTACTGTTGGATGGTGTTTGCGTTACCTTCATTGTAATGGAGGTGCACGGGCTTAGTACACCAAGTCAAACATCTCTATGAAGAAACACACATTCTACCCAGGCAAAACACATCACAGTTTGCGGGACAATGGGGAAAAACAAAAACCTTGCAAGGGGGGCCACGAAAGGCTACAAGGCAAACAAGTGATGCGAATTCACACTGGTTTCCACAAATATTGCAAAACTCGATGTGTTCACCTGCTGTTGACGTGACGCCCTATGGCCTTGGTTAGGATAAGGACCCCTGCATCATACAGGAATCACTCAGCCGGACTTTTGGCTACCTCTTTAGAATACACAGCGCGAGTAGAAGGCTTGCATCAACTTCGTCCTTTGAGCAAGCAAACCACCCTCTTTAAACCAGTCTCTATGGGATAGATCACCATTCTTTTCAACAATGGTTTTTGTTCACATCTGGTGCTTCTCTGGGATTGTTCGTGGCTTAACAAGGGCCTAGAAAGTCTGATGGTGGTGTGTTGTGGAGTTCATTTCCAGAGAGTGTGTGTCTCTTCAAACCAATCCTACTACCCGCTGGCGGGTGTTGATTGAATTGGACTGGGGACGAAGGCTCAAGCATCACTCCACCAAAACAAGTTTATTAACCCAAGAGGCACAATCAAAACCAATGGATTCAATAAAGGGATATCCATCCACATGAAAAAGGTAGAGGCTGCCCTTACAAGTACCCGGGTTTTGACTCATGTGTCACCGCCAACATGCGGAACTCCTTGGGGTGTTACCACCCAACACATGATCACACCGTCACACTCGTTCAATGGGTGAAGCGAGAAGATGCCTCAGTTTGCCCCTTACTAAACAAGGAAACACACCAGTCGCTGTCGAAAGCGCGTCAAACAATGCCAGCCATGTTTGTTCAGCAGCCAACCTCGTTTGCTCTAGAATACAATCGCTTGCCCTTCCGGAACCTGGTTACCTGGTAGCAGAACTGTCGAGAGACTTTTCCGTCGGAAGAGACCCGCGCCTTCATCCACCTTGGCAGCGCAGGTGAAGGCTACAACCACGTTGCCCACGTCGAAGCGGCTGGCGCTAGCGGAAATAAGTCGCCACAGCTCCTTTCGCGCGAGTGGTTTTGAGGGTGCCGGTTTGCTTGGCCCAATCCGGACGCAGAAAATACTACGCGAGCTTGTGACACATTTGGGCAACCCCAAAATGATAAGCAACATTGGAGGAGACTCCAGTTTTGGGGCCGCAAGGAAATCCAAAATCCTGCGAACCGAGCAATTGGGATGCCCATGTTTGGAGAAGTCCTGAGTATCAAGCTTTCAGTTAGGGAATGTCTTCATGTGACTGACAAGAATATCACCAAAAACCGATAGGACATGGACCACACAAAACCGATACCCTAGCAATATTGTGCGTTGCTCATGGTATCAGATTGGAATGGTACCTAGTTTCTCCAGTTGTCTCCGACTTTTGACCAACGCTCAAGTGGTTCACTGCCGGCTCCTTGGAACTAGCAGCATCCCGGAGCTGAGTGTCGATCTGGCGGAGACGCAACCAGTCACCCAGCCCGCGAAATGTGTGTGTGTGTGTGTGTGCGTGGGTGTGCGTGGTGCGCGCCTGCGTGGGTGGCTGCGTGTGCGTGTGCCTGTGCGTGTCTGTGTGTCCGTGTGTCCGCGTGTCCGTGTGTCGGTGTCTGTGTCTGTGTGTGTTGGGTGTCTGTGTGTCTGTGTGTTTGTGTGTCTGTGTGTCTGTGTGTGTGTGTCTGTGTGTCCGTGTGTCCGTGTGTTGGTGTTTGTGTGTCTGTGTGTCTGTGTCTGTGTGTCTGTGTGTCTGTGTGTCTGTGTGTCTGTGGGTGTGGGTGCGCGTGCTCGTGTGTCTGTGGCTGTGTCTGTGTTTGTTTTCGTGTGTGCGTCTTGTCTTCACGTGCTGTCAAAACGAATAATTACAGGAAATCAGGCCCCACTTTGGGGACAAGCCCTGCGGCAACCCCAACTTCAGATACTGCTGCTATTTCCACGGCTTGCACGGGGAATCTGAGTTTCCGCGTTTTTTGTTGATTCCCTGCGACTGTTCAGACAATTTGAGAGCTGCTGAAACTCGTTCTCATCACTTGTAAATCTTCCGCGTGGGTGCAGGGCACCCATCCCAGCTTGCCTAAGGGCCAGAATTGTTGTCCGAAACCACAAAGCCCCCTGACCCAAAGGCCTAAATCAACAGAATGGAGTTGTGGGATCCTGAAATTCGACTGCTTGACTTGAAACGCACCGCGCCAGTCAACCCACCCAGTCAACCCACCCACCCACGCACCAACCCACACCCAGCCCACCCACCCTCCTACCCAACAAACCACCCCCCCTCCTCCCATCCTCCCAACCCGCCTCCATGGCCTCCTTGGGCCTTTTGAGGCACTGGAAGATGGGGGGCACGGAGGGCTTGGAGCCCGGGAAGCTGCCCGGCGCGTAGAAGGAGATCTTCCCTGCAGAGGCGGGAAGCTGGGAAGCTGGGAAGCTGGAGCTGCCAGGCAGCTAACTTTCTGTAGGGAATTTCTATAGGGTCCGAAAGTCCAATCTAAAAATAAATAAATAAATAAATAAATAAATAAATAAATAAATAACAGAGGCTTCATGAAATCTGCGGTACCTGGGAGCCGCAAGGTGAACCTCACATGGATTATTGTGGGTTGATTTGCATTTGTTAAGCTCCTTTCGTCTGGCGCCTTAGAAGAGTTCCCCTGAAGTCTGAGAGACTTCTCAGACAGATCCGTTCGATTGCCCAACCATCAGAAAGCTCTGTTGGGTGTCTCAAAGGAAGACCAAAAGGAAACTGTGCATATCAGACAAATATATCGCTCGGGTCTGCATCTAAGCCAGTATCAGACCTGGTAAATCAATTGATCGGAAGACAATCATTTTTTTAAGGAACCCTCAAGAAAGGAATCTTCAACATGGGGGCCGAGGCTGTTGTCAATTGGCCGCCCCGAAGTTGCATCAGCTTCTCAAACGCGTTCTAGGTGCATGACAAGCTCATGTCTTCTTGCCTGCAACTGCCAGTAAGCCGTACAATTTCTCACACGGTAGTCTTGGTAGTCAACAGATTCAGATTCAAAGGTGGAAAGCGGCCTTCATCAATTGACAACGCGGATGGGGATTTCTTCGCGTCAAGGTCCCACATCCTGAAATCAACAGTAAGCCAGGGTGTAAGACATGTCCCCTACCAACAAAAACTCACCTATGGGACAAACCGGTGTGGGTTTCCCAAAATGGTGGGTTTCCTTTTGGCTTCCATTGAACCAAGCGAAAGGGCACTCCCAAACAAGAAGACACACCCATGCATGTCTGAGACCAGAAAGGGAGATATAGGGAACCTCAGCCCAACTGCTGGCTGAATACAATGTACACGACGCACAAGTGACTTGTGCTGATCAGGCTCGTAATGCTGAAAGTGAGCACCTGCACCAGCACGGTTACTTCCCTGCCGATTATCACGCGCTCCCCCCCCCCCAAAAAAAAAGCATCGTTTTTCGTGTTTTGAAGGGCTCCCTTTTGTAGGGCCTTTTTGGGTCCCTTGTTCATTTACAGGCGAGTAGCTGACCCACTGGAGACAGGGCAAGCCGCCAAATCAACTGTAATGCCAGCTCGTTTCGCAGAGCTCGTTTCTCATTGACATCAAGCCTCGGTTCCAACTTAAGGCCAACCCGAGTTTTAACCAAAACTGAACCTGAGTGAAGTTTCAGCCTTGACCCGCGAACCAAAACTGACATCCTTGGTTTCTTCGCATGTTTTCTTTGCTATGTGCGAGCAATCAAACGGCAGAGTGGAGCATTGGTCCCTGGAAGAATGGTGAAAGGGAGCTTTGGTCATTGTGAAGTAGCAATGACATCGGATAAATTGAGATCACATGCCACAACACTGGCTGGGTTCCGTGCAGTTCCCAAGCCAACGCGAAGGGGATTACCCCAACCGAGACACACATTTAGAATATTTGGCGAACCTGAAAAGGAACAATTATTACCAAAGCAGGTCACAGAAACGGAACCAACAAAACGCCTCCACCTCCATTTCCGTTCCCATTCTCGTGCATGGCGGGCACATGGGGCGCATGGCCTGTAAGCAATCAGACTTGGCAAGCACAAACTGGATTGCAACCACTCTCTCCCATGGGGACAAAAGAGACCTGTCGTTGCTGTAATGATTGATGTTTGAATACAAATCGAATCAAAAAGGTGCCAATGCGCAACTGGGATGTGTTTTGGCCTCAAATGGGTGCTTTTTCCTAACTCGGGGCTTGCACTCTTTCTCAATGGGAAAGAAAACACTCCTAACCCCAACCAAAACATGAAACTGACACATGGGTGATATGGTTGGCAGGCATGTGGCTGATACCTCCGCAATGCTCCCGAAGTGCGATAGATACATGTCGCTTGAGCCGCAATGTCAGCACTCCGTACACACATAAATAAGTACGCTCTATTGTCGGAGATCTAAGGGCAACTGCGTCGGCACAAGCAGTCAAGTGGAAGAGCGACTGCAGGCGACGTACTTACGTAAGTACCTACGTACAAACGAATGACATGTAATGCATTGTACGTACTGTAATGTGATGAACTGTATTGCAATGCAATGTAATGAAATGTCATAGAATGTACTGTATGCATGTGTTTGTGTATATATATATAACACATGATATAGGTATATTATATATGTGTACGTGTACGTATCATGCATGTATCATGCGGGTCGGTGTCTCTCCGTGAATCAGTGTGTATGTCTCCATTTGTGTGACTGTGATTGGCGTTGTCTCTGATTTGGTGTCTCTCTGCGTGTCTAAATGTGTGTTGTGTGTCTTCACGCGTGTCTTTGTGCAATCTCACTCTATTGGCTCTGGTGAATTCCACAGCCGCAAGACACACAGACTCCCACGGACATTTCGCAACCGCCGAACCTGAAATAAGGGCTCCCTAAGCAAAGGAATCGCATGGTGATCGATGCAATCCATCCCCGTTCTTCTTCTTTTTTTGTGGAATGGGTCGCCTTGGCGGATCCGTGCATTCTTCAGATGGGGCCTCCGAGAAAAGCGATCTTGGTCCTCGGTGCTCCGTCGACGCAACCCTGAAGGGGTTTCTATTCGGAGGCTGCATGATTGTCCTGTTGCAATCTGCCCCCCGTTTTCTGAGAATCCGTTTTAGGTGCCCTGAAGTAGGGTGTGTAGCCACCCTGCCCACTCAACATAGTGGAAGCGATCAAGGCGCGGGGTTCCATTTTTACTGCTTGCGAAGCAATTCTGAGCTAAAGTGAGCTGCCCTACCACTGGCGCAGCCGAAAGTGTAGCCATCTGGCCCAAAGATGTCACCCCCCAAGCTTCCGAGTTCGTAAATTCACTGATTCACCAGCCACAGGGGCTCATTAATATGCATGGGATCATACAAATAAACATCGACTGCACCCGGGTCAGGACAGGCTTATGAGGCAGCTTTCTTCTGCGCCCTGAGTCACCTGGCCGCATCAGGGAGTGTTCTTCAACGTGGGGGGGCGCGGCCCGATTCTTCTGCTTCTTCACCCTACTTCACTGACCCCCGATGGAAAAGGGCATGTAACCATTTGATATGGTGGATTTCTATTTGCAGGGAACTGGGAAAAACAAAAGCGCTGCCAACCAACACTTAATTTCACATGGATTTGAAGGAACACGGCTTAGGGGAAACTCCATGACATTATATAGACATCATGCTTCTTGGGTGCTCTTTGCAGGGCTTGACTTCAAGCAGGATGGGAATGGTCTTTCCACTGCACTGAAGCCCCTACTTTGCGTCAAGGAGGTTTTGCGGCATACAAGTGGTCGTAAACTCAGCCTCCTCATTCCCACAGCTTCTGTGAGGGTTCGGAAGCTTTCAACCAAACGTAGGTTTAGGTGTCCTCTTGACGCCCCTTGAAAACAACCCACAAGGGGAAAGCCCAAAGGCAAACAGAAAGCCTCAAAGGAACCCCTCTGGGGCAAACAAGAAGGAGTACCATCTGGAACGACACTTCCGTTTCTCTTTCATTTACAAGTTCACAACTTAACATGAGTTGTCTAAAGAACGACTAACATGCACAAAGTTCATCTGGTGGCTCCCACTTGCCGCAAACCAGAGCGAAAGAAGCAACCATGTCGTGGGAACCCAGGATTCTCACACCTCTTGATCCGGATATCACGTTTTGGGAATACGCTTACCCACGTTCGTCGAGGCCGCAAATCCACAAATCCAAATGTGTACCTAACAGAAGCTGCCAAATATCTATGGTTCAAACCACCAAAAAGAAAAAATATCCGCAGGTTTTACTCTTTGGTTCCATGGAAATCAGTTCGCGAGCCATAGAGTTCTCTTTGGCCGGACCCAGTTCTTGCCATGGCTCTGGGCTTTTCCGGGAAACAATTGGGGGGGGTGCTCCAAAGGCTTCCACCTTTTCGTTGGCTCAACAAACGAGGCCCCGAGGTCTGGAAGACAAACACGCACACTTAAAACGACAAAGAAACACAACAAACAACAAGTACCCATAAACCGGGAGAAGCACGGGCACATGTTCCTTACACAAAAACATGTTCCTTACATATGTCTGAAATAAACTAGGGATTCCTCTGAAGGCAAACTTGAAAGGGGGTTCCAACAAAAAGACACGGACTTATTTACGTGACCCAAATTTTGCACATACCCCACCTGTACGCCTAACTCTTGGGGTACCCCGGATGACCCTTGTAGGCTCCCTTCTTGAGTGGATTGGCCAAACGCCTATGTGTCTCTACTAGAAAGGTCTCAAAGATGCAAAGAGTGGTAGTGACTAAATTATCACCTCAGTCTCAGACAATCCACATATGACTGTCAATGGATCGGCTAAGGTTTCTTCAGCTACTCACAACAAATCCAACTTTGACCTGCTGATTTGTGGTTTCTTGTCCAGGCACTGGCCCCAAGAGGATTACCTTGTTTTGGTTGCTTGACGTTCAGGGCGTGTCCCGTGAAACGGCTTGCCGGGCACCAGGATCAGGCAAAATGTGGTGAACAACAACTTTTTGCCCAATCAAACAATATCAAACATGTTAAAAACACAATGCGTTCTAAATGTTGGTTTCAAAAAGGCCGTGCTATGGAGTATATATACTCGGACGGGGCACTTCAAAACAGCTCAAAACCCCTCAGGTACAGGTAGAGACCACAACAAGTCTGGCTAGACTATGGCTTCAAACCCGCTATACCTCAAGCAACTGGCGCGGCGTCATCTTTCCAAATGGGCTTTCACTAGAGTCCGGCAATGTGGGAGGTCTTCGGACCTTCAAACTGCCCAGGGCATCGCGGCGTGACCTAAAATTCCCACCCTGTCCCCAGTTCCCCGCCCCCGAAAAGGGGGAATACCAATATTTGTCGGCTGTTTTGAGCTCCTTTTGGTGATTTAAACAAAACACACAGGCCACCGGCAGTTTTTGGAGTTGGATCCGGGAATCCCAGATCTCCCCAACCGAATCTGCCTCAGGCCCACAGGAAGGCGCGTCCGTCCGCGCCGGCGGTGAAGAGCCAGGGCTGCACCGGGTGCCACGCGCAGCTCAGCACCCCGAAGCCCTGGAGCGGCGCATCGAACGGAATGGCGGCTTCGGCGTTTTCCGACTCGGATCGGAAGGAGACTTCGGGCTTGAAAGAGCCGCAAGCACCGCAAGGGTCCACTTCTTTGGCCCGCCAAAAAACAATATGTTTGCGGTGGTCCAGATACTTAGTAAAGCTTGAAAGGCAACAACTCCGGCCAAATAAGATTTCGGAATATTTGTGGGGGGGGGTTCGAGACCGAGGGGTCAAATGGGCCCACACGAAATGTAAAGAAAGGACCAATTTAGGCAATGAGTTGGAACCACAAGTGTTGTCGAAATTCTTAGCCTTGCAGAGCCTTGAAGCACTTCCTACTCATTTCTTGCAGTTATTTGGCCAAGCGGACTCTGGGCATTGAAGCAGGCCATCGACTCGGTTGCCCTCTTTGAAGAGGACCCCAAACGGATATTAAAGCATCTTAGAATCTTAGAACACTGTTGGGGTAGCGGGGTGGGGGGGGGTGGGGGGTGGGGGGTAAGGATAAACAGCAATTGAAAGTTTCGACGGCTCTGCCCGGGCAAACGACTAAGATAGACATGAACCGATCCTCAAATGCCACCCCACCCGGCTCCACACCATCCGGATGTTCCCTAAATGAGACCCTAAGTTTGCCTCGGAAAACCCGCAGCCAGGCAGGGCATCCTGAATCCACCAAAAAATCCATGCCAGTTGACAGCGACGCAAAGGAAAAGGGATCTCAAGGGCCCTGAGCAACTGGGAAGTGGAAGGTAGGGGTAGGGGCACGATCTAGTCCTGCGTACCCACCTTTCAAGTAGGGCTCCTATTGGAATCAACGCTTTGAGGTCTGTTTGGGGCTGAGGCCTCGAGGGGATTTCTGGGTGTCCCTAGATTGGTCAGGATGTTGGAAGGCCAGGACAGGCGTGGCCCCTCACTTCCTGAGTGACTTGGGCAAAGGTCCGACCTTGGTTTCAGATGTTGATCTGTTTCTCAACCGCATGAAGCGCATTTAAGATCTTTTGAACAAAGAACTGGCCGGAACCAAGCCCCTGCCCCCGGCTTTTCGTGTCGCCACCCTTTGCTTCAACATCGCAAACGCCAGGTGTCATCATTCTCTTTTGTGGTGCCCCTTTTCAAGAAAAACCAATGGAAACCGCCCACTGCAAGGTAGTCGACCCCGCGCTCCTGGTTCACCATGTGGTCCCGGAGTCGCTTCACAGGAACTATCATCGGGCTCTGCATCAGGTCTGAGAAGACCTGGCCGGACAGTACCCTGCGATATTCAGGTGGTTGTTTGGTTGTAACATTTGATGATGGGTCAGGAAGGCAGGAAGGCAGGAGGGCAGGAGGGCAGGAGGGCAGGAGGGCAGCACGGAAGGATGGAAGGACGGAAGCACGGAAGGACGGAAGGATGGAAGGACGGAAGCACGGAAGGACGGAAGGATGCAAGGATGGAAGGACGGACGGACGACGGACGGACGGGCGGACGGACGGGCGGACGGGCGGAAGGAAGGAAGGAAGGAAGGAAGGAAGGAAGGAAGGAAGGAAGGAAGGAAGGAAGGATGGACGGAAACCAAAAGAGGGAGAATGGCAGCAACCTACCCCCCCCCCCCGGCATCATTTCCCACGTACAACTGAAGTCATATGCTAGCCGCAGAGTTCTTACCTTCAGATGCAAACCCAACCCATTGTGATCTTTGAAAGCCGGGGGAGTATTCGAGATCCAAGGTTCTACCTCTGGACCCGGGCTCAAAAAAAGCACCCCGTTAAAGAATGGTTGCCCAGTACATGGGTGTGACTTTTTTGTGGGTACTTGCCTTTGTTGCTTCAAAAGGAACACCAAAAGGAAAACCATGCAATTCTTATCCCAAACTTACAGACCCCTGGCCCCTGGTTGATTAATTGGGGGTGCCCTCTTCATCAGGATTCCTCACTTTTCGAGTGGGAACACCCTCTGGTAGGATGGGTTTATCAATCCGCCAAGTGGGGGCCCTTCCTTGCGTCTTGTTGAGTGAAGGGGAGTGGGCGGGGAGGTTGGAGGTTGGAGAGCCGCAATCCTCGGACTCTGCGGCGGCGCTTCGCTGATGAGACGCGCCTTCGCATGCAAGATGCTCACCGTGGCGTCATCCGAGCACGCCGCAAGCAAAGGGAACTTCCCGGGATGGAACCTGAGCGCGCAACATCCGCTGATAGGCCGGTGACCCTACCCCAGCCCTTGGGTTGACTATTGGAAAGCCCTGCAAAAGGGGAAAAGGACCCTGAGCCATTGCCTCAAAAACCTCCTGGAGTACTGGAATCAGTGGAGCAAAGCTTTGGGAGGGTTTGGGTTGAGAGCTTCGGGCCCCAAACTATTGCCTCAAAACCCTGCCGCATTCTCCCCACCTTTTAGGGGCAAGCCCCACCCCTCGGTTCCGCGACCCCCCGCCCACTTCCCGGAAGGGTGCCTGGAGTGACCGGTGACGGAGATCAGGTTTCACGTTTTTTGGAAGGTGCGGAGCCTCCAATCTGCCTGGATTATGTTGACGGGAGGGTAGCGCCTGGAGTCTTGGCCATCTGTGGCGCACAAACAAATGTGTGTTTCAATTCTGTTTCATGTTTAGTCTACGTACAGGGGTCACTGGATTTCCCCTCCAAAAGTTGCAATAAACTGGTGGATTCCTTTGAAACTGCCTCTTTTGGAGGCTCCAAAAGGGGAAATGGAGGAAGCCCTGCACGGGGTGGGCAGCGAATCGCTGCCGCCAAGGGACGTCGCACATCGCACCGCCTTGTCATGGTACTGCAGCGTCCTGGGTAAGCAGATTCCCACCCCCACAACCCCAGAAAAGCTAATCCTAGTGGTGTAAAACCCAGGATGATTGTTTTGGTTCTAAGCACGGCTAAATGAAAACAAATAAAAGATTGACAAACAGATTGTCCAGATTAAAAGTTTTGTCTTGGACAGCTCAATAATAAAATACCATGTTGCAAAACCACAGGCGTGAGGCAGCTACGGGAACGGTCCCTTGATTTGTGACATAATGGAACCTTGTCATACCAGGGTATGGAAAAAAGAGTTGGTTCCCAAGCATGTGCAAGCACGTCCGGATGATCACCTACTACCCACCTGAGGTTGCAGGTTAGATTCCTGCAATGAAGCGGCACATCTTTGCACGACCACGCGGCCCAAAGCAGAGCTGCTAGCTGTAAAGGGCCGAGCTCGGTTGACCCAATCTGGAAAGAAGCCCAAATACATATGAGTGTGTGCTGTTTCGAGAAAGCCCCCTTCAGGTTGGCTTGAACTTGAGGAAGCAAAAAGAAAGCCGCATGTCGGGTTCGCCCGATTTTCATACGTACCCATACTCTGCACATCTGCCAATGGCTGTCATCTCTGCATTTCTGACCAACGCACATATCCGCCGACGGACACAAAAATGCTCCTTACCTCTTTACCTGTTACCCCTCCCCTAACCCCTCCCCAGGGGCGCAATTTCAGACTGTCGGGGGGGGCGGTGATTCGAAGACGCTTCACTAAATCTGTTCATTGTGCGCTTGCGCAACCCAGTTTGTCAAAAACATTGGGGTGTTCGATTCCCCCCGGGTGCGCTTTCGCATCCTTAGCAGCTCCAGCGGCACATCGCCAGCATCACCTGCATCATCCGCATCAGCGCCTGCCAAGGATGCGGATGATGCAAGTGATGCTGGGGATGTTGCCCATGCTGGTGAAGGAAATGAAGGGGGAAAGATCTCAGGGAGGAAAGGGAGAAGATCTGGGGAAAAAATGCCTTAAGGGGGAAAGGGGGGAAAAGATCTTTGGGAGGAAAAGGGACATCTTTCTTGGGGGGAACAGGCCCTAAGGGGCAATGGGGGGACAGGATCTCAAACGGGAAAGGGGGAAAAAGACTTTGGGAAGAGAAGGGTGGAGATCTTGGGGGGAAAAGGCCTTAGGGGGGAAACGGGGGAAAGGATCTTAAGCGGGAAAGGAGGGAAAAGATCTTAGGGAGGCAAAGGGAGAGGAACTCAGGGTGCGAAAAGGCCTTCGGGGGGACAGGGGGGAAAGGATCTCAATAAAGAAAGGTGGGACAAGCTCTTAGGAAGGAAAGGGAGAAGATCTCAGAAGGGAAAGGCCTTAGGGGGGAAAGGGGGGAAAGGATCTCAACAGGGAATGGCGGGAAAACATCTTAGGGAGGAAAAAGGAGGAAAAGGGATATGATCTCAGGGGGGGTGAAAGGCCTTGGGGGGGGAAGGGGGGGAAAGGATCGAACAGCGAGAAGATCTCAGGGGGGAAAAAGGCCTTAAGATCTCAGGGGGGGAAAGGCCTTAGGGGGGAAAGGGCGAAAGGACCTCAACACGGAAAGGGGGCAAATGATCTTAGGGAGGAAAAGGGAGAAGATCTGAAAGGGCCTTCAGGGGGAAAGGGGGGGAAAGGATCTCAACAGGGACAAGGAGAAAAGATCCTAGGGAGGAAAAGGGAGAAGATCTCGAGGGGAAAGGGGGAAAGGATCTCAACCGGGGGAAAAGATCTTGGGGAGGCAAAGGGAGAAGGCCTTAGGGGGGAAAGGGGGGAAAGGTTCTCAACAGGGAAAGGGGGGAAAACATCTTAGGGAGGAAAAGGGAGAAGATCTTGGGGGGAAAAGGCCTTAGGGGGGAAAGGGGGGGAAAGGATCTCAACAAGGAAAGGGGGGGAGAAAAATCTCAACAGGGAAAGGGCAAAAGATCTTAGGGCGGGAAAAGGGAGAAGATCTCAAGGGAAAAGGACTTAGGGAGGAAAGGGGGGGAAAGATCTTTGGGAGGAAAAGGGAGAAGAACTGAGGGTGGGAAAAGGCCTTAGAAGGAAAAGGGGGGAAATAAATGATCTCAACAGGGAACTGGGGGGGGGGGAAAGATCTTAGGGAGGAAAGGCAGAAGATCTGGTGCAAAAAGGCCTTAGGGGGGAAAGGGGAGAAATGATCTCAACAGGGAAAGGGGTGGAAAAGATCTTAGGGAGGAAAGGGAGAAGATCTGGGGAAAAAAGGCCAACAGGGAAAGGGGGGAAAAGATCTTCAGGGGGGGAAAGGCCTTGGGAGGGAAAGGGGGGAAAGGATCTCAACAGGGAAAGGGGGGGGAAAGATCTTAGGGAGGAAAGGGGGGGAAAAGATCTAGGGGGAAAAAGGGGAAGCTTAGGGAGGAAAGGGAGAAGATCTGGGGACAAAGGCCTTAGGGGGGAAAGGGGAGAAATGATCTCAACAGGGAAAGGGGTGGAAAAGATCTTAGGGAGGAAAGGGAGAAGATCTGGGGGAAAAAAGCCAACAGGGAAAGGGGGGAAAGATCTAAGGAAGGAAAAGAGAAGCTCTCAGGGGGGAAAGGCCTTAGGCGGGAAAGGGTGGGAAGGATCTCAACAGGGAAAGGGGGGAAACAATCTTAGGAAGGAAAAGGGAGAAGATCTGGAAAGGCCTTAAAGGGAAGGGGGGAAAGGATCTCAACGGGGAAAGGGGGCAAAGGATCTTAAGGAGGAATAGGGAGAAGATCTCAGCGGGGGGAAAGGCCTTAGGAAGGAAAGGAGGGAAAGGATCTCAACAGGGAAAGGGGGGGAAAGATCTCAGTGAGGAAAGGGAAAAGATCCCAGGCAGGGAAAAGGCCTTAGGGGGGACAGGGGGAAAGGATCTCAACAGAGAAAGGGGGCAAAGGATCTTAGGGAGGAAAAGGGAGAAGATCTGAAAAGGCCTTAGCGGGAAAAGGGGCAAAGGATCTCAACAAGGAAAGGGGGGGAGAAAAAAGGGCCTTAGAGGGGAAAGGGGGGAAAGGCTCTCAACAGGGAAAGGTGGCAAAAGATCTTAAAAGGCCTTAGGGGGGAAAGGGGGGAAAGGATATGAGCAGGGAAAGGGGGGGAAAGATCTTAGGGAGGAAAGGGAGAAGATCTGGGGGCAAAGGCCTTAGGGGGGAAAGGGGAGAAATGATCTCAACAGGGAAAGGGGTGGAAAAGACCTTAGGGAGGAAAGGGGGGGAAAAAAGGCCAACAGGGAAAGGGGGGAAAGATCTAAGGAAGGAAAAGGGAGAAGCTCTCAGGGAAAGGGTGGGAAGGATCTCAACAGGGAAAGGGGGGAAACAATCTTAGGAAGGAAAAGGGAGAAGATCTGGAAAGGCCTTAAAGGGAAGGGGGGAAAGGATTTCAACGGGGAAAGGGGGCACAGGATCTTAAGGAGGCATAGGGAGAAGATCTCAGCGGGGGGAAAGGCCTTAGGAAGGAAAGGAGGGGAAGGATCTCAACAGGGAAAGGGCGGGAAACATCTCAGTGAGGAAAGGGAAAAGATCCCAGGCAGGGAAAAGGCCTTAGGGGGGAAAGGGGGAAAGGATCTCAACAGGGAAAGGGGGCAAAGGATCTTCGGGAGGAAAAGGGAGAAGATCTGAAAAGGCCTTAGGGGGAAAAGGGGGAAAGGAGCTCAACAGGGAAAGGTGGGAGAAGATCCTAGGGAGGAAAAGGGAGAAGATCTTGGGGGGAAAGGGGGAAAGGATCTCAACCAAGGGAAAAGATCTTGGGGAGGACAAGGGAGAAGATCTCAGGGGGGGAAAGGCCTTAGGGGGGAAAGGGTGGGAAGGATCTCAACAGGGAAAGGGGGCAAAGGATCTTACGGAGGAACAGGGAGAAGATCTCAGCGGGGGGAAAGGCCGTAGGGGGGAAAGGGGGGAAAGGATCTCAACAGGGAGAGGGGGGGAAAGATCTCAGGGAGGAAAGGGAAAAGATCCCAGGGAGGAAAAGGCCGTAGGGGGGAAAGTGGGGGAAAGGGAGGAAAAGGGAGAAGATCTCAGGGGGGAAAAGGCCTTAGGGGGGAAAGGGGGGAAAGGATCTCAACAGGGAGAGGGGGGAAAACATCTTAGGGAGGAAAAGGGAAAAATCAGACGAAGACAAGGCCTTAGGGCGGAAAGGGGGAATGGATCTCAACAAAGAAAGGGGGGCAAAAATCTCAGAGGGGAAGGAGGCAAGGGGACAATTCCAAAGGGACGCAAGTAAGAAAGCAGGCCTGTAATGTCGGCGGCCTGAGCCGGAGGCGTTAAAATATCCGAGCCTGCTTTCTGCAACCCCGTCAACGCTATCTACAAAGCCGCATTCCCGCGCTTTGTATTGAGTGTGCGACAAGTTGCAGCAAAGAAGCGCAACACGTGAGGAGCGTGTGAAAGCAGCAGGCTGTGTTCGTTCATAAGATTGACGTTTCGCTGCATGCCATGGTCATTCTCTGCATCTTGACGATGTGCGTCAACCCATGCCGGAAAAAAAACAGTGAGCCAACGAGCCAACCCGCCCGGGGTGAAGTCCACCCGAAGGCCAAGGGTCTTGTATGGCTTGGAAGCAAAGTCCAGGTCCCACCACACCTGGCAGAGTCACCGACAGGTCGAGAAGCCATGGAGGTCTCAAACCCATGCAAGGCAATCCATTTCGAAGACACCTGTGGTCTAAGGTCCAAGTCACACTTCTAGTGAGAAAGTATAGTAGTATCTAGACGCACTGGGCAAAGCAATGGTGAAAATTGAAACAAAGCCAAGCTTAGTTTCTCAGGGTGCCCTTCTTAATTTACTGACTCTGCAACAAGAGATTGACTTGTTGCTGGTTAATTAATTAGTTCACGATTCCAACCAATTTGAGGGTATACCCCAACAGTCAAGGACTTCAGGGTACCCTTCAAACTCAATAAATGACACATAGACAAATTGAACAGGTCCCTTTTGGAGGCCGTTTTTATCTGGCAATGATCAAACGAGCACTTGCATTCGGGCTTGCTATATTGGGGTTGTGGCAAAGCCCATGTTACATCACTGCGACATCCAGTTAAGTTCCCTGGCCAACCCTGATCTCTCGGCTGCCCCTGTTCCCTGGTCAAATTCTTGGAAATCCGCCGTAGCAGCAAGAAAAACACCTAACGCCAAAATCACCGCTGAGTATGACGGGTGCTAAAGAGTGGGGGGGGGTTGGAAACATGGAAAAATAATCCCAATCGGAGTCCCGTAAAAGAAGCTAATACTTATGTGCTACTTAACGCCGCGTGCGCGACCAACACCTCTGAATGCCGGGGTGACCTCTAAACCTCTCGTTGCGAGTGCGCGACCTGAAAGCCCCAACTGCCTGCTCAGTGACGAGTGACTAGACGCACAGAATCCAAGGGATTGCTGTTGGTGTCCAAGAAGGAAACGAAGGAGGTCCAGGCCCCAATTGATTGTTTCTGCTCTAAAGCATCCTGAACGAGCAGCGGGCAGGCTTAGAACATATCCACTTGGAGCCGAGACTTCCTTTTATGTTTTTAACCATCCACAAAGGGGGCGGGAGTCGGAGCTCTTGTGTTGTGGCTTGTTTTTGGGCCAAAAGCAAAAGGGGCGCGACTCGACGGCTGGCATTTCACTCATATCCGAAGCTATGGCTGGGATCGGTTGCTACCATTGGCTCCACCCTGGTTTTCAGTTTGCTTCAGCCTGTGGGACCAGAACACCAATGAACCCAAAGACAGCAAAGGCTTACCAAAAAAAACAGACTTGCGTACAAAGAAGGGCGTCTGCTAGCACATCCCTTATGATGTTCTGTTCTAAACAGCTTTGTTGATTGGGTACAATAGAACTCAGTCCCTGTCTGGATTGGCCAAACAAAGTCCGAGATTGCTGTTTGCCGCTAAACATGTTTTCCCCAAAACTGTATGTGACTGTATGTGTATATATATAGGTATGTATGCGTCATTGTATATCTACATGACATACACAGTCCAGGAACTTCGGGAGTGAGTAAACCAAACCCCAAGCTGGACTCCCCCTACATTTCGGACCCTCGTCTCGCGCACAAATTCTGCGAGGGCTCACCACCCGGCGGTCGTAGGAGCCCACAACCACGTGGTCGCCCGAAGGATGCCTTCAGCACGGGTCTGTCTTAAAGCAACGGGGGAACCCCAGAATAAGCGGTTCCCCGCGGCGTCCCTTTACAAAACCCAAATCATAGGTACTTCAGGCAAATTCTGATGTGCAAGTGTCGCATCTTCATGAGTCTGAGTGTCAACTGCAAGTTGAAACTCAGCTTACATATCCAAATCACATTTACGAGATAAGTCCCACAACAAAGGTTGCACTGCTGATTGTCTATGCCGTGAGCTGGAGGAAGAGAAAGACCAAAGTTGATGGATGCCCCCAACAATTCCTTTGCTTGTAGATGGACGAGGCTGTGACTGTGGAATTCCGCCCAACCTGAGCTCGCGTTGGTTCCAAGTGACATCTATTGAATCTGTTGAATTCCTTTTCGAGTGCTCTCCCCATGAGAGCAAGAATCGACTTGTACAGCGGCTTGGTGCCCTTTGACGGGTCAACCGATAACCCATGTGGGTTAGACAAGCCCAACCTGAGGTAGACAACGGTGAGCGTGCTGACACCGCAAAACGAAACCCAGCATCTACACACATTGGCAACCGGACGCTGAGGTTCATTCAAGTGCCTGAGGTTCATTCAACTGCCTTCCGGCGTTGGGGAACACCCACAGAGACCTCCAAGCTTGACTATGATTCCAAAACCAGAAAAGATAAATCTCCAAGTGAAGGATGTAAAACATGCGTGTCCCGTGTTCTTACCCCTTGGATCCACGAGAGCTCGCCATGATGTCGCTGAGCTGATCTTGCCCCAAAACATCGTTCAGAAGCTGGAAGAGTGAGGTAAACTCACAGAAAAAACGACCCCTCTCCCAACCTCCAAACAACATGGATGCCCCAACTGTACATGTTGCACCTTTAGCACTCTTTTGGCACTCTCAAAGGGGGAATCCACGGGGCATCCAATTAGAAACCCCCCGTCCTCCCCTTTTCCACAACAAAAATTATACCCAAGTGGCACAGTGATCGAAGAGATCCACTTCGCACCGCTGATGAGCTGCTTGATCTGAGCCCTCAGGTGATTCTGTGAGCAGCCGCTGCATGAAGTCATGCGGTGACTGGGTCCACTGAAGCGACATCAACTCTCAGCGCGGCCCAATGCTCACATGTTGGGCTTGAACATCCGGAAATTGTTCACATTCCGCATAGCACGCAACACCTGTCCCCCATTGGGCCTGTCGCTTCCTTTGCGAGGGTACCCCTCTTGCTGTGGTGTTCAAGGGAACCATAAGGAAATCCACAAATTCAGGGGCTCTGATTCCCAAAAACACGACACACCCACTTGTTGCAATAAGCCTATGTGAAGGGGGTCCCTGGGTAAAGGGGGCCCTCATGGTGAGCTCGTGTTATCGGCTTCTCGATGACCAAGGCTCTCTCGCACATTTGCCTCCCACAAGGAACCTGACTGAGAAATCGGTGCTGGAAGACCGGTTTCCTTCAAAAGGGACCCTCTGGTGGGTTCAACTTAGTTCCATTTCCAGAGGCCTCTGGAAGCTTTCATTTCGGTCTGCCAACAATTTGACATCACCTCTCAAGGGTTCTACAATGAACCACAGGCCTGGATTCTGAAGAAGAATCTCAATTCTTGAAAGGCTTGCCCACGCTTCCTGGCGCTTGCCCGGAGCCCTGCTCACACATCGCATTCCTGAGGCCGCAGCTGCTTCTGCAGATCGTAGATTCGCACACTCCGCATGGTCGCCACCATGAAATGCGGCCTCAGCTTGCGGCTCACCGAGTGCCGATGCCGGGTGCGAGGTGCAGAATTCTGGTATGCCTCTAAAGGACCCAACATTCCTTCCCAGCCCAGTGACTCTGGTAGCAGAAGCAAACATCGTGGTGTTGACCAACCGAACGCAAATGGCACAGTGGTAAAAAAAACAAGCTGCGTTATGAATCAATGTGGCCATCAAAACGTAAGCAGTGAGCGCTGCAAAAGGCACCCTGCGTGTTCCAAGCAAGCTTAGCGTTGCTCCGTCGCAGCATAGGAAGTCTTACAGTAAGAGCCAACAAAACGGCATCAGCTGGTGTGGGTGTGAGGCGATCCTCTCTCGGTTCTTGACGGGGCTCGAAGGGGGGACGGCAACCATCACCTGAAAATCCGTTGGTCAGCACGGCCATTCCTGCCATCTCGAATTGAAATGGGGTGTGTCAAACATACGGGCCTCGTGGGCTCCGGTGGCACAACTGCCGCCAATTAAAGAGGGCCTCACAGAAAAGCGCGCTGACATTTGAATCTGCAATTTTTGCCATAGTTCCACTGAACTCAGGGATCGCCAAGTACAGAGCCTTTACCATGAGCTGGCTATGCCCTGCCCCCGAAACAGGTGAGCTCGCTATCAAATCGGCACCTCCATGTGCTTTAAGTTTTCTGGACCAAATGAGACCATGTTTCCAGCAGTGAAAAACTGTTTCCCTTTAAAAACCCAACTTCAGTGGAAAACTAAATATAATTACAGAAACCATCCAAATCTTCATTTCAGCCCCAAACAACAACCACAAACAACCCCCCGGGTCTCTCAGCTCCTCCACGTCGCGGCTCCGCGGCTCCGGCTCCGAGGCCCCGAGGCCCCGGGCTTCGAGGGGTGGAAGGCGCAGCTCTGCACCTGCTGCCCGCCCCGCAGCCGCGCGAAGGGCCGCATGGACTTCTGCTGGGTCAAGGCCTGCGGGGTGGGGTCCGGGGGTCCGGGGGGGGGGTTTCAGGGCCGGGGGTGGGGTGGGGGGTGGGCATGGCTTAAAGCTGCTGAAACGCAGGGCCCGGGTTTGGGATTTTGGGTGCTGAACAACTGGGGGTTGATGACAAGGTCCGTGATACATGCCGTTCCTGGATGGCTCTAGATGTTTACCTGGGTGGTTGTAGATTGATGTGTTTCCTGGACTCCAGGAAACACATACTGGATGGCTCTGAAAATATCTATGTTTCTGTGTGGTGCTGTTGTCAGTTGGTTGTCCTTCATGTGGCGGTTGATGAAGAGGTGTGACGAACATTTGGGTAAAACCACGAAAACAAAATGATTTCTCAACCACTAAATGGGAAACGTTACCCATGTCAGGAATATTGATGAACCCCCGTGTGATTCCCTGATTGTTCTAGATTTATCTGTTTCTCTTTGGTTGTTCAATTGTTCGTGTTTGTCTGTCTTTGCATGACTGGTTGTTGGTGCGCTTAGCCAGCCCTTTTATCTTCAATTTTGCTGCTAAATGGTGTTCTGAAAGAGGTGGGGTAAGCCGTCTAGACTCGCGTCATCTGCACTCACGTATATGCCGCGGTCAAAACTCCTGTTGCTTGTTTGTCGAAGATATTGGTTGTCTGCCTCAAGGGCTGTTCAAGAGTAAGACTGGGGGTGTGGGGTACTTACAAAACAAAAGACGACATGATCATAGGAGGATCGGGTGAAATTCAACAAGAAAGCGAACATTTGTGTGGTCCCCCGATTCTGAAAACACCTGGCCAAACCCATACCCGAAACGTGAGTACGCGAAAGAGAAAGACCCTTGTTATATAGCGTGAGTAAATAAAGCCTAGCCTCCACAAACCACAGTAATAGCGGGAGCATAAAAAGGAACGTATCCGGGGTACCTACTCCGTGGTTGAGTCCTCACTTGCCCTTTTTGTGCGAACGCCGACATGGTGCCTGTTTCGGCAAAACACGCTCTCACTTGAATATTGGGGAGGGACCGCTCCTTTGTGAAATACGTGCCCCGTACCATCTCTTTTCCACTCGCACAATAACCGCAGCGCACGAAAAACCGAGGTCCCTGCGTGGATGATGCACTGGTTCGACGTGGCTTTGGCCTTGCGGTTTGCCAAGGCTTGGCCATGCACAAAGTGTCACAATCACTCAAAACATGTGTATATATATAGAGACATGGAGGCCCCTTTTCCTTGTCCTGAAGAAACAATGGGGAAGCCTGCTTTAGGAACACACGCATTCAGCTCTTGGGGTGATAACAGAATATCAGGAGTTAAGCAAATGCACCCTTGAAGAAGCTACACAGTCTTGGCGCACAACAGGAATATCCTGAGACAGCAAGTTGACCCACACTGCCACTTGTGCAGATTAACACGGAACCCAACAAAGCGTCATCTTTGCAGAAATCATCGTGTTGGGTCACTCCCATTTCTTTGAATTCCATGTTAACTTGCCGGGAAGAGGACAGCAAAGAAACAGCCCATTTTGCAGGTTGACAGGGTTCAAGGACAAAATCACCAATGAGGCCTCCTTCTGCTCAATCCGGCTTCTAGAGCAAACTATTGAAACTCAGGACTGCTGACAGTTTCGCACACTTGCCTGCACCATGTGTATCAACTCGTAATTCTAGCGAGACGCATGGAATGCAAGTGTCCCTGACCACGTGCGGCAGCATTATCTCTGCTCATGACTCAGAACAGTCCTGTGTTGATGGCTCTCAAGGGTAACAAAAAAGGAGGCCAACCAGTCTGGGGGCGTATATGTGCCAGCAATGAGCGCTTCGCCCGCTTCCCAGATGCACCCCAGCCAAAATATGCTCCCAAAGCAACACACCCCCCAAGTCTTTAACAGGTACCATTTTGCGTCATTACAAACACCTAATGCAAAAAAACCCTTGTTCATGGATATATATAGATATATATATATATATATGCATGACTGTATGTATGTAAACCAGCATGTGCCGCGTGCCCCCTACCGCCTGGTCCCTTTTCGGTGCCTTCGGGCTCACTGCAGCGCAGTAGTTGCCCTTGTGGTGCCACACCAAGTACTGCACATCCCCGTCGGTGGCAATGCTTAGCCTGCGCATGGGCTGTCCGTTTTCAGATTCCCGGCGAAAAAAGTTGAACATGTGGGCTTAAATGGAAACCCAACCACTAAGCCCCAAATAGGGGGATGGCTGGGAACCACCAAGACGACCAGAGATTCCTGGCGGTTTGCCCGCAAGGGTCGTGGGGTACTCTAGAACCAAGTCATGATCATAAACAATGGTGTGTGTTTGTCTCATTGTTCAGCCCTTTTAACCCTTTGGCATGTTTCATACCAGGTGTTACATGCCCTGAACGCGCGGAGGAAAGAGAAGATCCTGACAAACACCAGGAAACAGATCCTGGCCAAACAAAAACCGGTCACCCTTTGGCGCCATGACGCAACACCACCCGAGGCTTGAACCATCAAGTTCAAGAATCTTTGGCTCTGACGAAGCCTCTTTCAGCAAGCCAATCCGGTGCTCACCCTTTGGGTTTCCTACCCGATCACCTTGGGAACGCAACTACTTTGAACATGAAGAAACATTTTTTCAGGTAAGTTCTTCGTTGGTGTGGGGCTTGTCTCCGACTTATATCAGGGATATAGGATGATTTGTATGCGTGTATATGTATATGCTACCCCATTTCAAATACTCAGGTTTTATGCCAAGGTGACAAATGCTTGAGACTCTGAAATGAACTGACCAACTCCATGCAAATTCCAACCAAGCAGAAGTTAAGCTCAACGATAATTAGGAGTTGCGAGTTGTGTGACCGTCACATTGGCGTGCGCTAAGTGCACTTCCAGGCACAGTGGAGTATGCAAAGTGCACCTTGGTAGCTCCAGCTCAAAAAACACAACTGTTCAGTACAAGAATAGTGCGCGAAGTATGTTTTGGCAGCTTCAACGCGCCTGTAGCAGCCCTATTATGTTGTGTTTACTATTTTTGTTTGGCAGCCAAATTCAGCAAATCATCAACTTGGGGAATAAGGAACTCATTCCTAATTCAAGTCCTTGCGCAGTTGCGCACAAGCAACTAGTTGTGCATGCAGTCTATTTGAAACATATGTTGCAAAGCAACTATCCCATGTGTGTGTTGCTTGTCTAAGTTGGTCCCATCATCGCCAATAACAACTATTGAAATTCAAGTAAGGGAAGAATATCCAGTTTAAAACGCTTTCGAGTTCAAACCAAATTCAAGTTAACTCGTTTGCAGTTTCTTTGTGCATTTCAAAAATCAACTGCAGAAGATAACTTTTGTCATGGTCAAACGAATTTGGAATCAAACTCACTTTTGAAAGGGTTATTATCCTTATCGAACTCCATGTGGTTTGAACCAAGCAAGAACTGAGCCAAGCCAATGACAGGAACGTGTTTTCAATCATAGATCTTATTATTGGCATAAATGCTGTACAACGCAGTGTTTTTCAGCATTTGCTCAGATCGTGTTGCCCTGGATCGAAGATCGAATGTACAAGATTCCACAAACATATGTTTAGAACATCCTCAAGGTCCCCCAAAAACCTTGACAGTTTGTTCTAGACTCATTAAGGTTTCGCCCCCTGCATTGAAGATTGAAGATCTACCATATTTTCTATTTGAGAATCTTCCATCCTGGCCAGCCCTCAAGTCCACAAAAAACCTGTAAAGGTGTCAACACATTTCTCTCCCTGGCCAAATGCAGGCAGTGCAAGTGCACATCCACAATTTGGTTCTGACAACGTGCACTCCCGGTCTGCCTTTTGGATTCTGCAAATCCGCACTTAGGGCAATCCAGGATCTGGATTGAAGATTGAAGATTCTCTGACAACTCTTTCTGAAATTCACCAAATATGTACTTAGCGCAATCCAGGATGTGCTAGCATGTGCTAGCACATATCAGTTCGTCCTAAGGATGGATTGAAGATTTCCAGAACAACTGGTCTGAGAGTCTTCAATCTTCAATCTTCCATCCAGGATGTGCTAGCACATCCTGGATTGCACTAAGTACCGATGCTAAAATCTAAGGAGTGCATGTTTAGAGCTTGATTTTAGAAGCTGGAACGTGTGTTTTGCATGCATTTTACAGCCAAACTGTCAATTTATGGCCAAATACCTGAGTATTCCAGGGGTTCCATATATATATATATATTATGTTAGTATGTGTAGTGTATATGTGTATGTGCATGTGTATGTATATGTATATTTATGTGTGTGTGTATGTATATGTGTATTATAGAGAGAGAGAAATAGAGAGAGAGAGAGAGAGAGAAAGAGAGAGAGAGAGAGAGAGCTCGCCCACGCCCCATTTGTAAGTGGACTAGATTCTCAACACCCCGATAAACATGCATTCAAATTGCAGCAAGTCAGGAACGGCGAGTGAATGCTGACTGCTTTGGGGAAGGTGTGTGCCCCGGACCACGAAGAGTGCATGAGGGGATTTCAGACCAAGCAGGAAAGATCGAAGAAACAACATCAATCATGGTGTCCACACCCAAATCGTACCCCCAGTATCCCCGAGTTCCCTGATGTGGACGTGGTTTGGGGGGAGCTGGACACCATTGACGTTGGATTAAGCAAAAGCACTGTAAGGGCATTCCGAGGAGTTCTTGGGAACTTGGGGGAAGCATCCGGAACCGACCAATACATGCTTGTCTGTTTTGAGGGCGCTCTTTCGGGGTGGTCTTCAAGGTAAGCAACGTAAAAACCACCTGCTGGGCATTGGATCGAGGCAAAGCGATGCACGCCATTCATAATGAAATACGTCAGCTTCAGGTCATCGGGTTGGGGCACACCAATCGTTGGATCCTTCCATGTGTGTCTTGGGAATGAAGGGGCCACTTGCGACCATATTTGGTGCTCTGGTGCAAGACCAGCACCCAAGACCTCCCAACCTTCATGGGGCCGCACGCTCTACGACACCCCCCCAATCCATGAACGAACTCGCCGGAAGGGAGGCAAATCAATGACTACCGGCATGTGTTGGAAAACCTCCAAAACTAAATTGGCATGATACCCCAAGCTAAAACAACATGCCTTTGCCGCTGCAAGGTATGTTTGGTATCTTTTCCTCCGCTTGCCTGCAATTAAGCATACCTTGACGGACCTTGACAGGGGCCACCACCCTCGGAAGTTCGATTTGCGTAAAAAGAAAAAAGTGGCACGCTGCAACCTTCAAGCCGTGTCCTCCTTCTTCTGCCCGGCGCTCTCCGTTTCTTCCGGGGGCGCAGGGCCTGCAGCCCATGGCGTGCTGCGGCGTGTCGGGCTCCACTCTGCGCCAGCGCACCGCGCGGGCTTTGGCGCCCGTGGGCTCCTGAGCGGAGCTGACATGCGCATCACTCACTCGGGGGGGGAAGGGAGGGGCGGACCTCCACGAACGCGGGAAAATAACGCGGAGAAAACAGGGGCTTTGAACATATCGAGTTCTCTGAGACTAAACAAGTGTGGCGGAAATCCAGGAGATGTCTTGTGAGGTGGCTCCGCTTTTGGAGGTGGTTGAAAGGGAACCCGAAGCAACGCCCGCCGAATTTGATGATTCCATTTGTTGGTAGGACGCAACCCGTGAGTGGCTCAAGTTCAAGTATTCCAAAGAAGGAACCCTGGGTTTGAATCCTTTTGGAGAAGCAACAACATGGAACGTGCAAAAAAGCTCTCCGATTTGGCCGCGCCCTTGTACCCAAAACCAAGGCAATATTGTGTTGCGGCTCTTTCCCGGAGGTCCCCCAAAGGGGCTGGGAATGCAATGGCTCTTAGACAGATCCAAATGTGTCTCAAACGGGTTCATGGCGTTTCGCACTTCTCAACCATCTCTGCTAAACGATGTATGATTGATTCACCAACCTTGCTTCAGGAACCCACAAAGGAGCCTTCATGGGTGGAAATGAGTGGCTAGCCACTTGCTGGCTTGGTCCTGCAATGGCACGAGTCTTGGTTTATATATGCCCTACATTGCCCTACAACCCAATTCCACTCGAGGCCCTTGTATTTACCAAGTTGAGAAACGCCTCCGCCGCAAACCCCCTCGAGAAGCTCTTGCCTCGTCCTCCTCGCCCTCGACAGGCTTGACTACCTTGGCCCAGCTGCCCATTCGAACTTTGGTTTCAATGATCTCCAGCTCCAAAAGTAGCTTTGAGAACTCACCCCCCAGAAAAAAAGGACAAACGCCAACGACTCGGATGAAGGGAATCAAATTGAGCTGTCACTGCCGGCCGCTTTGCTTGTCAGCCACACTTTCTTCCCAAAATGTAGGTTCAACCAACATGACCCTCGCTGTCAGGCAATGCTGGATCGACCAACCCAACCAGCCAGCCAGCCAGGCAGACAGCCAGCCCACGCAATATTGTTCCGAATGGGTTGGCCAATCCGAATGCAGAATCTGCATTGGGAAACCACGGAAGAGATGAGTCTTCGGAATAGACTTCGAGCAACCCAACTAACCACAATCCAACCCAACCAACCAAACACGCAGCCACCTCACCACGCAACCAACCACAGTACCCGCCAACCCAAGCAACCAACCAGGCAACCAACCAAGCAACCAACCAAGCAACCAAGTTAACAACCAAGCAAGCAAGAAAATAAGCAAGCAAGCAAGAAAGCAACCAAAGAACCCAACCCAACCCAACCCAACCCAACCCAACCCAACCCAAGCCAAGCCAAGCCAAGCCAAGCCAAGCCAAGCCAACCCAACCCAACCCAACCCAGGCCAACCAAGCCAAGCCAAGCCAAGCCAACCCAACCCAGGCCAACCAAGCCAAGCCAAGCCAAGCCAAGCCAAGCCGAGCCGAGCCGAGCCGAGCCAATCCAACCCAAGCCAAACCAAGCCAAGCCAAGCCAAGCCAAGACAAGCCCAAGCCAAGCCAAGCCAAGCCAAGCCAAGCCCACTAACTCAACCCAACCCACACCTCGTCGGCTCCGTCTCCAAGGCTGGGGCCGTCTCTTTAAACTCCAGGATGGAGGACACGGGGACCGCATCGGCATTGGAAGCCTCCTAACCCAAGCCCCGGTAGGCGTTTGGAGATGGTTGTTACACCCCGAGGTTGCTAGGTTGCTGGACTTGTGCCCGGTGTTTGTGGGCACTGTTCTGCCCTAGGATTCTTGGAGGTATGCTGCTTCTTTTTCTTGTCGGGGAGTTTTTGCTGTCCCCACATTACGAGGTGGGTTGGCGAAGAGGAAACCAAGGAATCAGGAACACTCCACAAGCCACAGCTTCCTCTTCGGTCACTCCATGAAAACGCTGGGGCCCCCCAATTCCGCACTTCGCGAAACCTCGGCCTGGCAAAACCTTTGGGAGGAACACCTCGGAGATTCGGATCTTGGAAGAACGGATTTCTCCAACTCCCCACTGTCGACCCCAGATGTTTTTCCTTTGTGGCAGATATGGGCGCAGTAACCCGAGGCGTTCATTCACCCAGTTTTCTCATGAAAAGCCAGCTGATTGGAGATCTAGCTACAAATCCATCAAACGGTTCAACTTGTTCGCTAGCGAAACGTCTTTCAAGCGTTGTACATCGCCTTTGTTCGGACCGGTCAGAAACAAGGCCTTACACGAAACAAAGATAGGGTCCCCTAAAATTGGCATAGCTGAAGCGAATCATGCCCAGTGAACTTTGAAGGATCCCTAAACGGGTTTCGTGCTGGCTTGGAAGGTAAGTGTCCCAACCTCTCAAGCCTCACCCCATTCGAACGAGGGCTAATCTTAAAGGAATGTCGGTCGCGTTCCGAGAAAAGAACCACCCTAGGGGCAGCTGAAGTTGCAAAACGAATTCGCTGATGGTTCTTCATAAGACGACCGCATTTCACATTGCCATGTTCAGGGGTCCAAAACAAACAACCAGACCAAAAACAAATGCAACCCCTTGTGGCCTTACCGGATCTTGTATCATTGTTTGCCAAATTCGACCCTAGGGCTCTTCCACCGGTTGGCTAAACCGCCAGAAAACCATCCATGGCTCCCATTCCACCGAATCGATCGCAGGCTTTGATCCCTTCCCAGACATCCAGGGGAGATGCAAGCGTAGGTGATATCCCCAACAGCACCACACCCGCCCTCGCGGAACGCGGAACCCTTTTTGGAAAATAGATGGCCCTAGATGATTGAACCACCAGGCAAACCACCAATCGCCCCACCTATTTTTCAAGCAAACCAACCCAAAAGGACACCTTTGAACCCTCCCATCGCTTTCAGCTCTTGGGGAACAACAACCACGGGCAACGCCGGAAAGGCGCCCCCCCCTCCTCGCGATTCTCCTGGTCACCCTCCGGCTCCGCCTCGAGACTTGTTGTTGTTCGTGCAAACCTATGGGGTTGTGATGTTTCTAATTAGGCTTCCATGCGTTTCACTTTTTTTATTATTATGTTTTCGGAAACCGAAAGGATAACACACACACACACATTTCTGGGGTCCCTCTTTGACATATGTTCAAAAGTTGATAATGTTGATCCCTGATTCATACCCCTCCCTTGTGCATCAAAGGGTCACCCAAGAAAGGAATGCCGACAAAACACAACACGCCATGATTTATTGGTCAGGGAGGCATTATTTCTGGGGCCTTTCTAACATGTGTAAAAACCACAGTGAATATAGAACCATAAGTCATTTCAATGATAAATGCCGGCTGGATATCCGCATCTATGAAAACGGCAGAAACTGACCCCTGCTAACCTTCAACATGAAGGGGTTGATTGCGGCTCACCCCTTGCGTAATGCTCTCCACGGTTGGTTGTGGCTCAACCGTTGCGAAATGCTCTCCACACTTCCTCAAAATATCCAATTGATATGTGGAATATAGTTGGACAAATACGTATCATAAATACATATATCGATACCATGAAGTAGCTATATTTAAAAATACAAAGAGGTAATGTGCCTTTTGACTCTCTCTGAAACATCAGCTGCACAAGTATTGCCGTGACTTGAAACTACACTGCCAAAACACAAGTTGCGCCTCTTGGGCCTTAGGGACCACGACCCGGCAAGATTCTAGAATCCTGCAAGCAGTCCCTGAGTCATTCGGGCGGTCGAATTGCCACACGTCACAGCCATTGAAAGTACTTTGAATCAACAAAGCGGGTGATGATTGAGTATGATGTTGAACTCTACCCAGGGCCCTTTGCACAGGGGCTTCGCGTCCTGGATGCTTGAACGAGGTAGGTTGTTGCCAAGTTTGCCGTGGCCCAATGGCAAAATGCCTGCCAAGAGGGTTCCCCACAAAAAACATAAAACATCCTAACATCTCCTGGTCCACAATCTAATTTCCCTCCCCCAAAGCAAACCAGAGGCATCCTCTTCGCAACCCCAAAAAGGCGCAAACCACCACTCCAGCCTCTGCTGGTGGCAGCTGCTGGAGCCCGGGGTCCAAGAAGAAGACGCTCTGCGGACCGAAACGCCGAAACGCGGTTGAAACGCCGAAACGCCGATTGGATTGATCAAAAGGTCCGTGATACATGGGATGACCATTCTAAGCCACACCTCCCCATTCTGAAGAGCTAACCCAAAAAGTCCCCCAAAATGGATGCAAAAACAAATGCCATCGAAGCAGTCCACCCAAGCAAGGCTAAACTCAACTGTTCCCATTCTCTCCCTTTGCCCACTCCCAGCAGCTCAGGCCTCTTAGCAGGAGCGGTCAGCCTTGCCCTTGTTTTGCCCACATCCATTCTTTCTGGTTTTCCAATTTCCCCAAAACAGATGCAACAAAAAAACAGAATGACGGGTTGGGGAAAGAAGGGAAATAAATATGGTTGTTGGGAAAGAACGATGGTTGTGGGGAAAGAACAATGGCCGCGGGGGAAAAACGATGGTTGTAGGGAAAGAACAATGTCCCTGGAAAAAAAAGAACGCTGCCGGTAAGAACGATGGCCTGCAGCGGCATGACTCTGGCAGGTCAGGGGAAGGGGTTGTCTAGTCTACTGCCCCTACCCCTTAGCGCGCAGGACAACTTTCTGCATGGCTCGGTGCTTGCTGCAGAAAAATCAAAAACTGAGCCGAAACCGGCTGGAAAGACCGATCATTGCACTGAGTGCACGCGTGACGAAAGAATGGGGAATCAACCCTTAGAACCATTGCCCAGAGGCTCCTTTGGCTTTCAATGGAGGACCGACCCCTCCTTACAAAATTTGCTGGTGTTATCCACCTTCCGGGAATCTTGCTGAGTCGAAGTGACAAAACACTTGTCACTCACTTATGCCAATTGGTGAGGTTGGCGGTCGCATCACAGACCAGGCTTCGTTCTTCCGTTTGGAGGTGTCCGAGTCTTGGCACATCACCACCAATCTCTGTGCGCTTTGGGTGGTCCAAAGGGCACGTGGATGACGTCAGGCCTAATCACATTCAGTACCCATCACAAGGGCTTCCTCCATTCGCCCATGCACAACCGCCCAAATCAACAATTTTGATGTTTAAGCCTAGGGAACAGACAAGGCAGTTTGACCCCTTTGCGGTAGTTGAGGCGCGGAAGGTGCAGGAGTCCGAAGGAAAACAAACGCTTGTGCCTACTCCCACCCAAAAAAAGCTTGATCCTGGGGCTGTCCTTTCTTGAGGGCACGAATTTTCAGGGTGGTTTTACAGAGAAACCAACAGGACAACCCACCCATTTTGGGGGGTCCACTGCAAAGACACACCTTGATTTGTAGATTCAGGCCAGAAATGGTCAAACATCCCAAAATGAAAAAATCCCGGACACAAATCCCAAAATGGTCATAACCTGCAAAAAACAATCCCAAAATTCTGGGGGCCCTCGCCAAAAACACGCCTCCTCCGCCGCCACGGCCAAGAACAGGTGCTGAGGGTTCCAGGCCACCGCAGTCACGGCGCTGCCTTAAACGCGAGGAACCGGCGACTTCGGCTTTTTGGCCCCCGGCCAAAAAGACGAAGGCGGTCATAGGGAAACCTGTTCTGATTTCTGCTCCCCTTTTTGAGCTCCTTCTCTCTCATTTTGCGGGGGGGAAGCAAGTTGGAACTTTCCCGGATGATAAGACTAAATTGGAATAGGCCAATTCTAAGCCCAGACTAGCGATTTCTCCCACCGATGTTGCGTTTCTCCCCTGAAAAATGCTTGGGGAGAGGGGGAGAGCGGATTAGTTGCCAGTCCCCACCATTCTCTTCACAACCCGCTTTGGGCCCGGACATGGGCAAATCAGGTTCCGATATGCTTGGCGAGAAACTTAGAACTCCCCACTGCCAAATGGACTGTAGATTGCAGGTTCTGTCGAAGGAATATCATGTCGAGCAAATGCAAGAAAGAGTAGTGTTGCCAAATACCCCCTATGAAATCTCAATAGATCAGCTAGCCTGGGCACGGGTCGCGATTCAGCAGAGGTGCTAAATTTCAGGCACCGAACCGGTCTGCCCGTAGCAACCTGCCGCCGGTTGAGCGAGTTATACATATAACGCAGGGTGACGTTGGTTTGCCCAAAGGGAACCTATTAATTTGGAGGTTTTTCTTTGGATTCCCCTTGAATTCCACAATGAAAAACCCAAGCAGCCAGGCGCCACGTCCCATGTCCTTGGAACGGGACGGTTTCAGTGGCCTGTTCTTCAGGAGAAGAGTTGCATGACTTTAGACCTCCAGATTCGTTTTGGGAGAATGCCAAAGCTTCAGGCACACCGAGCTCTCATGTCTGCTGTCGGCTCGTGTCTTCGATGCGCAGGGTTTGGTCAGGACTCATTCCACGAATCCCTGGTGTTTTCTCCATGGCCTGGTCATTTTGACTTATCATGCTGGAGAAAGACACGGCTTTGGAGAAACAAATGGTTGCCATGGTTGCCCTCAATCACAACATGAACGAGCGTTCTCTCAAGCGAAGGGCCGGGGAAATGCCCTTCAGAAATAATTGAACGGTTGCAGTCACAGACTTGTTGGTGACTTAGATCTTCGCAGCGTGGTTGGTGGAATGATTGCTTGGCAGGCTTGATCCCATTCATTGGCTTGCGCATTTGACAAGAGGGCAGTTTTGCTCACAACACTGCGGCAACGAAACCCAAAGGACCATCATCTTGCGAAGAACATTCTCGCGGGGGGCCCCCTTGTTGGGTTCCGCCTTCATTCGCAAAGGTTGTGATGTCTTTTGTGAATCGCTGACACTTCTCACCTCTGGAAGAGTTGGATGCCGAGTTGCCCCCCCAGACTGGGAGACAAATTCGGTTGCTACTTGCTTTTGGGAAATCGGCCGGATACAAGGCCAAATGGTTGTGTTTTCCTCTGGCAACGAGGAGTTGCACTTGTGAACCATGGCATCAACCCCCCTCGCAATATTTCAAGGTCCATTGGTGCAATCAAATGAAGGCTCCTTGAAGCATGTCGCAAGCCCAAGCATGAACCCCACTTGTCTGCACAAACTTAGCCAATCTACCTACTGAAAATAGTAAATATGCCGATGAAGGTGCAACGGATCTTCATACTAAGTTCGTCCACACCCAGGTGAGCTCAATGTAAGTTGGGTTAGTGGATCCTCCCGAGAAAGTCGAAGGAGGGTTGTGGGATGCCAGGAAATCGAATGTCATGGTTGAAGGAGGAGATGGTCTATTCAAACCCATGGAAAAGAACTGAAAGGGCGGCCCTCTCCCTCTCCAAACCTATGGCTGCGACTGTCCCTTCATTTGCCCGGGCTTGATGTTGGCTCTGGAAATGCTACAATTCGAAGACCTAAAATAAGAATTGGATCCCCAAGCAAAGGACCCACATGGGCATTCACTTGTTTTATCCCCGAATCAGTGGAAACGCTCACCACAGGCAAAAAAGCTGCATTTTGGGCCAACCTGGCTACATGGCCTCTTCTTCTTTCACCAAGCCCCTGGTAGCGAAAACCCTCTTGGATTTACGCACTCTTCGATTTATGGTGCATCCCTCAGTGCACTCGTGGCACTCCTCTGCTACAGCGCGAGGCGAAAGGCGAGCGGCGAGAGGGCCGCACCTCCCAGATCCGCAAGGTCTCGTCGGAGGAGGCGGTGGCCAAATATCTGCCGCTGGCCTCGCGAAGATTTGGATCCCTGGCGCAACAGCCTTCCCCCGAGCCGCCTGGACAAAGCCTTAGTGCTACCGGGGTGTGTCTTTTTGAGGTTGGAACCCCCCAAAATGTCTTCTTTTCGGCGAACCCGTTTGGTGTTCCTTGAAAAACTGAAAAAATAGTGGTACCAACACACACACACACCAACAAAACAAAAAAGCCACCCACTTTTATGGGACGGGGAAACTTTGGATCCTAGAGAGAATCCGGTGCATGCCCCACACTCCCTTTTGTGATTGTTAAGGTGGGTTGGAAGAACACGATCCCCTCTACATAGAATAATGATTGGGGGTTGTTGATGTGTTGATGCAAAGTCAACAGAGAGGGAAAGGCACACAGAGTTGGCTGTATTTGCCTTGTGGGAGATGGTATTCACAAGGGCTGGTGCTTGTTGCTTGACTCTGGTGTGGGTTGCCATCGTGCCATACCTCCGAGAAAAAACAAAACATAACAATCCGGAGTTATGAACGGACTCTTCCTGGGCTGCTGTATCAAAAAGCCAAAAGGAAGCTTGCCACATGAGTGCATCGCTGGTTCTGACTGCCCTGCAACTGGAATAGATCTGTTTCTAGGTCTGTGCGCCAGCCACCTTGATATCTGGTCAAGGCACACGGCTGCGTGTTGCTGCGCGCTTATCGCTATGGGGAAACATCAAATAAAGCCCATACTGCCATTTTGGTATGTGTGTCAAAACCCGGGGACATCATCGCCTCCCAAGATCCCCCAATGGCTATGAAATCTCACCTTACCTGCAATTGGTGGATTGGTTGGGGAGTTGAGGGGAAATGGGCACCTCCTACCACCAGGCTCCAAACCACAAGGCTGTGGCTCAAAAACCCGGTACCAAAATGGGTTGCCCTGGTAAGTGGAAAAATGGACCAAAACCTGCGGTTTGCCCCTGGTGAAAATTTTGAGCCACACCCAGAGGGAAGCCGAAGATTTCCACCCGGCAAAACACCGCCACCAACCCCCCAAGCCGTCGCATTTCAGCGGCACCTCCACGGCGATGGCCCGCACCATGCCGGAGTGGCCCTCGTAGGCCACCGCGATGTGGGTGGGGAAGGGCCTGAGGTCCTGAATCCATCATGGACCCCCAAGAAAGGCTATGGGGAGGGGGAGGGCTATCCGGCTATCCCTTCTTAACCCTTCAATAGCTTTCCTAAGGCCTTCTTAAACGACTTGTGTTCATGAAATGGGGCTCGCTGAAACTGGTGCGAAGGATAAATCGAGTGCTTCGAAGAATAAGCAACTGGAAACACCGTTGAAAGGAAGTTACTTCTAGGGAACCCCTTCTATTGGAATACTTTTGCTGCATTGTTAGCTTTGGGAAAGAAGTGTGCACATGCTTTCCGTATACAGGCGCCCAAGATGAAGCCAAGCAAAACACGTCTACAGGCTTCCTTGTAGTTGTAACAACCAAAACGCCAGCCTCAACCGCCATGTTCGAAAAAGCAAAAAAAAAAACAGATTGGAAGACCCCCTCCTCGGGTTTTCCCCAGGTTCGCTTCTCCAAGCCAAGCGCGGAACTCAACTCGCAAGAATTCGGCTCTGCAGTCCTTCGGACTGGGCAGCTTCGGCAGCAAGCTCTCCTCGGAGGCGTTCACGTGCGAGACATGAAAACAGCCCGCCCAAGGGCCGTTTGGGGTTCCAACAGAAGGGCTTCCAACTAGAAGCAACTTCCTTTCAAAGGTGCTTCCAGTTGCTTATTTGTGGAAGGACTCCCTTTGTGCAGAACAACACGTCGGGGTTCTCCCTTTGCACATGCGTTGTGTTTCAACGAATCTGTGCGATCAAGCAAAGAGCCCCCCAATAAAGAAAGGGTGCCACGTCCATAAACAGCCTTGCCACCACTGCATCGGACTTTCCCCTTGGCTTCCCTTTCAAACAGAACCGACCCCCCCAAACAACAACATACAAAGGGTAGAAACACTGCACCTTCTGCAACGAAGCTGCAGGATCCACGTTCATCCTCTGCTTGAGTGCTCTTGGTACCAAGTAGAGATCCAAGCACCTCTCAGCCGTTCGCCCCATCCGCCCCATGGGACAGAAAGCGCTTTGTGGGGGCAATAGACTCCGTTCGTGGGTTGTATTGGGGGGGATGCCGCGATAGGAGAAGCCCCAGGCCTTTTGAGGTTCAGGCCATGGAGGACGGTTAGCTCAAACTCCCCATGGCCTCGTTTCCCAAGAAGTGATCTCACCGTATTCTCGGGATCTGCCGCCCGCCATCAAAACTGAACATGGAGCCAACCAAAGGGACAAATCCTCTCCAAAAGAGTCTCAAAACAATTTTGCTTTTCTTGAGGTCCCGTACATAAAATACTTCATCCCAATTTGCATTTGTGGTTCCCTGTTCAGCAGTCACAGGTCCCTTGTTGCATTTTGCAAGTATCGCCTTTTGGTTCCACGTCCAACACGAGAGCTCATGAAACTCGTAAGGTAGGCTGCCCAAAGCAGGAGAGCCACGGGAACCAAAAACGGAATGGCGGTTCAGCCCCCCAAACAGAATTTCAATCAACCAGAAATAATATAATATATATACAGGGTCGCAACTGTGTGTCCTTTTTTGGAGGGATCCCACCCAAAAAGAGAAACTAACAAATAAAGAAAGAAAACGAAAAACAAACCGGTGGTTGTCCTTTTGGTTTTCCTGTAACAGTACGACCTTTTCAGGGGTGCTGGTTCTCTCAACCGGTATTGAAGGGATGGAGCATCTACGAGATTTCAGAACACGTCAGGCCTAAGGATCATTCTCTGCCATTCGGAATCCCTGAAGTCCCCTTTGACACCTGACGACTAGATTCCCTGAGGAGAATTTGGGCTACCAACGTTGTCAGTGACCCACCTTCCCACATGGACCAAACCGCTTTGGATCCCTTCAAATGATATCATGCAACTTCTCGACCTCACCCCCCCACCCCCTCACCCCCCCACCCCACATGCACCCACAAAGAACAGCTGCCAGGGTTGGGCTGGCCCATGGGGTGAGCATGTTTAAACCACCACTGTTAAAACAACCTTCTTTGGGTTCCAATTGCTGGCAACTCTACTTGGATGTACAACGCAACCAACCATTCCCACCAACCAACCGACCCACCAGCCAGCCAGTCAGCCACTCAGCCTTGCCTCTTAAAGCGCTCCACAATGAAGTCTTTGAATGCCGGCACGCGCCGCAGCGCGTCAAACTTCTGGGGGACGTGGGTCAGGGTGCGCTCCTGCCAAGACACACCAATCTTGAAGCATGTGAGGGGAACCCCCCGGCTGCCCGCAAACAATACATAGGCTGGGGCCTTTTAATTAGAGGTGTACCAAAAAGGTCCCAATTTTGACAACTGCCCCTTAAGATTGAATCGGTAAGGGCAGTCGGATGACGCGGCTAGTCGTCTAGTGATGGTGAGCCTTTTGGGAAAATAGATGGCCCTGGTAGATTGTGACACACCTAGGCCAAGCAGGGCCATCTATTTTCTACCACAACAACCGAAAAGGACACCAATGTTGTTGGTATTGACTACTCTTAGCGGGGAACCCACCAAACACAAAGGGATTTAGAGGGTGCCATAGGCCGTCTGTATGAAAGGAATCACCAGAGGGTGGCCGCCTCTGTCAATCTAAGTTTCTTCTCGTCACACCTGGGATCACAGCCGGCCAACAATCACTTTGCTGCCCGTGCTCAATAGCGTGTGTTGTCGTGGGTCATGTTGGCACAGTCCTACAAGGTGGAGGAGCAGGTTGCAATACAAAATCAAGCAAAATAGAGTCTATCATTAAGAATGTCCTCTTCCAACCAATAGAAGCCCAGGTGCTGTACAAGCAACCTGGAGTCAACCTCTCAAACAGTACACCGGACCAGCAGGAAGGCTGTGGACCATGTTCGAACAGAATTGAGAGCCATGAAAAAAGACGCCACAAATTGCAGGCATAACTTAGCCACCTGATCTTCAACCCAAAGTAGTGCTGAAGACTGAGACAAACATATGCTGGATTCGTTTGATGTTGCAGTCGTCCGTCTTCCGGTTTCACCGCTCAGCTGCCCTTGGGGACCCAGAAATACAAGGTCAACCTTTTGGGAATTGACTGAATTACCAAACTCGGAAAACCAAAAGTTCAGGCAACTGAGACAAACAGTTTTGACCTTCCCAGAGGCTCCTGTGGCTTTCAATGGAAGACCCGACCCCTGCATTAGGCACCCCGGAGGTGTTTGGGGGTCTCAAAACCTGGCTGTTTGAGGGCCCGAAATTGATCAGGAGCATCTGGGTTCTGCAAACTACAATGCTCACACACACACACACGCCCTTCATGTTGATTCACCCCGCAAATTGGTTTCCCAGCTTTGGTCTTCGTTGGCTCGTCGGCATAGGTGACCCTTTCAACTTGGGCGAACTTGAATTTTCTAAGAGGTACTTGGCACCTTGCCCCGCTCTGTCCTCCTCGAAGGTGTCTTCCCACTCCTTCTTCTCATCCTCGCATCGACGAGTGTTAGGTCAAACACGGCACCTAAACTCTAGCACTGAGATAAACAAAAACGACCGAGGGGCAAAAACGAGGGGCAATCAACCCTCGACAAATCAAGTCAAACTCATCGAATGAGCTGGAGGAGCCCCATTAAAAATGGCTTCTACTCTGCTGGAGGTTCCACTTGCCCCGACAGCCATATGATCCATGCGCCAATCGTTTGCAGGTCCTGGGAGGTTCAAGGTAGCATGGTTTGTCCAGTTCCAACACGTTTGCTCAAGCGACATGTTGCATTTTCAAAAGATCATGGGACTGTAGAACGCCTGTCCCGGCAAAAAAAACACTGCACCAACTTCCTTGGTTTTGTCCGATGTTTAGTGGCTCAGGGATACTCGGAAACAAGCCATAGCGCAACTTGGATATTGAACCTACAAAGGTCGCATAACGCTTTTGTACACTATGGTCCGCAGAATGGACCAACTCTGTTTCAATAACTCTCGTTTTGACAGGTTAGAACAAGCCAGCTGAGTGTTTTAAGTAGCTTCCCACCTGCAAGTTTCCTGGTTTTCGGTCCAACAACAGGGAAGATGGGTTGCCAGAAATGGAGATCAGGAGTCCAAATATATATATATATATGGATATATACATGCTCAACTCACGTCTTGACTGAAACCTAAATTTATCTTACCCCTAAACTTGTACTCACTTGCCCGAGGACCCAGAAATAACAGGCGAACCAGAACCATTTGGGGCCAGTACAACTGGACCAAAAAGGGGAAACTAAAATGCCAAAAGGTCCTTTCTCTTTGGGCAAGTGAGTTGCCGAAAAGGCATGTCCAGAAGCTCGGCGAGGTCCCAAGATGGCATCCCTACTGCAAGGAGGTACCCTCAGTTGGTCTGATTCAACAAACCAGGGCTAGGCAATATATGTTTTAACCAAGCATGCCAGGTGTTTCTGTTTCATTGTTCTTGCTTCTTTTTGCGGGCGACGTCAGGCATGTGTCAAGGATACCTGTCTAAAAGCCATCGCCCAACCCTGGGCCCAACTAAAACGGCCGAAATCTGATGTCAAATTTAAATTCCCGCGGCTTCCAGTTGTTAACTAAAACACATCTGAAACAACAAAAAACAAAAGTTATGTACCAAGTTCGTCACAAAACTCGTCACGGACTTCCGCAGTTCTGCGAACTTCCGCGCCTCGTTGAAGAGGTACTCCGAGGGGGGGTTGTAGGACTCCGCGTGCCCAGGCAGCGCCAGCTTCGGCGCAGGCAGGGGCGGCGGGCCCTAGTCAGGTGTGTTGGTTGGTTCTCGGGTACCAACCAAAAGGGATCCGCCAAGTACCAACTAGATTAGACGTGTTGCCAGGGACGCTCAAGTTGTCTGGGAGTAAACGATTTATCGTAGTTCAAGCGATCTATAAAAGATGAGAGTAGCCTCCAAACGCCTTCCTGTTCACTTGCATGATTGTTGAACCGCTGAGCTGTTGCTGCAGCAACTAACACTCTAGCAATTGCCCCACGACAAGCCTCATTCAAGCGGCAGCCTTCAACCGAAACCATTTCAGTCCATGTAATGTTGGCACTTGATTAATCAACCGGGCGTCAACAATTGCAAGTGTTTCCCTTATTCTGGTTCGCACCCATTGTTTAGGGGGACCAGAATAATTGAAAGTTTTTTGCCCGGGGGGGAAATTCCAAAAACAAACCCCACAAATCAATTTTAATTGACAATACAATCCCCCCTCCCAGAAAATAAACTATCAGTTGCTTTACTCAAAAGCATTCCCCTTTCAGTTGGTGGCCCACTTGCTTAAAAGCATTCCCTTTTCAATTGGTAGCCCACTTGTTCAAAAGCATTCCCCTTTCAATTGGTTTCTCAACCACAGAACCCAAAGCCAGCTGAAACCTCTGAAAATTGAAAACCATCCCCAGCCCTGAAATTGCGAACTCTTTACTAAACCGTGTTTAAACAATGCAGAAAAACAATCAGGACAAGGGTACCCTCACAGACCCCACTGAACCACAATAATGTCATTCTTTTAGGAGACCACATTAGTTGCAAGCCCCCAGCCCCCCCTCCCAAAACATAAACTATCAGTTGCTTTACTCAAAAGCATTCCCCTTTCAATCGGTGGCCCACTTGCTTAAAAGCATTCCCCTTTCAATTGGTAGCCCACTTGTTCAAAAGCATTCCCCTTTCAGTTGGTTGCTCAACCACAGAACCCAAAGCCAGCTGACACCTCTGAAATTTGAAAACCATCCCCAGCCCTGAAACTGCGAACTCTTTACTAAACCGTGTTTAAAAAATGCAAAAGACACAATCAGGACAAGGGTACCCTCACAGACCCCACTGAACCACAATAATGTCATTCTTTTAGGGGACCACATTAGTTGCAAGCCCCCCGCCCCCTCTCGCAGAAAATAAACTATCAGTTGCTTTACTCAAAAGCATTCCCCTTTCAATTGGTGGCCCACTTGCTTAAAAGCATTCCCCTTTCAATTGGTAGCCCACTTGTTCAAAAGCATTCCCCTTTCAATTGGTTGCTCAACCACAGAACCCAAAGCCAGCTGAAACCTCTGAAATTTGAAAACCATCCCCAGCCCTGAAACTGCAAACTCTTTACTAAACCGTGTTTAAACAATGCAAAAAAAAAAAAACAAACAATCAGGACAAGGGTACCCCTCACAGACCCCACTGAACCACAATAATGTCATTCTTTTAGGGGACCACATTAATTGCAAGCCCCCCGCCCCCCCTCCCAGAAAATAAACTATCAGTTGCTTTACTCAAAAGCATTCCCCTTTCAATTGGTGGCCCACTTGCTTAAAAGCATTCCCCTTTCAATTGGTTGCCAATACTAAAGTAGTATTCCAAACAGTATGCTCAGGAAGAAGTGGTTGCAATACTAAAATAGTATTCCAAAGTCTGCTCAGGAAGAAGTGGTTGCAATACTAAAGTAGAATTGCAAAAAGGAAGTGGCTGCAATACTAAAGTAGAATTGCAAAACGGAAGTGGCTGCAATACTAAAGTAGAATTGCAAAAAGGAAGTGGCTGCAATACTAAAGCATAATTGCAAAAAGGAAGTGGCTGCAATACTAAAGTAGAATTGGGCCCCAACATCCTCCATTGTTTGGACGTCCCAAAAGTGCGCCCCCATTGCTTTGGCGCCTCCATTGTTCAGGGGGGGGGGGGCCTTTATTAATCAAGTGCCAACATTAATGTTGCACGATGTCATGTGGGACAGGGCGCAGGTACTTGTGGCAAACAGCGTCTACAAGAATTCCGGGCTCAAATCCCCAAGCCAATGCGAATCACCAAGTAAGGGCTACCTGACAACTTCCGAAGCCATTGAACAAAATGCAAGCTGCCTGTGACTCACGCGGAACCAATGGACAAAGGGGCTCCAACTGAAGGTTACCCTCCCCTGGACTAACATGGAAAGCTCCCAGCACTTTGAAAGACTAGGTTCCGTTTACAGCATCGGCCTTCTGGCAGCTTCCAGCTGTTAGTCTGAGGGAGTGTAACTCGTTGACATAGGAGTCCTTTTGGTAAAATTGATGGGTTTCCCTGAGTAAATGGATGGCACAAAACCAGTCTACACCAGTGGAACCCATCCATTTCTAACCAAACTAACCGATCAAAAGGACACCTGTGACTGTCTGACCATTCGTTTCCCCGGTGAATCAATGGCATAAAACCCATTTCAGACCACGCCCGGGGCTCCGAAGAAAAAAATCAATCCGTCGCCTTCTTCCTCGCCACTTCGTCCGCCCAAAGATCCCAAACCTCCGGCGGGGGCGGCTTTGGCGGCCTGGCCGCCGCGATCCAGCGGCACCGAGCGGTTGGCAACTTCGGTCCGTGGATCCCTGGCGAAAAGATAAATAAACCTTTCGCAGGGTACGTTATAAAGACCTGCAATGTGATCAAACTCTGTAAAGTTGAACTGCTAGTCATGAAGACCTCTAAACTCTGAAAGTCTGTGGGTAAAAGTCGAACATGTAGCAGGGTATGTCACACACAATCCTGGGAATGACTGGGAACCGCGAAGTGACGGAAGCAAGAGTGCTCATTTGTGGGTACATAACTATTGGGTGATGAATCCAGCAAACCGAATTCGGAAATATATAACTCAATCTGGGAACAACAATACACTGCAATACAGCCGTTGATTGATTGACGGATTGACTGATTGATTGATTGATTGATTGATTGATTGATTGATTGATTGATTGATTGATTGATTGATTGATTGATTGATTGATTGAATTATTGATTCATTGATTGATTGATTGATTGATTGATTGATTGATTGATTGATTGATTGATTGATTGATTGATTGATTGATTGATTGATTGAATGATTGATTGATTGATTGATGGATGGATTGATGGATGGATGGATGGATGGATGGATGGATTGATTGATTGATTGATGAATTGATTGGTTGGTTGGTTGATTGATTGATTGATTGATTGATTGAGTGATTGAGTGATTGAGCGAGTACGCGATTGCTGATTGATTGATTCATTGCTTCATTGATCCACTCATCATTCATTTCGTTCATTGGTTCAGTCATTGGTTCAGTCATGCATGCATGCATGCATTCATTCATTCATTCATTCATTCATTCATTCATTCATGCATTCAACCATCCATTCATTCATTCATGCATGCATGCATGCATGTATTCAATCATTAATTCATTCATTCATGCATTCATTTATTTCATTCATTCATTTGTTCTTTCATTCATTCATTCATTCATTAATTTCATTCATTCATTCATTCATTCATTCATTCATTCATTCATTCATTCATTCATTCATTCATTCATTCATTCATTCATTTCATTCATTCATCCATCCATCCATCCATCCATCCATCCATCCATCCATCCATCCATCCATCTGTTCATTCATTCATTCATGCATTCATACATTCAACCATCCATTCATTCATTCAGTCATTCATTCATGAGTTAATGGCTTGGTTGATTGAATTGCGTGCATGCTTTGAAAGAGTGAATGAATGAATGAATGAATGAATGAATGAATGAATGAATGAATGAATGAATGAATGAATGAATGAATGAATGAATGAATGAATGAATGAATGAATGAACAAACGAACGATCGAACGAACGATCGAACGAACAAACAAACAAACAAACAAACGAATCAATTAAGGAACGGAATGGCATGGAATGGAATGGAATGGAATGGAACGAAATGAAATAAAATGAAATGGTTCATTTGTTTGTTCTTTCATTCAATCATGAATTTCTCATCCATCCATCCATCCATCCATCCATCCATCCATCCATCCATCCATCCATCCATCCATCCATCCATCCATCCATCCATCCATCCATCCATCCATCTATGAATTCAGAATTCAGTTCATTCATTCGTTCATTCATCCATTCATTCATGCATGCATGCATTCATCCATTCATTCATTCATTCATGCTTGCATGCATGCGTGCATTCATTCATTCATTCATTCATTCATTCATTCATTCATTCATTCATGCAATGATTCATTCATACAGAGATGCATTCATTCATTCATCCATCCATTCATCCATCCATTTATTCCTTCATTCATTCATTCATTCATTTAGTTATGGATTTATTTACGTCATGTCATTTCATGTCATGTCAATTCATTTAATGTCATGTCCTTCCTTCCTTCATTCATTCATTGTAATCGACTGATCAATGATGGATGGATGGATGGATGGATGGATGGATGGATGGATGGATGGATGGATGGATGGATGGATGGATGGATGGATGGATGGATGGATGGATGGATGGATGGATGGATGGATGGAGGGAGGGAGGGATGGATGGATGCATGGATGGATGGCTGGCTGGCTAAAAAAATGGATGGAAGGATGGATGGATGGATAGATGCATGGATGCATGGATGGATGCATGGATGCATGGATGCATGAATGCATGGTGAATGGACTGATTGATTGATGGACGGATGAATGGATGGATTGATCGATTGATGGATTGCAGGATTGCTTGATTGTAGAGGGCAAATGGGAACCCCAACCACAAAACAAACAATCCAAACCACTAACAAGCGGGAAGCAGAGTTATCCTGGGGTTGGCCCATGTTCCGAGCGAGAGAGAGCGAGAGACAGACATAAAACAAATTTAAAACAAGTCAGAGGGTACCACTAGGTCCCAAACCCAAACACAAAAGGTATGAGGGTACCATGCGTGAGTCCAAAACCACCGAACAAAAGAGATTCAGCGGTTGAATTCCACAGAAAACAGCTGAGGGGTTCTCAAAATGGCGGACAACTTTTTGGTTGCTAATTGAAGGAAGACAAAAGGGTAGCAACCATTTTGGGTGACCTCTATTCTGCGAGCCCACACGTACGACGTCAACAAACGGTGGTGGTGCGTGCCTGATCTTGCCTTCCCTCAGCAGCGCCACGAGACGCTTGACCTTGGCACCGAACAAGGCACTCGGTATGCCAAACCCAGATGGCACAAGGGACACCAATCATTTTGAGGGCCTCCTGTATTTAGCCACAAAGCCATTGTGAGCAAAACACTGACAATTATTTGTCCCCCCCCCCGCATTGCTGATTACAGAACCGAACAAAAACAGGGTGTGTCCCAATGGGTGGCTTTGACCGCGAATCAATCTCCCAAGTGAAGGATTCGCTCTAAAATGAGACGCCCATTGATCTGGGCTCCCACAAAAAGAACAAGAGGACCTGTCGAGAGATCGCCGGTTACACACCCCTGCCATGATATGCCGCAAACACGCCTGGCTTGCTTGCCATGGAACTGCAATCAACTCACTTGCAAACGATCTGAACATATCACCTGCGCCGAAAAAGCAAACGCTGTTCGACCTTTGACCCATTTATTCCTCGGAGTTGGACTGGGAGTTCCCCAAATAAGTGGCTTGATTTTTGCAGTTGGCTTTGAAGCGTTTTCCAGAAAGATGTACCCTCAACAAAAGATTCAATAACTTTCTCCTGTCACACAAGAGCAACATCTGAAAGTTCATGAGCTTCTGAGCATTTGAAGTGGCCTTCAGTGTGGATTGGTCACATGGCTCTCCCACCAAAAGTGCCTAAAGTCCCGAATTTTCGAACAAATGGACTCCCACTGGGAACAAAGACAAATCATGCAACGACAAAAACACGGGGAACACGGGGGTGGGGGGGGGGGGATGGGGGGAATGGGGGGAATGGGGAAATGAGGGAATGGGGGGGGGGTGTTGATTTCTCTCCCGCATGACTCGCTCAGCGCCGGGCCTTCATGGCCTCCCACTTGGAAGGCAGGAACCGCGCCTTGGGCGGGTGCGCCTTCTTCTCCGGGTGGATCCTCGCCTTGCGACGGAATGACCGATTTTGACTCGATCGAAACGGAGTCGGAGTCGTTGGCTTGGAAAGGTGACGTGGAAGAAAACACCAAGAACTTGGATACCGAAGCTTGAACTGAAACAATGGTAAACGACAAGAAGGTCAAAAGGCAAGTCTTGAGCAGTGCCAATGGTTCATTTAGACCCACAATGGAGCCCCTCCTGAGCAGTGGGCATTCTTCGGCTTATAGCTTGGGAAACACAAGTTGCGCGCCCTTTTTCGAGTACTTGACTTTTGAAGGGAAGCTTCTTCCAACGTAAGGAAAACACGAAGTCCAACATGCCTTAGGATTCCAAACAAGACGTGCGTCTCTGTACGGCTCGAACAAGTGAGAGTCCAGCAGGATAGATACTTGAGAAGCCTCCCGGCGATGACTGGCAGCCTTGGGTGGCACGGGCTTGCCCTTCGGCTCATGTGGCTCCTTCGACTCCAACCTTGTGACAGCTTTTTCTGGAACTGCTCCAAAGAGCTCCAAAAATCAAAATGGGGAAAGACATCCAAAATGCTTGCATGAATACTAGCCATGTTCCCCCCCCCCGTTCCGGGGCTCCAATTGGCTCCCTAAAGTCTTAAGGCTTCATATACGGGTTTCTACAAAATTACCCTTCCAAATGGTTGGCTTCCTTTGGGTTTCCCATTACCATCCAAGAGGGTTCCTCCCCCATTTGGAGAACCCGTATCCAGCGTTGCCTTCACAAAACCGGCAAATGCGCCTCCGGATTGTCAAACTCCACCATTTCGGTGGTGTCTGTTGCCAGGCTGGGATACATCCTGGCGGTGCAAGCACGCGACATGCGTCAAGCATGGATACCTTTTGGGCGTGCGATTGTGAAGACCAAGAAAACATTCAGCCCCCAACACGTCTCTCTTCTAATGCGCGTATGCTTAGATGCACGAGGCCATTTGACATCATTTGACCGGTTTCCTTGAGGAAAGACAAAGTCAGTGCGATTCAGAGATTATCATATCGAACCACAACTGAGTACAGTAATGATGATGTTGATGGGCAGTTCGGTATGTAACACGACACAGTGTGGGCGAAAAGCATTGCGGGCACATCGTATCTGTAATGTAAGGGCCAGAACATTTGCACACATTGACAAAACGAGGTGCGCAGCGAACGAGTTCGCCTTGGAAATCAAGGGGTCCGGTTGATTTCTAGAATGCCTCTAGGGGGGGGCCAAGAAACACTCACCAACAGCGGCTCCTTAGCTTGGTGTGTCATTTGCTTGAGAAAAAAGGGTGTTTCTCCATGGCCTACACTATAGGCAGCTGAGCAGTTCTACGCTCACAGTTTGCAAATGCATGCTGTCCCGTCTAGCCAGCCGCCTGGTTTTCTTACAAGAATGCGTGGCACGTCCGCGGGGACCCCTGCCTCTGGCGGATTCGCCGGATTATCTCCAGGTCGGTATCCGTCAAAACCACCTGCACTGGCTCTTGTACGATCCATCCCATATACTAAAACTCCTGCCCCAGTAAATCAACCACCAGGGTGATGTTCCTTACACTGAGCACTACAGATTCGAATGACTCCCTCGGCTTTAGAGCTATGGGGGCTTGCGGTGTGGTGTCAAAGGATTCTCCTTGGGCCTTGTTCTCGGGCACTTGTTGGGCTTCCAGTGATCTGCGGAGAAGTAAAGGGCTGCTCCGAAGGCCCTCTTGGCTCCTAAGGGAAACCAAAGGCAGTCAAACAAACAGGTTCCTCAAATCAGCCGAGTGTTGCAGGCCCGAAAAACTAGCCAGCTTGTCGATACATCAAGTCCAACACGTGTCGCAAAATGGGGTTGACAGCTTTTTCGAGCAAAACTCAGTTGGCCAAAGGACCCAAACATAAAAAGTGGATCACCTTTTGGGGGCCATGACGAACTCCAAAACGTCAGGTCAGCTTTGGACAAGTGAGAACAAGGTGTGAGCTGGCGAGATTGAGCAAAGTGGGGAAAGGACACATGTTGCTGATCTCACAGGGGGAATCCTCTTTTTCTGCTGTAGGTTTAGCGGGCCAATCAGGCTAATCTGAAGCTCAATCTGGGTGTGTGTGTGTGTGTGTGTCAAAAAATCGGGGACACCCAACATGAGTAGGTTCCTATTTTGGGTTTCCCTTCCACCCCACAAAGGAAACCTCAAAACACACATGTGCAAACACAACACACAAACACACAAACACACCCACACCCACACCCACACCAACACTCACAGCCCCGCCGGCCCTGCCCGCATGCACACGCACACACACACATCTCAGAAACAGTCACGCTTTGCCGAATGTCAGAATGCAGTCCCTTGAAGGAAGTCCTTGAGAAAAGGCGGGCCAACCTCCCGCCTCACGCTGGTTCTTGTGATCCTTGATGGTCCGCCAGGCATCCGGGTTGTCCTGAAGCGTACCCACCAGCTGCGACCACCGCACCCCTTAAAGTGCTCTCTCTCTCTCTCATTTTGTGCAAGGGACGACCCCTCCTTCGGGTACTTGAATTCAAACCGGTGTGCCTCTTACCATAAAAGGAGAAACCTGGCATCTCTGGAGGTCTGGGATAAGCTCAATCACCCTGTCATCCCAGACAAAAAACGTCTTAAAACATCTGACAAATTAATGCTGCTAGTGTGGCAATGGCCACTGGATCGAAATTACAAGCTTCCAGCTCGTCCAAAAGAAACATTCTCCATTAGTGAGGCTTGCCAAAACCTCATCCTGCACGTGCCCATCTAAGCAACGCACCAACGTTGCATGCTTGGGACAAACGAAAAACACACACAGGAGCGCAAACCCACGTACTTAAGGTGCCTCTTCACAAATGACTGCCTCGAGTGGGCAGATGTGAACAAAACCCCGACGGTTTTCAGAGGACTCGGATGAGGCTCAGCCCCGTTGTCTGAGGTCACCGCCTTGCTTTCCAGAAGGGCATCGATCTCGCTGGTTTTGAGAGTCCTGAAGGGAAGGCTTCTCTGCCATGGGGCCTGGGCTTCTGGTTGTCAATAGACCCTCTTCAGATGGTCAGAAGGGCGCGGAAGGGCGCGGCACTACCAAACCGAGCAGCAGTCAAACCCTCTACTTCAAGGAAAACCAAGCAAATTCCAAAGTGGTTGCTTTGGGAAGGAGCCCTATTAACCTATCGTGTTGCGAGACAGGAGCTCATCCGGCTCGCAAATCACGGCTTTCCTCAATGCCTCCTGTTGGGCCAACTTCCTCCCGTCAAACAGCGTAATGGCAGCCAGGGCAAACCATGCACAAACTCACAAACTTGACATGCAAAATCCTTGTCACCGGCTCCACATGACATGGCTTTTGCTGCTGGGGTGGGTCCGGGGTCACCCCAGCACCATGGAGATCTCCAGGAATTGAAACCCCTTCCGAGTTTCACCAAAAAATGAGCAGACATCAAGAAGCCTGATGCTTTCAGGTGAGTTTGCTTTCCATTCATTCCTTCCCCAAAACTGTACCACTAAACAGCTAAGGGGATGGCTGGGATCCACCAAGATAGCAATTTTCGAGGCTAAGATCATAGACCGCCAGGAACGGGACCTGGGGGATTCGATCGCTGCGATCTGCCCATGCCTGGGCCAAACGCCCCAATGATTGGCTTCCTCGTGGTCATCTTAGGAGCGCTTTCCCCCCCCCCCCCCCATTTCAGGGCACCAACTGGACTACTCACCCTCACACTCAGCATGGAAGCTCCAGAAAACCAAGTCTTTCCGGTTTCTGGAAACATCCGAGTTAGCCTGGGGGAGGGTGGCTCACTTTTTGACCCCGTGCACTCCTCATAACCTTCTCACCCGCGATGTCGTAGCCCACGTGGTCTTCATCTTTGTACCTGCCAGGATCTGTTTTCGCATTATGTGATGCCAACATAGCCACTCCTTGACTCGGTTGCTCTCTGCTCCCCTGCTAGAAGCTTAACATTTAGTAGTTTAATGGCAAATCCAGTAGTTGGCAAAACACTTAAAGTCCTAACATCACTGCAAAATGCACCAATGTTCACGTCAAGTGCAACTCATATGAAGAATAAGTCCAATTCAAAGGCCGGCGGCCTGCAAGTCTCACAAAGTGGCAATTTCTCACAACCCTAGGCTGGGCGGATCAAAATGGATAGGGTTGGCCAGTAACCCGCTTTGTGCTGTGCACAAGTTGTCACAATCCTTCTTGAGAAATCACTCTTGGGGCGTCTTTCGTATCTCGCGGAAAGGGTCAATAATCGCCCCTGACCAGGCCAAACAGAACGGGGTACGACATACGTCATGATAGAAACGTTCGTCCGAGAAGTTGTTCATATATACAGCCATTGATTTATAGCCATGTGCCATAGCCAACACAGGGAGATAGTTTCCCAGTAACAAACAGTCAGCACAACCCATGAAACAGAGTACTGAGCAACGGGAATCCGTCGGGTTTCACGGTCAGCATTTCTGCCTGAGTTGTGTTACCGAAGAATCCTGAGCTCTGAACAGCGAGTACATCTTGTGCGCTTCTTGTGCGGACCTTTCCGATTTATTCTCGATCCCTGTCAGATCTAACACATTACACTCAACATGTCCCGGATTTCACAGAATGGAGCCTGCCGAGCAAGGGAAATGTGGGTGTTTCTCAACACAGCGCTCCCCGAACATGATTGGGTTCCTTCGCTTCAAACCAATCCAGGCGATTGCTTGCTATTGCTCAGTAGGAAATTGCCCAGGGTTTTAGGTTGAATCTAGGGATTCCCTAAAGGGAAATCACAAGGGATGGAGTCGTTCCACTTCTTATTCCATGCCTACCGAACCAGCAACTTGTGGGGTGGCTCCAACTCTGAATAATCATCGCCAAACATCCCTGGCTTTCGCGCTCGCGCAGGCGTGGGTCACCACTCCAAAGGCACGTTGCCAATCCTCAGTTGCATGAAGCCGGCTGGTTCTCTGGGACCCATTTGTTTCCCGCAAGGACAAGCTCCCCCGTAAACGCAGCACAACACCGGATATAGGGTCGCCTGCAGATTCCGCAGTGGTCAAAAGGCAATTCCTGGTGGGAATGTGTTTCCCAGTAGCTTTTCTCACTGCAGAACACATGTTGAATGCATGACACGTGCAGCAGGTGAGCTTTGTTTGTGTAAGCTAAACCACAGAAGCAGGAATTGGGGTTTCGAGTGGCTCGCTAACGGTTGCTTGTTTTAATTGCTCGCCACCCGTGAACATCATCGGACCTGATTCGGCAAGCTTCGCCACCCCCACCCACCCCACCCCAACCAACCCCATCCTCGAGGAAGTGGTCCGTGCCCACCCGAACCCCAAACTCAACAACTTTTTGTCTGCGTGTACTTCAAGCGCAGTAGCAGTGGGCCCCAACCCCCGCACCCCAGCCCTTAGAAAAGGCTTAGTGCCGAGTACGTTAGAAAACTCAGGAAACCTTCTTGAGGTTTCTACCATAGACATCTATCTCAATCGGCGAATGGCATTTACCCCCTGAAGATCAGACGTACAACAAGTCTAAAATTGAACCAACTAGACAAACATGGTTGAATGATTCAACTGTGTCACGAGGCTTGCCCTTGATTAACGCATTTCGACATTCCTATGAACTGGGCCAGACTTAGACCTCCTTCAAAGAGCTGCTGGTCGAAAGGGCAAAAGATGGCACACCAAAAAGGGAAGCAGCTGCAAAGTTAATTTGGGAATGGGAGTTTCCCAGATTGAGTATGCACCAAAAAAGAGTACCCCAAAATGGCAGTCTTCCTTTTGGCTTCCTTTAAGCCAACCTGAACAAGGGTACCCTCAGCAACAATTCAACGCATGTACGTGGCAACATCATGTTTCTTCGCGAATGTTCACGCAGCTGTGCGTGGTTTCCGTGCCGGTTTGAGTTCCCAAGGGAAATCTAGTGACCCATGTCGGATGCTACCAAGACTCCGATTCCTGGGTGCGTCATCCTCGGAGTCGTCGGAGGAGCCATCATCCACCAGACCGTTGGATTCGTCCTCCGTGTCCTCCAGTGCGGTTCATTTAAATCATTTGCCTCGTTTGCACAAGGCAAATTCGCCCAGAAGGACATTCATCCTGCCAGGGAATTCCTTTGATTGCTTCAGCCCCCTGATAAAAATCCAGTAGTGATAGATTCCCTTCAAAACCAACAGGGGAAATTGAAACACATTCGTAAGCAAATGGAAGAAACTGAGTAACAGCCTAGGAACCTGCATCAAGGGCACCAAGGTCGCAAACTGCACTTCACAAAACAAATAATGGAAACCAGCGTGCTTTTTCTGTTCAGTCTTGTTTTGAGCGCACATTTAGATGCTAGTTTCTTCTGTATCTTTGGCCAAGGGCCCCCTATAAGGCGGCCCCATCCCAATGAGCTACAATGTACCTTTTCTCCAAGGCGATAATTGAGACAAAAACATGTGATGTTGGCACTGTGCTGTTGGCATGTACGAGAGAGCCAACAGGAAAACTTTGCAGCAACTCCTGTCGCTTTGGCACGTCGGGGATGATTAGTGTTTTTTTGTTTTTTTTTAACTGTGACTTAATCTGTTGTTAATCAGGATTATTTGCGTTTGTCGTCTTGGTCTTCTTCTTCTTCTGCTTCTTCTTCTTCTTCTTATTTTACTTTATTCTTCTTTGTTCGATCTTGTCTGCGAAAACCGACATGTGGGACATTCACCGGCGACCAGCTCTTTCATGGTCATGGTTGTGAACAATGATGGATGTGTCTGTTTTTGGGTACCCTGGGATGGTGTTCAAGAAAATCAAAGGAAAGACCTCCCGGGGGGGGGGTTCACTATTTTAAATTGCACCTTGTCTTCATGATGTGCATGCAGGCCATCCTCATGTCTGCTTCATCACTGCCGGTGCCAAACTTGCAAATGATGGAACAATCGGAATGATGACGTCCCATGTTCTTTGCCCAGCTGTGAGGAATCACTAACAGCACAGAGTTGGCAACTTTGTTGCTACATTAACAAAATCATCCCTGGAACGAATTGAGCCATGCTCAGAATTAGTTATTCTTCTCGGGACAATTGGACGCTCGCCTGGCGCATGCAAACAAACCACTATAATCTCCCCTGCAGGAACCAGGGCCCTTTTTTTGGGAAGCAACAACGATGCCCTTGACTTGATGGCTATTACCTCCTCGCCCACAGGACACAACAAATTACAGGTTACTCCACAAGTGAAAGGTTAAAGCACCAACCTAGTGGCATTCAAGCTGTGAAGCAGGTCATGGCGGAAGGCTGTGATGTCTCGCAGTGTCCTCATCCTCGGCTTCCAGCTCCTAGCGACCCAGTTAGTACCCCAGGTGGGTGGGTACGTACCTATACCCATACCGGGGTTGCCACCGCTAGTCGTGTACTTGTACCTAGACCTAGACCGGTAGCTGGGGGCCCTCAGGCTCTTGTGCTTGCGCCTGTACCTGTACCTGTACCTATACCTATACCCGGGGGGTAGGAGTACAGGTACATGTGCAAGTGCCTGGCTGGTTGATCTTTTCCGCAAAATCTGTACTCTACCTTGCGAACGTGCTGCGCCTGACCTGGCATGGATACAAAATGCGGCGCCTGCCACGAAATCTGCACTGCAGGCTACCCAAACGCAGCGCCTGCCATGCGATTTGCACCTGCGAAACAGTCTGCGCGGCCGGAGCTTTTCGAAACTGTAGCGAGACCGTGGCGAGACCGCACGCTGAACAGACTTGCCCTTCGCAGTTCGGGGGTATAAGTACAAATACATGTACAAGTACCTGGCTGGTCGTGTACTTGTCCACCTCTTTCAGTCCTCGGCCCATGCTCAAGCCTGTACTTGTTATACCTATACTGTAGATGTGGGGTCTTAGGGGCGTGAGGGTGTGCCTGGAAGGTATAGGTACTTTTTGCGGACCTGTACGTATAACCTATACTGGTACTGCCTACACTGCCCCAGATGCACCTGTCCTATACCTCTACCTATACTGGGGGGGTTTAGGTACTGTCTGGCTTCCAAGGCCCTTACCTATACTGGGGGGGTTTAGATGTGGGGTCTTATGTGGGGCGTGAGGGTACCTAGGTACAGGTACTGTTTACGGACCTGTTAATATACCAAAACCCAAACCTGTACCAAAACTGGGGTGGTTTAGGTACTGCCTACAGTGCCCCAGATACACTTGTCCTAGACCTATACCTAGACTGGGGGGGTTTAGGTACTGTCTGGGTACCATGTGTAGCGACCAGCCTCTGCCTGATCCCACCTCCAAAGCCTGTTCATAAAGCAGTCAAGTTCGCCGGATTCTTGGACCCTTCCTTCCATTTGCTTAAGTCCCCAGAAGACAAAAAACATATTTCCAGAAGTCATAGACTCCCTTAAAAAACAACAGGGGATAAAATAACAAATATTATTAGGCAAATGCTAGCTTCCGTGACCCGCTGGAAGGGAAATCAATACCTCCCAAAATTGGAACGCCTTCTTTTTGAACAAGCCACACGAGGTCTGTGAGAACCACCTGGCCACCTAGTACAGGTTGACTTGGGGATGGTCCCAATCCAACCTTAGCAGTCTGTGGCGCCTTGTACCCTCTGTTCAGCTTGGGGTTGTTGCCTGTGGAGGCTTTCTTCAAAACAGACATCTTGTTCAGAAGCTTGAGATCCCCGTGGAACCCGCAAGGAATAAGTGATGATATGTCCAGACCTTTGGTGGCAACGGGGAAACACAGTTTGCTTGAGTTGAAACAGGTTCCGTCAAAACAAAATATTAAGGCACTTTCCACTGGAGGTGCAGGTAGATCACGAGGAAGTCGGGCCATCAGTCCACTAGTGCTTGTTCCCTTCAAATCGTCCAAAGTGGTCAAACCACTTTCAGACTTGTACACATAGACATATATTCTACGTGTATATACAAACATACATACATGCGCACACGTGCATGCGGACCAAGCACTGCTATGGCCGACACCCCCAATATGTAGGCCACGGCTGTGGGTTACTCTATTGAAATTGCTCCATGTAGGAAATGTCTTTTGGGGCAACAACGCATAATCTTTGCTTGCGGCCTTTTCTTGTTCAATTTGGGTGCCAAGAGAAATCTCCCCAGACCTACAGGCAAACATGTCCGACCAACAGGCGAAAATTCCCGACCGCGGCGCAAACAAATAGGACCACCGAAGTTTGCTTTCGCCCAAGAGCATTTCTTCACGGCAACGACGGAAAGAAAATGCTTTTTTGGCCAGCGCCTGAATGTTTGGCCGCCAGGTCTGGATTCTCAACAAAGTTTGTATTTGCATTCGTGTGTGTGTGTGGTTGAATTTGTACTTGGCACTTGTGCTGTATTGTAGCTTTGTGCTTTCTGAAGTCCGGCCGCTCTTTCCGCATAAGTGCAGCACGACATGCCCAAAATGGCATGTGTTAGCACTGGGGAAGCATGGTGATCCATCAACTCACCTTGTGCAGCGCCCATTGACTTCTGGTTCCACCCACATGGTTGTTACATGTAATCCCCGTCAAAGCAAGTCGTACAACCCCATGTCTAATTTGGCTTAGGTCAACTTCGGGCGTTGTTCATGAACGTCCCAAAAGGGCGAAGTTTGCACAACACAGACCCAGCAGGGATCAAGCCATGAAACAGAAATGTGTGTCCTTCTAAGCCCCTGGTTTGGTCAAACCAACCCCCTTCGAGCTCGGGCTTATTGGTGTGTCTCACAATTAGGGGACCCCCAAACAATGGTTGGTTTCCGTGTGAGCTTGGGTTTCCTTCAAAATTAGCCAAAGAGGGGTTTCCCTAAAAGAGACGCACCCACACATAAGACCTTTTAGAACAATAAATGGGTTTTTCTAGTACTGGTAACAAGGAATAAATCCTAACAAGGACACCTGCAGGGGTCACTGGATTTCCCTTCAAAGGTTGCAATTTACTGCCAGTTTGCATTGAAACGATCGCCACTTTTGGAGGGAACACATTCAAACATATGTACCTGAAATGGCTTGCCCTGGTAAATGGAGCAACCTGCGGTCTGGTGATTCAATTTTGACCAATACCCTATGCACTCACGTGGCTCGCTTGACCCCATGGCATCGCTTGGTTGGTGCTCCTCCCCCGTCTTCAGCTCCTTGCCTTCGGAGAATCGATGCGAGACATGGGCCGGTTGCCATGCACATGGGCATGGGCGCCTCGCCTTTTTCGAGGGTACCAGGGAGCCCTGTTTTGGTGGGTAAAGGGAAACTTTACAAGGAATACTGAAAAAAAACAATCTGGAAACTAACATCCATGAAATTGGGGTCCCCCTAAACAAAAGACACACCCACGTGGCTCAATCACTCTTTTGAAAAACGAAAGCTCCTTTGGACTTCCCTGGAACCAAGGCCTGCTTATTTGCCTTACCAACTCCTTCAATGGGCGCACCGGCCATTATCAGCTTGGTGAACCACAGCTGGAAACAATCTTAGATGCAAGACCAAGAATACAAGGCAAGGGGTGGTATTAATGCCCTCCCAATAAAAATGTACAAAGGGGTTTCAACAGACCTCGCATGAATTGGTTCTAATGGTTTTCGGCCCACTCGCCGCAGCTAGATGCGAATGTCTAGTGCAAAGTAGGAGCATGCAGCCTGCATCAAACGCAATCCGCTCCCTTTTTGTTTGTCTCTCCAATCAAGTCCCGACTGCGGCTGCCAGGGCCTTGCCAGATAAACCGCATCAAAAACTTACAGCCAGGGTCTTCCAACGGCTGACAGACCATTTGCCAGCCATTGGGGGGTCCTGGAGTTAACAACACATTTGCCACAAAGACCCTCGTCCCACGACATATCACACACGTAGCTGCTCTCCAGTTCGACCGCGCAACCTTTGTGGGACCGTGACATTTCAAGCATGGGAAGCCAAATGGTACTCCTGAGGGGACTATGATCAGCCCTACCTGGCCAACCATTTTGGTAAACAGTCAGTTCTTCTTCGAAACATTCATGACGGAGACGACCTGGCCAGAAGTTCTCAAACATGTTCGGGCCTGTACTACAAACATGAGACGGTGGCAAAAACATAGGCGACACCTTTGCGAATGGACGGCGCTGGGATAGCAAAAAGACAGCATCCATTGTCAGGGGTTTTTCTATGTTTGGAAACACTCTTGATTCCAACAAAAACGCTCGAGCTTGCCAACTCAGGTGCTGGCAATGGCTTCGGGGGACCGAATGAGCTGCACACGTTGCCCTGCGCTTAAAACCCGGCGCCTTCCGTTGCGGCTTCTAGCGCTTCCGTTGATGCACCTGGCGCGTGCAAATTGGGCCTCCTGGCTGGTCTTTGAATCCGCATTTGTGGGTGTGTGCTTTGAGGTCACCCTTTTATCCTGGCTTTTAAAGAGAAACCAAGAGGAAAACCAATCATACCAATCATTTTGCAGGTGCCCCTATCTTGACGCATAGCCAGTTCAAAAGAGCAACTAATTTCGGAGGTCACCAACTTCCACTCTGACCCTTTTGGGTGGGAAGGTTCATTGCCCAAAACAGCCAAATTACAAACTGGCAACAACGTGGGCCTTGGCTCCATACATTGTTCCCCTTAAACCCACGAAGGGGAAACTGTTTGGGTATGGGTCTTTCCTTTTTTTTGGGGGGGGAAAGCCACCCCGTCCCCTTGCCCCTGATAAAGGTCACCCTGATTTACATTGTTTGCCAAAATATCCAGAGTCCCACACGTAATTTAGATTTTGCCAATTCGAAACCAATACTAATTCTAGCGATGTTCCTCTCCGACCCAGCATCCAGCCGCATTGGGCCCCTTCACAACCAACACTAAGCCAAATCTGAAAAACAAAAGGGGAAACAACTGAATTCTATTGCTTGACCTCGTCAATCCCCGACACACCATGGCATTTTTCTTGGAGGGCACCCTTTTGCCTTCATTGAACCCACAAGGACAGCCATAATTGTTGGGGGCCTCCCTATTTTGACACACATTTGCATCGGCCTAAGGCGAACACAAACAAACAAAGCTCTCGGGTGTGAAGGACGGGTACAACGCATGGGCCAAGCGTTTTTAGAACAACTACCCCCGCCCCCCTTTAAAGGGATACCAAACAGAGGGTACGTGGTTCAAACTTGAAACATGGGGTTGGATCCATCCTTGTACGCACAAACTTGGTGCTTGAAGCTTTGAGAACCCTTGTCTCTTGCATCAAACTGGACTGCTGGCCTCATATTGGCACGCAGTCGAACTGGTTTCCTCATGCCTTCATGGAGTGTGAGGCAAGACAAGCATGTCAGGTGAAGCATGCACCTCGTATCACGAGAACCATGTTGTAAATCGGTATCAAACCATAATTCTATAATTATATGTCTCAGTGACTTGTGGCAATGAACCTCCATTTAGAACAGTAATCTCATTTCTCACCATTTCTAGTATGAGGGGCAACCAAATACTACCCTCCCACCAACTAACATGGAACCTGACGTTTCGGGGGGGTTCTGGCTTGGACCATTCTCGTTTGAAAGGGAACCACCGAAAAACGGGTTCCGGCTGTTGATTGGAGGGTAACATGTTGCTACCCCAACCTACTTCTACTTAGTTAGGCCTTGGAGCTCAGCTTTTGCGTTCCTCCCGCGCCACGACTGTGATGTTCAACTCTGGCACATGAAAAATTAAACACGTAGCCTCCCACCTGTATTAACATGGAACCTGGCTTAAAATTGTCATTTTCCAGAACCCCCCGAAACCTCAGCGTTACATGGTATGCCGCTTATGGTCAATGTCCACTACTCTTAGACTCTAAAGGCTTTGTAGTGCGGAAATGTCATCGCGACCCCACAGCTTGCAGAATTCCAACGGGAAGTGTTTCTTTCCAAAAGGCTCAAGAGGCGCCACTTTTGTCCTGGCAGTTTACGGGTCGTAGGGGCTTAAACAAATTACACGGCAGTACCTTATTCTCATGACTAAAGCTGTGGTGCGCTTTGTCATTTTCAAAGCAACCCACAACTACACTCTCATTGTTCAGGCCCTAGTGGCGTAGTTTCAAAAGAGATCCCAGCGACAACAGGGTCGCTGTCTGCGCAAAAAGAGCGTCCAGCCTGCATCCCTGCGAGGCTTCTTCACCCTGACGGCACAAGAAAAAGCGAGTGATATCCTGTGTTGCCTTTAATGACAGTTGCCGGGGGGGCTTCCCCAGTCTTGGGAAGACCCCGTGCTCGTCAGCTTTCACCGAGGCGTATGTGGGGGAAAGAGACACTTTCGGTGCGATCGATATCTAACACGGAATCCAACAGTGTCCAAGCCCAGCTAAACTCACGAAGAAGCTCGGTGGGTTTAGCTGATCCCTCGGAAGGAGCACATGCTCTCTGGTAGTTCGTGAGACAACATTCAAAGGTTAAGAGGTGGAACCAACGAGCAACCAAGCAAACCACTTTCGACCACATGTGCAATGCAGCAATCAATCAAGACCAAATCCCATATCGGCTGTCCCCCATGCAGGCCGCTCCCTGTAAGAATGGCTGAGATACCCTCCCAGCATAGAAGCTGACAAGAGGTCTTTTTGAGGAACCCCTACACTTCCATGATGGGAAGGTGCTGATGAGTGAAGATCGGTTTCAAAATTGTTTGACAAGCAATTTGCCCCTCTGATTCTCGGATTGCCACCATGGGCCATTCCAATCAGACCTGATTCCAATGAGACTTCCGTCAGTAAGCAGGTTCCAAATGCTGGGCCATCAAACAAAATACCAGTCACGGCCAGTCTCCTAAACCAACAAAAATGTGACGTAGCCTTAGACCTCATGCTTGTTCACCCCGCAAAACTGCTGTGGAAAGCATCCACCTTCAGTGAAAGTCCTCAAACCAAGGGCAAAACTCGACAAGTTGAGTCAGTCAGCCGCCCAATCCTGGCATCCGTGGCATCCGTGGCTCCAAAGAAAAGCTTGCCCGGCAAAACAGCAGCTGACGTACATACATAAGGCTAGATACAAGCAAAACAGGAATCGATACGTTCTTCCTTGCCAGCGCCATCATGGAGGCATCTCAGGAAGTCGGAGTGATCGGAGCCCTGCAGGACTTTATCTTCAGCTCCGCCATGCCCGCAGAATCTCGAGAGCCGATTCCACAATGCGCCGGAGAGCCATGATGACACCTCTTGCCAGACGTCGTCTCCCTTGTCGTCTTCATCCAGCACGACCTCCTTGTTGTAGAGCTGGATGAATGTTGAAGCCAACACTGTGTTGTATCTTGGGTTGTGAGTCCCATTCACAAAGGTTGTGCCCCTGGAACCAAACGACAGGTCTGATCCGTCAGAGCTCCACTTCAGCAATGTGTTGTTGAAGGACTATGCCACCCACTCTGACAGGACAAGCGCATGGAGAAAAACTGGGGAACCACATTTGTTGCAAAGGTCCCGGCACTCTGCAGGAACCGCCCCCCGCCCGACCTCTCGAAACCCTGCGACAAATGTTCCATGGTGGCCCTGAATTGAAAGGAACGTACAGCTCAGCAAATAAACAAGCACTTAAATAAGTACACAAATACATCCATACATTGACACTCGCCGGGTATGAGTGATGGTCAATGTGGCCGATATGACAGATACTCAATGCAGCGAAAATGTATCCTTTGAGAAGCATGTGCATAGCGGCACATTCCAACTCATGGGCTTGGCCATAGCGGACTCTGCAATGTGCATGTAAGGATCCATTTCAGTGAGAACATTTCAACTCACCTCCACTAACTTTGTGGTGCCAAACAAACAACATACCGAACTTCATGACCAGCTTCCTCTGAAAAAGCTTGCACATAAAGTGTCCCCCCACAATCCAATGTGGCTTCCGTTTCAATCTGCAGGCGTGCATCTGTGGAAGCTTTCGGGAGCACAGTCGACTTTCAAAGCCTCCAGAAAGCTTTCCTTTCGTTCTGACCAGAGTTGTTTTTTGTAGGAATACTTGAGTTGACTTGCCTACCATGCACATGCAGGAAACTGGGTCGGTCTTCGAACCGCAAACACTCTGTTGATATTGCTATAATTACCCTTCTTGCAAGAAGAGGCAACCTTCATGGCTCTCCAAGTAAATTCAATTCCTGCAAAAAGAATCAGTTCCTCAAATAAAGGACCTAGGCTTGCCATAGAATAGGTTGAATCTCTTCCCCGGCTCAAATTGCCACATGGGCTAAGGTGCTAACCTGCTGGAGGCTGAAGAAGAACGCCCTCCTGGCCGGAATTCGGAAACTGGGCCAGGAAACCAAATGCCATCCTGTCAATGTGAGGTTTGATGACCCAAGAGGAGTTTAGCAGGCTAAAAAATGTTGCGCTATCGTAAAGCTGACTAGCCAAAATATGCAGAAACCGGCTCGCTGCTGAAACCCTCAGATCTAGGCCAAGAGTATCTAAGCTGGCATCAGACAAAACAAAACCAAATAGTCAGCTTCAATGAAGTCATTCAAAAGGCTGAGGCTAAAGTCTGAGTGCCTTAATAGGCGCTTACCAAGGATATCACAAACTGTCAAACAATGTCAGAGTTCAATTCAGAACTCAGCTGGAGTCAAACAAAGATTATTAGTGCCAGGAAGCATCCAAGCAGGCCACCATGTGTGCCATGACCTTTCCTCACCTTGGAGGTCAAGATCGGCTTTGTTCAGCAACGCTTTGACCATTCGAAGGACCTCACTTGGGCCAGCGGTCGGAAAAGAAACTTCACCAAACTCAACGCCAGGTGCTTCTTCAGCACAGCCGAGTTTTTCCCAGGAGCCAACTCCCCAAGTTGGCGCGTTGATTGAGCGCATCACTCTCTTCGGCTGGGCAGGGTTCAGAACAAGCCGTGCTTGATGGCCGAGGAAAGCGTGGGCTCTTCTGGCCGTAAAAAGCGCAAAGTTGTGCCCTGCGCAAGCTCCGCTGGAAGCTCACAAGGAAGTGCCAATTCAGTTGGAATATGGCCTCTGAATCATTGTAAAATTCAAATACGAAGGTTCAAATACGAAGGCCTCATGCGTTTCCAAATATGAACCCAATGGCGCACCATGTGCGAAAACCAAGAAGCACAAAATATCACTCAGAGAACCTCCCCAAACGACCGACATGGATCTTTGTAATGATCCTGACATGAGTCGACACGGATTCCGAAAGCACTGGCTTGGCTCACTTCCTAAGTGGACTAGCCAAAAATAAATCGGAACTATTTTTTTCCACATCCAACCACAACACCTTAGTCATTTGTGATAGGGCCCTTGTTCCTCTCACTTCTGGAGTGGATTGGTCGCAAACCAGCTCATGTTTTTGTTTTTTTTGTTAACCACTAAAAAGTATTCCCATCAAAGCTTCAAGTCCAAGAACTCAGGGCGTGAGTTGGCATGAACGGAAGCGTAGCAACTGACTTCCAATCTGCCAATGAGGGGGGTGGTTTTTCCCAACGGATCCCTTATGAATACTTGTAGATCCTGGAATCTGCCAGTCGAACATTCTGATGTTGCTTCAATTTGCCACACGACACGCTCCCAGATACTTGGCAAGCATGCTCGCCCTGTTTGGCCCAGTGTCAGCGTCCTGTCCCCCTAGTGATTCATCCGGGGATAACGTTTGAAGCTCAACATGTCTCAGGCCAGCCAAGAAAGGGCGCCGTCCACGTGCGACGCACCTCCTGCTGTCCGCTTCAAGCGTGGCGGCATGATAACAGCACCGTTGCTTGGAATGTTCTGCTTTTGGTATGCGCTGTGCATTCGCCGGTCGGATGCTGGCGGAAAATCGGATGAGTGAACTGTTTCAACACATGTTGAAGGCAAAGACTGTGACAAAGAAGATGCACATGAACAAATGGAGCAACTCGAGCTTTCCATGACCGCACATACATTGTGATAGGTCTATGCGCATGAGTGCTGTGCCACCCACCGAACCCCTACGCATGTCTCGGGCCAAGGCGTCGTGCACAACACCCCTTCTGAGTTGCCAGAAAGAGCTGTGTGTCCTGAAAAAGCAGAACCCATGGCGCATGAACATCCCGCTCTTTTTAAAACCATCCCGTCCTTTGCAACACTTTTCTTGTGGCTGCCTTTTCAAAACCATCCTAACGGCAACTCGGCATTTTGAGACATATATAGATTCTTTCTGTGGCCAAAACTGCTTGTGGGGGAACATGGTCATGTTAGGTGGAAGTGCCTAACTCCCCGGCAGAGATCCTAACCATCCCAAACACCGCCCGTTGTACCTCTTGTTCTTCTCTGCTTCATTTCATTTCTTCCTTCATTCCTTCCTAATCTCCATCTCTGTGTGCAAGTTTCCCGGTCAGGACTGCACGCCTTCGTAGTGAAACTGGTACTTGGAAGTCGGCTGTATGTCCAAAGGTCCAAAGCGACTCCAAAAGGTTGTTTGTTGAATCTTGGGCCCTTTCAAACTGGCCCTGAATTGAGATGCCACCAACATATATCCAGTAGTCTACGGTTGATTTGGCAGAGACTTGGGGCCAGGCAGATTTAGCTACTTTCCCACATGTCCAAAGTCACCGCATATTGTTTGGCCCTGGTTTGGACAGATGCCCAAAACATGTCGTGGAAGTGGGCATGACATATCTATGTCAAAGCGGCCCAGGTCCCTTTGCCCATTGGTGTGTGTGTGTGTACGTCTGTGTCGAAGAGGGAAGGGTGCATGAGACATGTTCCATGCACAAGCCCAAAGAATGGGGCCACCCAAACATGCAGACCTGCAATTTGCATGAAGAAGCTGTGCCGCATTTTGTCTTGGTGAACATTTGCCGAGTCTCCGCCACCGGCACATTGCCAGGTAGCACATCTGGTCTTTGCCAGCTTGCAACTTCAAGCTCTATCAATTCAAAAGAAGCAAGCAGCGAAGCACAGAAGGGTGAAACTGAGCAAACCTGACCTGCTCACTGGCGAGAATTGTTCAACAGTTTATACTTTTGGGCTTTGCCAAATTGATGAAGAACTCTACCCACAAAGAGAAACACAAAGAGAACCAAACTCTAAGTTTGCCAAGCCAACGAAACAGGACAGACACCCATACGGTGAAAACCATGTGACCGCTCCCTCTCATGCGCCGCGCCTGTGCTAGCGCCATGCCCACGATGGAACAGTCTTTGGCAGCTTTGGCCGTTTGGGCTTGGGAGAGAAAAACATCTTGGGGGACTCTTCCACTCTTCCTATGCCCCCCAGGCCGTAAACTGGGTTTGGGTTTGGGTTCCAGCAGTTTGTGCCTAGAAACATCTCCCCTGAAGAAAACTCACTTTCAAAGGGAATAGAACGTGATGTCTGAACAGATTCCCAAAGGGGGAGATATATGGAAATATGTTAAAGCAATACAGTTTTTGCACCTTGGGGACCCGGTGGACCCCCTGTTTTCCAAAGGGGCTCAAAGGCAAACCGTTGGCAGACGAGAACACTGGGAGCCATTCAACGTGGCACCTTTCAATGGTGTTCCCAGCGTCTTTGCTTCTGACCGTTTGGCAGTTTACTGGGCGATTCCCCAACACTCCAAACCACTGTGGGACACTTTGAACTAGAATGACACAACAGGATCCTTCTGCTCAGCCCTTCAAAACAAGAACAACAAATTGCAACAACCCCCAGTTCATTCTCACACATCCGCCAGGAGCCGTGTACGTGGCAAAGAGTTGTTTTCTCGGAAAGCCTTGTTGGGTCGTGTTACAGGGCAAGACAAGAGAATAACAACCCTTAGACACACCCACTCTGGTGATGAAGGGAGTTCCAACCAACAAACAGGGAGAAAGGGTGGTAAAAGCAAGTCGGCTGAACCATCAGACCTCGAAACTGCCCGATTCGCCAAAACTATTGGCATTTCGCACTTCACCGCGGCGCTTGTGTGGACATAACATGACGAAAGCACTCCACAGTTGCATATTCAAATAAGACCAAACTTATTGTTTTTTGGGTTGGGAAAACCTGGTGTGCTTGGATTTCCCCTCCACGGTGGGTTAAGTATTGCTTTTTGTTGGGCACTTTAGCAGCGAGTTTCCTTTCGGGCGATGGCCACTCGGGAAATGATAGACACCGCAATGAACACCCACAAAAGCAAATCTTCTCAACTGGCCGCCGACGGTGGCGGTGTACCTGTCGTCCTCGTCGTCATGAACAACTAGAGGTTGGGATTCATAAGCGAGGGTCGCTCCGCCAAGCCTGCCACCCATGGGCCCCAAAACTTGCCAACTAGTGATTCACAACGTTGGTGGGTCCCCTGAGGGCCGCTTGAAGGCGGCTGTTGTTTCTTGCCACTCAAAGGCTCTTCCCAGGAGTCAGATTAGCTTCTCAATTTCCAGGGAGCCCACCGGGGGGTAGTAACTCTGCTCTAAAGTGATGCAAGGAGCCGACCAAAAAATATGATGATAACTGAGATCCCTAACGTGAGTTGCCAATGCTGGATCAAGGATTGCAATTTCACCTTCCTGGGTCTAAGGTCCGTCTGGCAAACGGCCCAAAAAGAAAAACCAAACGCGCAGGGTTTGCTTGGCCTCACCTTGTTCAACCTACCTGGAAGAAAAACTCGTACCATTTGGTGAAGTGCTAAGGCAAGGCGGATGCCCTACATATTGAAAGGGAACAAGGGAATGCTTGAAATTCTAGATTAGGTATGTGTTTGGTTACTGCTATGTTGGGGCGTCCACAAAATATATTTGATGCCACCGCGTTCATGTCCAAAGCGGGACCCTTGCATCTTCAAGGCGCATCTTCGGCGGCGGGTCTAAACAGGGCCTTACGCTCCGTTCCGGCAGGGCCTGGCCCAGATCGCGGCCCCAGATCCATCAGGTCCTGCGAAGCTGAGAGAAACATCAAATCGGTGGAGATCTTCAGCCCACTTCCCAGACGAATTGTGCTTGCCATAATCTGGTACATTCGGACAACACATGTGTCAGATTCAGTTTACTTCGTCTGCTCTAAACTTGCTCCGAGAAGATCCCAGGAGACGCCAAATATACACAGTAAGTAGGTAGCCGGGGCAAACCACACTTGTTAACACCTGGCAGAAGCCTTCGGTTGCCCAGCAAAGGGAAACACACATAGTAACTTAAACGAGAACTGAGATGTCCATCGATCAGTTGAGACTCTGCCATTTCTAACCGATCGCATCCCCAAAGCCCCTGAAAAAAACCTTCGGAAGGAACCTTTGAGATCGCCCGAAGGTTTCCTTTCGAGCCTTGCTGGGCTCTTATGTATCGGGGTAAATCATAAGCTGTGGTCAGTTGGCAATGGGAGCCAACCCGATGAAGTAAAAGGCAGGGTAAACAAGAAGCATCTGAAACTTCGAAAGCAGCAGGATCGCCTCTGTTTTCAAGGTTTCCAGCAGAGTTTTCAGTCGTTGGTTTCTTTGACAATGATAAACTCGCAATTGAGGGGTATTGTTCAGGCTAGTCCCCAAACAAAGTGTCCTAGGCAGTCTTGCTGGATATTCCTCTGGGTGGACCATAACTATGTTTTCGACGCCAAATAGGGGGAACCCCGCAAATAAAGAGAGGCCTTCATCCTCGGTTTTTGATGAAGTCCCGGGTTCCGTGTCCCCCCTCAAACTAACAGGAAGCCCAGCCCACTCACACTAACACCCGCCTACACACTCCTCAAGGAATTGCCTCTTTGAAACCGTCCGCCAGTAGGCTAGGTGTGGACAAGCTGCAGCTTGAAATTGCCAACGCGAGCATCTCTTCGCCACTTTGTCTGTTCCCATCAGGTCCCACAAAGTACGGGTTTGACCTAAGGGTAACTCTGGGGCTGGCACCATAGTCACTCCAAGCCCTTCCCGCCGAAACCCAAGCCAAAGAGAAGACATTTGAAGATTTGCCAGGCACCATACCCGAAACCCTGGATGAACAAGAGACGCCCGCTAGGGATTGATTCCAGGGACACAACATGATAGAAGCAGAAAAAACAAAAAAACATGTCTCTTAAAAGGGGCATCAGTCAACATTTGGCTGGATGTGAAACGGATGTCCGAAACACAATTTCCAAGGGATGGGTATAACCAATTCGGTTGGGATCTATTGTCGCTTCCTAGGTGGATTGGTCCAAGTAAAAGCCCGGGCGGTGCGTGTAAAGCGGGATACTTAAAACTTAAAACTGGCAACTCTTCCTGGTTGGATTTCCTACATAGCTAACAACCAAGGACAAATCAATTTAAATTCCTGGCATTGAAGCCGCGGTTGCTGGCCGACTTATTCACAACAAATTCAGGAAACTCACCACCATAGGTGTCCTGGATGAGTTTTGCAGATTCTGACACAGACAGGTCAACCAGAAACCGCCATCTATGTTGTACCAAAACAACCAACAAAAAGAACACCTATGTTGTTGGTACTGACTACTTTTTGTGGGGGAAGTTGCCAAAGGTTTGGTACTGACAACTTTTTGTGGAACATAACGCAAACTTGTGCTTTTTGAGGGTGCCACATGCCGTCTGCACGCCGTTTTGGACGACTCCCCGATTCCCCCCGAGCTCCAGCCAGGCGTTGCTCTTGGGCGCTGGCCTGTGGCCGGGTTCCCCGAACGAGGGCGTTCCCTGCGGCCCCCCCCCCCTGGAACAGCCAATGCTCAAAAGAGGAAAATGGGGTATACAACCACAACATGAAAGAAAATCAGGGGAAGCTGGTTTATTTGTTGTTTGCTTACTACTCCAAACCCGCGAACATAAGAGGAATTTGATTGATTTTTTGTAGTTTATGATTTATGACTCCAAACCACC